CCCCCCTCCCCCTCCCCACCTCCCATCGCGCTTTATCCCCCCCCCCAACAATGCTAACGCTCGCTATGGGGAAATTTGTAGTTGAACGAAAAGGGAGAGAAAGAAAGGAGGCGCGTTGTCACCGAGCTTTCTCTTTAAACACACACAGACCAGACGAGATGGAAGACAAGTAGTAAAAGTAAGTATGAGTATGTAGTAAGTACGGGAGCCCCAAACGGTTCCAATATAATAGAGAGAGAGAGAGAGAGGTATCAAAAAAACACACACGATAAGGTAAAAACAACGATGTGGGGGGTGCAAGAACCTAGCCGATGCTTTTTCTTCGTCGACAGTTACAAAATGAGTTTTTGATGGCCGAAGAGTAAGACACATCAAAAGGGAAACGAACACAAGAGAACCACTACCAATGATTAAAGTCGCCAGAAAGAACGGGGGGGGGGGGGAAAGAGAGAGCGCGGTTTTCAACGAAGGCCAATGACGCTCTGAAATCATGTTAGTACAAAACAGCCAAAGAAGTTCGAAGTCAAGGTAAACGTACCATTTCCAGCGTCCAAACCCGCCTTATCCACACCTTGAGCTTGCCCTCGACACCCCTAACGTTCTCGAGCTCCACTCCTTCCCACCAGCAGCGACGAGCCGGTTTCCTCCAGAAGAGAAGCAGCTTCTGCGCCATTCCGACAGCGTTGCTGTTAGCAAGATCGTTGCCTTTGATGTCGGTCCTCAAGCGTGCGAGTGCGATACTGCAGATGACGGCCTTGTTGGGTTCGCCGGCACGGTGGCCCCATCGATCATCGTGGTTGAAGCCGCTATGCTTTATTAGCAGGTGAACTTAGATAAACATAACAGTGCGCTTACCCTGCAGTCAACATCTCAATCAGATGCTGCTCGGTCGTGCCTGGTTCCTCGCTCTTCCTGAGTCCAGAGAAAATGCCGTCTTGCCGTAACAAAGCTTCACCTGCAGCGCGCTTGACCTCAATCATCTCCGGTTGGGTGATGTCTCGGTGTGGTGGGATGGCATAAAAGTCAAGGTCCTCGCGGAGAACAATGATACCGGCGCGGTCCTGGAGCATGTCTCTTGCAGAGCCGTGCATGGGCTCGATAGGGACAGCTTCGGCAGGGTGCTCTGGCGTGGTCGTCGGGGAAGGCGGTGCGGGGATGGTCTGAGCTACATTGCGGAAGAACTCTAGCATGTACTGCAAAGAATTGGGATCATACTGTGAAGAATAGAGATTGTCAGATAAGTATAATGCGGGATTGGAAAGATGGTCTAGGATCCTGGCTATTGTGGCCTGTGAAACTGGGGGAGAGGGTGGGGACGAGGAAGAAGAAACAGGGGTACCAACGTCGACTGGGTATACGTCTCCTTCATGATAGGAGTTCATGTGGCCATCAGGAAGCAGGCCATTGGGAAAGAGCGAGAGGAGAACAAACTCGGGGAGGGTTAGAAGCTCATCACGCGACAGGGTGAATCGCGTGCCCCTATGTACTTGGTCAGTTCATGGTTAATTCATGTTGGAAGGCAGGCGCGCACCTCAACTCCAACGTAATGTTCTCATCAGATCCACCGAGCGTGTTGATGGGCGGGCCGGCGCTTGTTTGCGAGACCTGAGTAATGATACTCGCGGGACCTCCTGCAGATGCCATGACGTAGGTAAACGACTCGAGTGGGCTGAATCCTTCACTGTAAGGTGGCGGTGGTTCTCCGTCGTCGATGTCCTTGCTGCTAGAGCCGTCCTTGGTGTCGTTTGGAAGCGCAGCTTTGGTAGCAGCTACAGCGGCAGCCGAAGACGACGACTGGGTAAATGGCGGCGCAGAGGTGAATGCAGGCGGTGAGTCGTCCTCTGGGGATTCTTGGGACTTGTTCCGTTCCTCGGCGTCCTCAGACGGGAAGTAGAGAGAGGAGAAAGGAGGGGGATATGGTGATTCGCCGGCTGTGGGTGATTCCAAGGCGCTCTCTGCGGAAGCAGTGACGAGATACGGCGAGGCAGACGGAGAGCGATTGCTGCGAGTCGGAGACAAATGAGTGACTACGGACAAGCCGTCTGGGTCGGGAGCCTGCGTGCGAGACAAGGTGCCGGTAGCTGTGAGGGTATTGGACGGCACAGGTGATGAGGTTGCGAAGGGGCAAGCGCGCTAATAGGCGCTGTCAATTAAACGTGAGCGCACGGAGGAGCAACTACGGGACAGCAGCGCGCATGGGTCTACAGGCGATGGGCAGGCGGGAGGCAGCGAAGGGGTGAAGGAGGCGAGAGTGGACTTGCTCGGTTGTGCTGGTGGCAGAGGTGGAGCGGGTGATGGACAGCCGTCGATGTTGGACGCGGAGCCCTTGGTAGTGAGTTCAGGTGTGCCCCGTTTGGGCTTAGCACGGTCCACCAGCCTTACTCCAACCAGAGGCCAGAAGCCTGTCCGTACGCCATCACAACACCAACAAGCGCGTCGTCACATGTTTGTCCAGGCCGCAGAGCCGCCTGTCTATGTACAGTATATACTCTTCACGCAGACTGCAATTGAAACCAGGATTGCGTGTCGTTGCATCCGTCTGCCATATTGCACATCTCAGCTACTGTACTTACATGCAGTCTAATGCTTGGCCACGACACCCGCCTCATTTGCCTGTGCAGTGATACGTCGCTTGTAGTCCTTCACTGTGCCGTCAAAGTGCTCAATCGTTCCATTGTCGCACACCCACAAACTTGTGCATACGTTCTGCAGCATCGTCACGTCGTGACTGACCATGAGCACACCGCCCTGGAAGTTTTTCAATGCGTCCGACAGCGCGTCCATAGCTTCAATGTCCAAGTGATTCGACGGCTCGTCCAGCACCAGGATGTGTGGATTCTGGAGGGCCAGGCATGCAAACGCGACACGCGATTTTTGCCCTCCAGATAGCAGTGCCATCTTCTGCAGACCCGTCATGCCCGTGATGCCAAAGGCACCAAGATGGCGGCGGTACTCTTCATCCGCCTTTCCGTGGTACTTCTTGGACATGAATCCCACGGCGCTATCATTCAAGTCCAATGCGTCGACGTGATGCTGTGCGAAGAAACCCACGCGTAGTCGCGGGTTTTGTGAGATGATGCCCGTGGTTGGTTCCAGTGCGCCAATCAGTAGCTTCAGTGCAGTCGTTTTGCCCGCACCATTGGGCCCAACTATACCGATACGCGAGTCAAGCTGCACGTCAAGATCTACGTTTTTCAACAGAATCTTATCTGGCGTGTATCCAAATGTCACGCCGCTCATCTGGATGATCGGAGGCGACAGCTTCTCCACCTCGGGGAACTTGAAGTGGACAGAGTACTCGGCCTCGGGAGCCGTCAGCACAGGCATCCTCTCCAACTTCTTAATCCTCGACTGAGCTTCCGAAGACTTGGCCGCGTTGTAACGGAACTTGTCAATGAAAGCCTGCAAATGCGCCCGTTCGGCCATCTGCTTCTCATACTCTCGCACCGCCGTCTTGCGCCGCTCTTCCTTGGTCGCATAGAAGGAATCAAAGTTACCACCCTTGTAGTAGTCAAGGCGCTCAGAGTGCTGATGGATAATGTCTGTGGCGACTTCGTTTAGGAACGCTCGGTCGTGAGATACGACGAGGACAGTGCTTGGGTAGCCTTGCAAATAGTTTGCCAAGAACGTGATGGAGGGAACGTCCAACATGTTGGACGGTTCGTCGAGAAGAAGCAAGTCAGGTTCGCAGAAGAGGGCACGCGCCAATGCCAATCGCATTCGCCATCCTCCGGAAAACGTCTTTGTGGCAAACTGCTGGCGCTCTTGTGAGAAACCAAGACCAGCAAGAATACTGGCAGCTCTGGACTCAGCCTTATCGGACTCCATCTCTGCAAGCTTAGCGTGAATGTCACTTAGGGTAGTGTCAAGACCCTCGCGCTGTTGGTCTAGTCTTGCAGCATCAGCTGAAGTGTCTGCCATGGTAGCCCGCTCCGCTTCAATATCGGCAAGTTCCTTGGAAATTTTCTATGCAAAGTTAGTTTGCTTTCTCTGTAACCTTGGATCTAGCAACACACATCTTGCTCTTTGAGGAGATGCTTCCGCCACACATCGGCATCCAATACAGCCTGCAGTGCTGGCGTGTCGTCGCCAGTGATCTAGATAAAAACTCAGTCAGCCCGTCACAAAGTAGTAGTGGCATGCTCATCCTAACCTCTTGCTCTACGTGGAGAATCGAAATATGCGTTGGAATGGCCACCTCTCGACGAGAAAGTGCCCTCAGCAATGTCGATTTACCAATGCCGTTCTGACCAACAAGACCATATCTTCGGCCGTACGCAAGTGTCAGAGAACTGTCAGTCAGGATACGCAGGCCAGGCATGGAAAGATCAAAGCTATCAATCTTGATGTCTTTGCTCTTATTGGCGGAATCGCCCAGTTGCAGCGGGTTGACAGCCATGTAGAACTCCTCGTAGCTCTGCGCCTCATTGGGCTCGTGGAGAAGCTTCGAGGCCTCGTATTCGACATTCTTGAACTCTTTACGGTCCTGCTTGGCACGCAGTTTGCGCTCGGCTTTCTCAAGCTTCTTACGATCGACCCTAGACTCAACCTTGCGGGTGTTGGCAGACTCGAGATCTACAGCACCGCCTGCTAGACCCATGGTTGACGACATGTTTCTCGAGGACCCCACGTGAATAGCCTGATCGAGTTTCTTGGCAGAAGGCGCCATCTGGCGACGCTCCCCGTCGGCGCCATTGGCCGAGCTCAAACGGGCAATGAACTTGTCGACAAGATTCTGGATGGCTGCCTGGTTCTCGGTCGAGATGTCCCCGGACGCGGATAAGAGCAGTGCGCTCACAGTGGCTGCGGCTTCGTCCAGCGGTGAAGGGGCGTTAGGGTCCGAATCGGACGTGAACTGGTTGGCAGCATGCGTCAGGTAGCCCGCCGAGTACTCGGACAGGACCGGATCGATGTTGGGGATCTGTGTTCTGATTTCTGACTCCATTGTGGCAGGATTGAATGGGAGGTGGTGGATGGGGCGCTGTCCCACCTTGTCAATGTCGGTGGCAGTCGATGGGGGGGGGATGGTGGCGTTTGTGGCGAGAGGGGCACACCCAGGAACACAGGCCTTGGTACCGATTACTCGAACTGCACGATGGCCGGCGTAATAGCGGGGCAGTGGGCGTTCTGTGCTTATTGCGGTGCTACGGCACGTTGTCCAAAGCAAAGAACATTTTGACGTCGGCAGCCGAAAGTGGATTCGCAGACTGTGGACGGCTGGGCTGGCAGCCAATCAGGCACGACATGATAGCAAAGGCTGTTTCTTGCATACGCAGATGCAGACTTGCAGCTCGCAAGAGGTAGATCTGCACCACGTCTCTGCAGACGCTTCAAGCGGTGATGCGCTCCCAGGATTCTTCCGGACACTTGCATTTCTGATGTGTTTTGCAACGAGAAGACGCACGTCACACTCAGCTTGGCCAGTATCGTGCAACACACCAGCCGCATCGAGCCGCTCCGCTCCAGCCATACAGCCAGCCACAGCAACCAGACGGACATTTTCCAGAGTCGACGACGGCCATTGAGCCAAGAAGGAGGGGCACAGCGTTCCCGGAGCGTCGCTCGAGCAAGCGTCTAATCTCTACACTACTACGCCATGTCCCAACCACGGTTGCCAGGTGTTTAGCAGATCAGGGTCAGTCGACATGCCGCCTTGGCCACGGCACGCATTTGGGACGTGGACGAGTGATTGGGCTTGAAGATGAGGGTACAGAAACCGCGGAGGCAGAGATGGTTGCCCGATGCGGACAGCACCTTGGGACAAGATGTGGTGGCGGCCTCGACGTCCCGCCTTCACCAAGCTCGCAACCCATGTTCCCGCCCTCCGCTCGTCGGTCGACTTGTCCACTCCGGGGCTGACGTGCTCTGTGTTTCGGGTATCATCAGGGATAGTCGACAATGATGCGAGCAGGCTGCACAGAAGCGCAATTGGTGCGTCAATTAACAGGCTGTCTGCAATTCTCTCCGCCGGCCATGCCATGCTGTCGCCCCCAGACTGACGCATCCGCGTGCGTCGGGGCTGGCATGGACGACGAGGGGCTTGGTGCCGCTCCGCGTTGTCAAAAAGTGGCCTGGTAGAGATGGGTAGCAGCAGAGGCAGATGCAGAGGCTTGGGTGGCTGCGTGGACTAGTGCTAGGCCCCATCGTCTCGCTACCACGGCCAGCTAGAGCATCGCAATCGTACACAAGCCGGTTCTAAGAGTTGGGGAGTCCGCGATCAGCAAACAGCTCCACTAGGCCTGCAGGGGTCTCTCCAGGCCGTTCAGCGGGCGGCTACCAATCAGCAGCGGTGGTGACGGGCGTCTGGCATACTCGCTGGTACACTATATTTGGGTAGCTGGATGCGGCGAGGGGTACCTTGAGCCTGGCTGCTCATGTCCCTGATTACTGCTGCATGCTACGCTGCGCTAGGCCTCGTTTACCGCCTCTGCCTCTGCGCGCAACGTGGTGGTACTGGCCACCACGCCCGTCTCCTCATGACTCCATGGCAATCTGCTCCCCCCGTCCGCCCAAGAGCACGCCCACAGCACCGCACCACCGCACCACCGCGGCTCTGGGGCTCTGGGGGCGGCCGTCGCACGTAGCCGTCGATGCTCGCTGGCCCAGACGTGGAGCTATGACGGTGCAGAGTGAGGCATGGGGTCTGTGTGGCCTCCGTGCTATGTTTCGACATGCCGCTATCAGCCCTCGTCGGCGGCTTCTCGCTAATCCCAATGGAAACTGGGTAGCCCTGTACGTAGATCCTAGCAGCAGAAGCAACAAGCACTGGATTTCTTCAGTCTTCCGTCCGCTCCTCGTCGAGCTCCACCTCTCTGCTGCTCCAGCCCGCCGTGGTGCTTGTGCCGTCCTTCCTTTGCCTCTTCGCGCCGTAGTGGCTCTCTCCCCTCCCCTCCCCCCCAAACCGTCTGCTTGCCGACCCCCGACTCGTACTGCTGGCTCGCGATCCGTCATCAACCAGGCACCTTGACATGCCATAATGCTCGACAGGTCGTCACAGGCGCCTCGACGAGTGAGCTATCCCCGGCGGCCTGGTTCTCTGCGAGAATGAAAACGGTTCCATCGGTAAATACCACCCTGCCTGCACCTGTCTGTCCCATGGTCGCTGTATACGAGACGCTACACGCTGCTGCATGCACTTGTTTTGTTTTGATATATCACCACTCCTCTGCTGTCGCGCCTCGGGTCCGCGCAGCTGCACTCGCCTCGTCCTCGCCCTGTTTTGCTGCATTTTGTACTGGCCACTATGACTGATGCATTTGTGTGATACAGCTCTGTGCCACTGCCACTGTCGTTGGTGCATCCGCCGTTGGTCTCTCGTTTGGACGGGAGACGCCGAGCAACTCCTCCCCATCCGCCCACCCCAACACCAACACCAAAGAGGCCGCCCCAGCACGCCCTTTGCCCACCAATTCCATGCCTGTTGCCATGCCCACCACTGCGCCGTCTTTTGGCGGCCCTGTACCTGTCGCGCCTTCTTCACATGTACCGCTTGCGACTCGACCCAGCCAAAATGCGCTCCCTCAGCGACGGATGGTGAGGAGGATGACGAGCGACGACGTGCCCGCCCTGCCATTGTCCGGCCGTGTGAGCAACTATGCGCCCAGCGACCTGTCCATTTCCGAGGCCGACACCTCACGATACCCCCCAACGCGACGGGGCTCCTGGCTCAAGCGCCTTTCTTCTATTTCCATTTCCTCGAGCAGAACCCCCAGCCCAGCGCCTCTCTCGCCCGCAGTCTCGTGTCCCCATGGCGTAATGGCCTTCCCCCACGACGGCTCAGCAGCTTCCATTTTCGGCCGGCGCTCGACCTCACCATCGCTACGAAACAGGCTGGTCAAGCGCTCATCATCAATACGCAGATCCGACCAACTACCGGCCCAAGGTACTGCCACTCTACGGCCTTCATTTCGCCGCCCGGCCACAAGTCACCAGCGCACCGCGGCGCTGTTTGCCAGCCACAGTCAGAACAACAACGAGGCGCAACTGCATAGTAATCCAGCCGAGGACTTGGCGACTAATAGGGAGTTCCTGCATCCGTCGAGTACGGACTATCCGTTTGAGTATGCGCAGTATTTCACTGCCAAGGTGACCAAAGAGCGGACAGTGTCGAAGAAGAGAGGGTCGGCGTCGTTAAGAGGCAGTTACAAGAGGGTTGTTCCAGACGAAAAGCACTTGCCTACACTCGTGCTTGCGAGGTCGGTGGCAGCAGCCACGCCCGAACTCGACGATTCTACCAGCGACGAGGGCGACAGCGTCTTCTCCGTGAGCCGGCCGGGGACGCCGTTTAGCATAGCCGCGTTTGCTACCAAAGAAAGCACGCATACGGGCTGCCGGCCGTCGATAGAGGACCCCGACGATGCATTGCGAACCAAGCGCTCCTCCTTCACTGACTTTCTTTCCTTCTCCAAGAAGCAGCTAGCCGCAGCCGGAACATCAGGCACGACGATGCTGCGCCGGGCGAGCCAGCGGGTCAACTCGGCACCTCTTGTCCCCACCATGCACACCCGACCCCATAGCACATCGTATGGAGAGTCGCACCGCCATGTGGTTGAGCCGGCATTGGCTGCTGCTAGGCGCGCCATTGCGACGTCTGCCGGAACCACCGAGGCGGGATCAGCGGGCAGCGGGCTCGAGGGCGGCGCATCATCAACGCCCTTGCCCACACTCGCGGCTCGTCGTGCCAGTGCTGGCATGGTTCCTGTCCTCGGCTTGGCGTCAATGCCTCAGCAGCTCGAGGGTCCCTCAGCCGCACTGGGCGCCAATCAGGCGCCACCATCCCCTACTCTAGCGCAATCGGGCGTTCGGGTCTCGCGTCACTCCATGGCCCCCTCAGAACAAGCCTCGACATTGGTCGGCTCGTCTGATAATGAACTTCGCGCCTTGGGGTTCGGCGACGACGACAACACTGACGTCCAGAGCGAGACGTGTTTTGATTCGCTGCGCACTGGCGCAACCAGAAGCACATCGGGCGGCGCCCGGGGCCCTCGTATAGAGACGATTTTCGACGAGTCACCCCCCTCCAAGGTCAAGGTCACTGCCCTGCGCGATCTGCTCCCACCAGGTGCTCTTGGGGATCACGCCGTTGGTAGTGTCGCCGGCCACCAGAGTATCGCTGAGGAAGAAGAAAACATCACAACACCGGTGCGCGTGCGCCACGAGTACCCTCTGCACGATTCGCCCAGCTGCGCCCGGACACGAAGCGCTCCGCTCTTCCCCAACACTGTCTCGGCATCGCCCCCGAGTATGCCCAAGCCGCTTTCGCTTGGGACCTTGGAGTGGGATTCAAGACCGGGCAACGACGACGACGACAGCAGTAGGTGGTCACTAGAAGAGACAGATGCTGAAGACCCGTGGGTTGATGCTCCCACAGTCAATCACCGACCGACAGCAACACTGTCGCCGTTCCCCCAGAGCGCGCGTCGTGTCGCATCTGGCCCAACATCCAAGCCCACTACGCCTCATCACCTCACCACAGAGTTTGGTGACAGAGACACCCGCAGCAGCATCTTCGACTGGTCTGAGCAACAACTCGCAGACAAGAACTCGGGCAACTGCACCCCGCCACGACCTCGGACAGTGCACGGCAAGAAAGATGCTGACCGCAGAGGCAGCCGTTCTGTTGGCCGCCGGGTGCCCAGCGGGTTACACGCTCGCAGCCAGAGTGTGCCCGTGGTCCCCGACTTGACTGGGAAGCGTAACACCGTCGTGACAAACAAGTTTGGCACCTGGGGCGTTGGCAGCAAGGGTGTCACCGAAGACTGGAACGATGACTTTGACTTTACTGAACTCAACGGCGATCCTATTGAAGAAGGTGATGCTTCCCCTCGGGTAGACAGTGGCACGTCAATGGTGGTACCAAAGAGCATACAAGAGCAACAGAACAACGTCCTGGCCAACATTGGTCTGCTTCGTGAGTGGGGCCTACTAATCGAAGAGCTCAAAGAGCACCGCACACGAGCTCAAGCTCTTGGTATAGTGGATGGTCCCCATGCTAGTACGTGGGAGGAGGTGGACGCCATGATAGACCTTGCCGACCAGGAGGCTGGCCACCAGGATGTCGCTCCCGCCTCGCCCCCTTCAACACCTGGCTTCGATGACGATAGTTTTGAGGAGCCGCCCGCGAGTCCTAGCCTTGGTAGAGGACGGGGGCAATCAGAAAACCCAGACCAGGATATCATGAAGAGTCGGATACCATCACCGCGTTCCCGCAAGTCTATTCTTCCACCAAACGACGACATTTTTGCCCCGCAACCGTCCCCGAAACTATCCCAATCCATATTTGATGCCGACCATGAAGTTCACGAGGCCAAACCGACTACCACGCGACCCCGCAAAGACTCAGAAGCCAAAGCGCGTTCCGTGATCGAGGCGCTCCAAAAGAGGAGGAGCGTATACGAACCAATATTGGATACACCACCCACACCTTCTACGAAGAAGGTTCCATTTGACACTGCGACTCTACGGCGAATTGTGCCATACGTCAGTTCACTGACGCATAAAGTAAAAGACACGATTAGGGATGCGGAAGGCCTGTACTCAAGTCCGCTCGCAAGTCCGATGCAAGAGCAGCCACAACGCGACAATATTTTTCAACCAGACGCGGATCTGGTGGCTCAAATGAAACTCATGACGGTCATGTGAGCTCATGAATATGACCCTGTTATGGAGCAGGATCCATTTGGTGCTGGCCACACCTCTCAGGGCACAAAAAAGTTTTGACGAAGGAACAAAAGTTTCCTCTGGACTATTTTCATTTGGATCAGAGCGTTCGAGCGACGATGGAGCCGCACTGGCTTCATCAACATTTCCCTATACTAATTTCGATACGGTCGACTATCAAGTACAGGCCCAGGACTGGACTTTGAAGCGACACGGTATTTGCAATGTTAACTTGCATAATTGCAGCATATCCCCGGCCAGGATGCAGGCGGAGCACGACGAGGCATTTGTCACCAAGAGCAACCATAGAGTATGCTCAATTTTTGTTTAATCGAGAATCATGGCGCACCAAGGACCTACAGTGTCCTTTTGGAATCATGGCGCACATCATAGTCTCTGGGTGTGGAAAAGGTCTGCCGTGCAGTTCACGGCCCGTTTTCTCACCGGTCGGCATCGTGTACAAAAGCGGGTTAGGGGATTTTTTTTCCTTTGTTTCCTTTTTCTCATGTTCTTGATGCTCTTGTATCTTGAACCCCATTGGGCGTTTGTCAAAAAAAATCATAGCATTGATACACGACGGCCTCGACCCAGTCTCTTGAGACGCGAATACATACACAGCATTGTAACGCTAGCTTATCAAACGGTACTCCTGTAATTATGATGTAATGTCTGCAATCAACCTGAGTCAGAGAAATGTCGCGGCCCGAGGCCATGAGTGTTGTCCCTAGCAACCGCGTAAAAGCCCAGATGCACAAATAGCCGTGGTGGACCCGGTACTTGTTTTCTGCTACAAGACGGCCTGTATCCGGGACAGCGACTAGCCCGCATGGCTCGCACGATGTGAGAATGTGCGGTCCAAGTAGCATTTCTAGACAATGTCAACCATAGCTGCCGAGCCGTTGTTGGGCCCGACTGATGCACATGCGACAATCGAGCCACGCGCTACTGCTCCGATTCTCCCTTCACACATGTCAGATCGAGAGGCGAGGTACGCAGGTACCGGCTGCAATGCGGCGCGGTTACATACATACTTTGGAAGTAATCACTACCACTGTGATCGTCTTTGCATGCCGCTCGCTCTCGGACCCGCCCGAGCGGGTGAGAAGACCGTGAGGATGCGGAGGATGAAGCCGCCTTGCTGCACGCCCCGATGAGCATACAACCAAGCGAGACGGGCTCCCTCCGTGCACACGCCTTAATTGGCCTCGCGCGTTTCACGCATTCTCAACTCGACAATAATCCAAGTCGGGCTATAGTGACAATTCAGTCAACGACAAGACAGCCCCCGACGCCGCGTCTCGGTCCCATGGCCGGCGTTGGCGGCAAGTCCGGCACTGCCATGCACTAATCCTCTGCACAGTCGCTCTGGGCTGCATATTCCGGTTTTCCAACATGTAAGTAAGACGGTATTGCTTGCAACAAAATACTCCTCGGGACTATATTCCGCCCCCATTAACTCGTCCGTCCTATCCACAAATGCAAATGCGCAATCCGTATTCGCCTACAGTAGCTTTGCATAGAGTTGCGGAGCATCCTCGACATTCTCCTTCCAAGTACTTGCCTGGGCCACTTAATAATTACTCGTTATAACGACAGGCTACCTGGCCGTTACGATACGCGGTTCGCACCACAGAGTGGGGTAACATTGGGGCCAATGGCTCTCATATTATTGCCGATTGCGCAAGTGTGGTGTGGTTGTTTGAGGATGCGGCCGTAGCCCAGCATCGGATGGATGAAGGCGCAGCATCCTTTGATTTGGGAAGGTCAATGACGTGGATCGCGTCTTGGAAGCGGCTACTAGACCAAGAGGTGGACGGGAAATACGCGACACCTCAGGTATTATCGTGACCCCAACTCACCACAAAAAAAGCCATTGACTAAAACGCGGCCACCGGTGAGCTACTTCGAGTACTTAGTCACATACGCCAAAGATCCTTATTCAGAAACCCAATCTCCATCTTGCGTGTTTTTGGCTTAGCCGCCGAATCCTTGCTGACGCCCAGGGCTTCTCTTGTTCGAGCCTATCGTTGAGCTTAATCCATCTACGAGCAATTCTCACGTCATCCGACTCGTCCCATAATGGCGCCGAAGCAATTGGTAACAGTCGGCCTGAGCGCATTCTCCATTCTAGGAGCGGTCCAAGCGCAAGGTACAGCTTGCGAAAAGCCAATTGCCCCACAGAACGCGGCTCCTTCGGTCGCCCCGGGATTTCGCGTCGAGGTTGTAGCAAATGGTCTGAGAGACCCTCGCAGCATTCTGTTTGATCGTCAAGGTGGACTGCTGGTGGTTGAGCAGGGCTATGGAGTTAGCAGACTATCCCTGACGGGCGATGGTGCTTGTGTTCGCGTTGAGGGTCCAGTGCAAAACGTTATTGAAAATGACTCTGTAAGTTTGGCCGTCGTCCGTTGCCATGACCATCGGAGTTTGACTAACAACGTCAGTTGAATCATGGCATTGCTTTCTCCGAAGATGGCCATACTCTGTACGCGTCTTCCCATAGCAATGTCTTCGCCTGGGACTACGATGCTTCTCAAGGCAAGACCACGTCTGATTCAAGAGATGTTGTTCAAGGAATGGGAGACAGGGAGGGACATACTACGCGTACACTGCTCATGTCCCAGAAGGTCCCTGGTATGTTGCTCGTCTCCCGCGGTAGTGTGGGCAACATCGATCTTCAGACATTGGACGTGACTACTGGAGTATCCACGATCAAGGCCTACAATGTGAACAACATGACCTCTTCAGCCTATGACCACGCCTCAACCGGTAGACTTCTCGGCTGGGGTCTCAGGAACTCAGTCGGTATAGCTGAGGATCCCGTAACAGGCGGTATCTACTCTGTAGAAAACAGCGTCGACAACATCATGCGAAGTGGCCAGCTCATCAATGAAAACAATCCCGGCGAGGAAATGAATTTCCATGGCTTCCTCAATAAAACAGCAAGCGACGTTCAAGATGTAAATCACGGATACCCTTCCTGCTTCACAGCCTGGAATGTCTCTGAGATCCCCGATTTCAATGGTGAAGTTGGCCAACAATTCGCCATCGGAGACCAAAACGCAACCGTCAATGACACTTTTTGCCAAAACGACCGTATTGCCCCCCGTCTTGCCTTTCAAGCTCACAATGCCCCCCTCGATATCAAGTTCAATCCCAACGGCACTGCAGCATGGGTAACTATGCACGGATCGTGGTACGTAATCCCCCCCCTCCCCCCTCTCCCCCCAACAAATCCACTACTGGTACTAACATTCCTTTCAACAGGAACCGTGAAGACCCCGCTGGCTACAAACTCACCCTCATCCCTTTCAACGGTGCTGGCTCGCCTGTCGCCCCATCCAACAGCACCACTGCAGCCATCGATGTTGTATCTAACCCAGATCTATCTGCTTGTCCTCGCTCATGCTTCCGCCCTGTTGGTCTTGCGTGGGATGCTAAGGGTAGATTGTACATGACTTCTGATTCTACAGGTGAGATCTTTGTTGTTACAAAGGAGGATGGGAGTGGGGTTGCGGATGTAAGTGATGTAGCTGGCAGTGCGACTGCGACGGCGTCGGCGAGTTCGGGACAGAGCCCTGTGCCGAATGTTGCAAGTGTGGTTCTGGGCAGATGGAGTGGTATGTATTGGGTTGCTGTGGCAGTTATTATGAGTGTTTTGGTTTGAGGATGGTTATAGCAGCTCTTTGTGGGTGCGCATCAGTTCGGTGGCATGATTATGAGGGAATTGGTATATAACGTTTCTTCCCTAAGTATATATTGAATTACATGCGTCGATGCTTTGAAATGTGTTGATGCAACTCGGAAGTGTGAGATTGCACTATGGGCCACTGCCACTACGATTTACCGAATCATGCTCTGTGTGACATACCAAAAGTGGCAGTCGTATATAAGATGCATGGGCGTGTAGCCTTTTGAGATGACAGGTTAATAAGCAATATCGGGGGTGTGCCTTCCTGGAAAGCCATGTGCAGTTGCGATCATCATCACACGTAAAATGCTCTTCTCATCTCACTCCATACACGAATGCCAGCTATGGCTTCGAACACTGCATTCAGGTCTTGCTGCTCTGGAATCAATACGGAGATACCTTTTATTTCACACTTCTGTCGCTGACAAACGTGTTCGTTCAGTCGTGCGTCTGTTTGCAGCTCTTGCTCACCGAAGCTCAACGCCACTTCACTGAAGACCAACGATGCATACCTATGCCGACCGTGGCTACCAATTTCTCTCTTGATATATACGCAATGCCGATAGATCAAGTAGACTGGGAAAGTCAGTCAATGTGTTGAATCACACACTGAGTTTAACATATCAGTGGTATTTGGCTTGGACATGCCACTTGCACTATCGCCTGCTGTCAGTGCGGCTCTGCTGCCTTCACCTCTGTTGTGAAGTGAGAACCGGCCCTCGTTAACGGTTAGCTCGAGTGCTTTCTGTCTCTCACATCGAACCCAAACAATAAGAGGCTTTCTTCTCAGCCAGTCTTGAGAACTCTCTCGATCTTCAAGACATTCGAACCGATCAACAACTGATCTTTCTGCTACCTCTGGTACACATATGTGAAGTCGACATGTCGCGACCTCAGGGTCCGTTCAGTAATACTGCATTCAACTCTCTTCCCATCGAGGTATATGATTTTGCTACCCACTTGTTACCTATATGTATGCTGACTTTTCCAATAGCTCAACAAGGCCATCGTCCACTACCTTGACAACGACAAGGACATCGCGACATACCGGTTGATATGCCGTTCTACAAATGATGCCATCGACGCCGATCGTCAGTCGTTCTGGCGTGCAAAGTTCCGTGAGAAGTATGACTTCTTGGAGGGCACACCCAACAACCAGCTGCGGCGCATGTATCAGCGCCGGTCCAAGCTGCTGCGATGCGGCACCAAGTACGGCTTCTTTCGTGGCCATGGTAAAACTGAGGCCCGGGTTGTGAAGATGTTGAAAGATTTGATCATTGGTATGTAGATCCCGGCACAAGTCAGCATATCTAACGAAGAATACAGAATCTTTTTACGGTGCCACCGAAACTGATGAGCATGGGCGTTTCTATTGCAGGAATCACGCTCACCTCATTCAATTCATTCTCGAGTCCCGCCTGCTAAATAATGACCGACGACCTCCCATAGTCCGCCGTGGCGAACCTGCACACGTTGATGAGACACTGGCAGCTGTTAAGCTGATATGTTCACAGTTCATTTTCAATCTTCCCGGCATAGAACATAACATATTTGCATTCGACGAGTCACAGTTTGCCGTTTATCAATCCACCACCGAAGCCCCCATCTTCCTGGACAACTATGAAAAGGTGAACTTGGAATGGGTTCTTCACAGCATGAATTTCTTCCGCCACCACATGATGAACGAAGAAGCCCAAACTCTGTTCTACAAAATCGATGAGCTATACGCAACCCATAAACCCTCGCCCTGGAGAGAGCCTCTCCGTCAGGGCGCATATACACTCAGCAGATACTGGAAAGGTACCTATGCCTTCCTCGACCACTCCGAAGTCCAGCGCCTCCGCAAGCAAGGCCCAGGTCACGAAATATACATTGACAAGAACGTTGACGAAGGCAAGATTCAAGTAAGCCGCAGCATCATAGTATAAACATGAAATCCGCACTAACAACACTCCCCAACCCAACAGTCCCTCGAACTCGCCTTCGCACAACCAGCGCACCTCTCTAATCGCCGCCCCCTAACCTGGCCCGCCCTCTTTGAATCCCGCCTACACTCCTTGCTCCCTTCCACCAGCGCCCAACCCCTCAAAACACAAGCCCGCCACTGCCCCAAACAATCCCAAAACATCCAATTCGAAGGCACAGGCCAAGACCTTGACGACGAATACCGCGCTCTCGGCTGGCTTAATGCTCTTCCGCCTCAAGGCGGTATCCCAGGCTGGCAGCGTATAACCTTCATGAAGCATTTCAGCGATGACTACCAGGATCCTGACCAGGATAATCTTTGGGCGTACGAGGGGGTTGTGATGCCCGGTGGGAGAATGATTTTGGGGAGGTGGTGGTTTGCGTCTGAGTCGATGGCCACGCAGGTAAGTCTCACCTTTCTTCTCCTCTTCCTTTCTTGGGAGGATGAGGGTGTATGTATACTGACGTATGTTATGTAGTTGGACTACAATGGGCCGTTTATTCTTTGGGCGGTGGATGAGCCAGAGATGGATGGGGAGGAGGAGGAGGAGGAGGAGGAGTAGAAGTGCGGATTTTGTCCCATGGCACTTGAATGTATGGGGGGGCATTTTGTCGGGCGGGAATGTCATCGCTCATAGAAGGTCAAAGGTTAGGTGGCATTGCAGACATCTTCTCTTCAACCCATGTATGGGTGGCATGATTGTTCGGTGGTTCATTTTCAGCTCTTAGCTATAAATGATATCAGTGTCGGGCTGCAATTCCACTGAGACATGTCGACTTTCTCACATTCATAGAGTTTCCCTTTCTCCCTTACGTGAACAAGGTAGCATGCGTTATCTTAGACTTTTCTCATTCCTCTAGTTTGAACTTTTTTCTTTTTTTCTTTCAAACAGAGAGAACAAATTTAAAGTAGGTGACCTCCAAAAAAAAACAAAATCTCATCATTTGATGTCTACATATATAATCGTCATAGAGTCGTTATTCGTAATCATGCCCGCATTCCAGCAATTCCCAATCCAACCAATGCTCCTCCTCATTAATCCTACCGAAAGGAAAAACCTCATCGTTTCCGCATGGTCTGTATACATGTGTTCAAGGATAGTGTTGTGAAAAGAGAAGAGAAAAAGGAGTCGACAACAAAATACAAAGAGAAATGGGGTTATTTGTAATATTCCCATTTCTTTTTGCATTTCCTCCCCCAAAAAATGGAAAACAAAGAAAAAAGGATATCGAACAATCGTCTCTAACCTCCAACTTCCCAACGCAATGAACAAACAATAGCAAAAAAGAGTTGAAAGGCCGGGAATGGAATAACAAGGGAGAAGGTCTAGTACCTAGCACCCATGGGTGGCGGCGGCACAGCGGCACCGTATGGATTGGAATCAGCATAGGATGTAGCAGGGTAGGGCTGGTTGGCAGCTACAGGATATGCGTACGGATTAGCGCCTGGACCATTCATATTGCCGAGTGCATTGAGGCGGGCCTCCTTCTCTCGTCGTTCTCTCATCTTTCTCCTCTTGCGACGACGGGCTTCGAGCTCCTTGACGCTGTGACGCTGCTCGTTCATCTCTTTCCATTCAGAGTATGCTGACTTGATACCAAGCGCAGCAATACCCACGGCAGCGGCGTCTTGGAGCATATTTTTGGATTTTCGTTTACGTGCTTCTTCTGGTGACATTTCTCCTTCGCTGACGAGCTTGCGACGGTTTTCCGAGGCGACCATTGACGAGTATACTCCGTGGGCGGCGTGGATCGTGGCTACCGTAGCCAAACCCGCAGTGAGAAGCTCCTTACCTCGAAGTTTCTTGCGCTTTTCCTCCATATCGGTGGACGACTCGGAATCACTACTAGGATTCCATCGCCCCCGTTCTCCTCCTCCGCTTTGTGCTGCTAGAGCACCTGCGCCGGCCGCAGCGGGAGCAGCTAGTCTGCGATCTGAATTAGTCCTGGAAGGGGCTTCGGAATACTGGTCGTCCATACCGCGGCCTCGGCTGTACGAGCGGCGGTTGCCCCTACGCGATGGTACGTAGCTGTCGGAGCTGGAAGAGCGAGAACGAGATCGCTCGCGTCGAGAACGAGACTTGGAGCGCACACGGTCGTAGAGAGCCTTTCCTGCAGCGAGTACAGCACCAGTGCCAGCAACCTTGGCGAGACCATTACGATTGCCGTCATCGCTTGAGTGAGAGCGGGAACGTCCACGGGAACGAGAGCGTCCAAAGATGGACCTAGACCTGGACCTAGCACGAGAGCGGGATCGAGAAGGAGACCTGGAGCCATCGCGGCCGCGAGCACGAGAGCGCGAGCGTGAGCCGTTGGCTAGGCGTGAAGCAACAAGACCGCCCAAGGCGGATTCAGCAACGTGCCTCTTCTCGTGCTTTCCGTCTCTGTCGATGAGACCGTCGATACCAGCTGCACCAATAGCGGCAGTGGCAATACGTTGGCCTTTGGCACCAGTCCAGGGGCCTGGTTCTTTGCGGCTACGGAAGGCCTCGACAGCACCAGCGACAAGAGCAGCTTTAGCAGCCTGCTCCCATTTTTCCTTGGCACCTCCTCGGCTACGGCTACGTGAACGGGAGCCATAACGGCTTCGGCGGTCATCGTAATATCCATGCCTGTCGCTGTCATATCCACGGTCGTCCCGACGATAGCGGGAACGATCGCGGTCACGAGAGCGAGAGCGGGAGCGGGAGCGTTCGCGGCCAGTGACGGCGCCGATGATTCCTCCTAGGCCTGCCGACTCGCCGAAGCTCTTTACCTGGTCGACAATGGACTTGCGGCGCGAGGGCTTTGGGCGCTCAGAGTACTCGGAATAGTCATCGTAGTCGCGGTCACGGCCACCACGATCGCGGCGACGAGGGCGGTCATAGTAGTCGTCGTCGTAGCCACGATTCATGGAACGAGTGCGACGAGGTGGCGCATACTCTTCACGGTACTTGGTCTGTCTGAATTCGGTGCCAGGGGGGAAGTCGCGGGGGATCTCTTCGATGCTGTCCTCTCGGGCTGCAGGGCGGTAGACGAGATCACGCACTGCGCCTCCACGGCCGCCGCGCTCAATATAAGTCGTCTCGGTCACGTACTCGGGCTCCCGGTTTCGGTGCCGAGGTGGTGCATAGCTGTACTCAGACATGGTGCTACTCTGTACCCGCGATGGGCGGATGCTCTTTGCGTATGCGTCTGTTGTTCTCTCTTTCTCAAAGGTCCAAAATGTAGTATGGGTGGGGTCGGCTGCGCAAGGCTTGTTAGTTGGGGGGGGGCACGAGCGGGAGCAAGAAGGTCGGCGCAGGCAGCGTACCAAGGAGCGTGGTGCTCAGAGCTTTCTCAGTTTGCCTTTGGGGCAAATCTTTGTTGGGCAGGCGGTCGCAACGAAGAATGAAGAGTGCCTGGAAAGTGACGTGACAAGGTGGGTGGGGTAGGGTAGGGGAAGGTGTCGAGGGTCGCAGGGCAGCGGCAGGCAGATGTATTTAACAGGCCGAGCAATGATGACAGTTGGGATGGATGGCTTGGGGCCCAAGGATGTTAGTATCGAAGTCGGACCAGGCGGAGTGGCGTAGAGATTACCGTGTGTGTGATGCTGGTGCGAAGGTGGGCAGTGTCTTTAGTGCCCAGGGCCTGCTTATGACGTAACGGCAGGCTGCCTGTTGGGCTTGCCGCTTGTGCTTTTGCAGCCACGCCCTCGCCCTCGCCCACCTGCTGACTGACCATTGAGCGCATGCCTTCTTTTGCTCGCTGCCAATGCGAACATGCACATGGTGCCCGCCATAGCCCCCCCCCCCCCTCGGGCCCTATCCGCTGCCTTGACCGGTGTTGCTTCTCACCACCCCTCCTTTCGCTCACCAGCGCCTTGACGCATTCCGCCCTACTGTGGTGTCGCGCGGCTGTGCTGTGCTGTGCTGTGCTCTTCACCCTTCAGGTCGCAAGGCTCCCTAGCCACAGTTCCAAGTTTTGGCGCTGCATGCCTCCGCCTCCTACTCACCCGGCCTGGCTTGATGACGAAGCCCGGAGCCATCAGGTGTAGGGGTGCAATGGACACAGCACCACGTGAGTCGCTTCCTATTGGCCCATGTCGGTGGTAGCGTGCGAACCTCAGCGAACATGCGAGGATACACCTGTCAGCCCGTGGCCTGACATGTCGGCATGGCCCAGAACCCTACAACCCATGAACCATGGCCGCCAGACGCTGCCTGATGAAATCAAAAAACAACTCAGTGATGCCCGAAGGCGGCCTCTTGTTTCTTGTTTTGCGTGGCAACTCGTGGGGTCGTGTCGTTGCTTCTTCGCCCAGGAACCGGTCGGTAGGCACGGCATCTTGGTTAGTGCCCACGCGTAGTAGCCGTTTAGGCCCTGTCCACCACTCAGGAACAGACCCTTTGGGCTCCATGTAGGAAAAGCAGCCAGTCGGTCACCTTTGGTTGGCCGGGCCAAGAGACAGCCTCACAATTGCACTCATTTCTCTGTTCCGTTGCCGTCCACTCTATGACACCATAGCGCATAGAGATATTCCAGCTCTGTTCCATGCTATCCGCTCGCTTCGCTAAATTGCACATCATTTCACCGTGATAGCTCCGTCTGCAGCACTCTCTCTACCTCTTACGCTTTCCGCTGCCATAATCACTCCCCTCCCCGTCCCCGTCCTTGCCCGCACACGCTCCCTCCTCCCCTAGACTAAGCATCGCCGTCATGTCTTCCATCTGCCGCTCCAAGTCTTTTGAAAATTCTTCTAGTGCATGACTGATGCTAAAGTACGGCTTGCTGCTCTCGGCCACCAATCTCCACTTCTCGTGTGTAGCTTCCGTCTAGACAATTGCTCGTATCATAATCACTATGTCTTGTGCGAGGTGGCAGTGATGAGAATGATGCTGATGGTGTGTGTGTGTGGTCAGTCAGTCACTTTTGAGGAAGGAGCAACTACGCTGCCACCAAGAAAAACGCTGCGCCCTGTGCTGAGACACCATGTTGGCCTTTTCTCCCCGAAGACGTCTATCGCTGACTTGAGACGCATATAAGCCCAGCTGATAATTGTGCTGTCGGATCCATGTCCTGATCATTGGTCACTTGTGCAGTACAGGTCATAATAGACAATCCAGTAGTAAGAGCCCGAGTTTGTATCCCAGTATTCATGATCCTCTGTTCCGGCCCGATGCATATAGTACAAGCATACATACATAGCACTCAATTAGCTCAGGCCTTGATGGCGTAGTGCTTGCGGTTGTCGCTTTCCACCGTCTTGCCAGTCCTCTCCTTCTCCCACAGTTTTATTCTTGACATACGCTTCAGCATCCTCTCTTCACGCTCCCGCTCCATTTGAGCCTCTGAATCCTGTGCATCCACCTCCTCTGATAATTGTGATCTCTCACCGTGACAACCCAAATCCTTGTATAGTAACTTCTTTGCCTGCTCCCGCAGTTTCCGGGCCGCCTCGCGCTTGTCATTGCTGTCCATAGCCCCATTTGTCCTTGATGCCTCTTCAATTTCATCCTGCTTCTCTCGTTGTCCCCATGGCTCCAGGTCGGGAATCTCGGGCCACACAAAAGGCTGCTCCATCTCCACAGTCATGTACTTTTGAGATTCTGGGCGGAACCAGTGCCGTGGCTGTTCGCGCGTGTCCCGTACGGGCATTTGCTTTACGTACGAGCGGATGTTGAAGCATTTGACGTTGTACGCATGGTAGAGATAGTCGCGGAGATCATATTTTGAAAAGTCGAGCGGGACGAGGAAGCGAGCGTGGTAGGGCGATAGCTTGGGTGTTCGTACAAGCGCAACTGTGAATTTGGGGCTGAAGATCATTTAGTTCAATTGTCTCATACGTATGCATTATGTGCGGCATACAGGTAGATCTTCTTGCTGCCAAAGGCGATCAGCTTCTTCGAGATGGGTACGGCGTCCATTGCGGCCGACTGCGACTAGACGTGTGGATTCTGGAGAGAATTTGCGAGATATCAGATTTGGATATTGCGACTATTCAGTGGTGCATTGGCTTTGGCACAGTGCAATGCGCGTTGTGATGCCTCGCGTGGTTGCCCTACAGTGGGCTTTGCATGAGACTCAGAAATTGGATCGGAGGCCGACCGCACATCTCCGCGTCCGTGCGCATGCACTCCGCCTCCAACCTCTACCGTTGTCACCCACCCACCCGTCTGTTGCATTGTGGCGAAGTCTTATTGTTTTCATCCAGAGTCATGTGCACGCATAGCCATGAAAGGCTGGATGAGTTCAGCACTTGGAACGAAATATGACGCTGCCGGGTGTTGCACGATTCATATATCTGTATCTACGGACTTGTTGGATACGAGGCTTGGCAATAGGTCAAGGTATTGGCAAATGCAAAGAGACATCAGACAGTCTGTTTCCTGAATATCATTGTAATAGAGTCTTACATAGGGATATCATATTATTACTTCAAAAGCAAAAACCCTCAGTGCGAAAGAAAGGACTCAACTACAGGCCAACTTTACCAACACCTTTCCTGAGCGCAACGTCTATCAGCGTCTCCTGCATTCCCCGGAGTAGGCTCTCGGCAATATCCTTATCCCAGTAATTCTGGTTGTAGCATACGCTAAGCACAAGTTGACCTTGCCATATCCAGGTGTGCACCATCATTCGTAGGGTTAACGTCTCGGCACCGAGCCAAAAGTCCTCTACCTGAACAAGGCCGTCACCAATGTTGCTGGATAGCTTGTCGTCAATGGCTCCCAAGAAAGCAAACCTCGGCTGCAACTGCCCGTCCGTCTCTCCGTTGCTTCCGAGATTTGAGTCGGTCAACCTCTGTTCAAGAAGCTTGTGGAAGTAAGGAGATGAGCCCAAGTACGGTGCGTAGCCAGTGGCATAGACTGGTGCGAGTTGAGCGTAATACGAGTCGAAGTCGGTCCACGGTGAGACAACCACCTCGGTTGTAAGCACGCTCGTGTAGCTTGTTGGCGAGTTCTCTGGAGCCTCACCCTCGGGAATAAGGACACGGAGATTGTAGTGGAATGAAGCCATGAAGCTCCGCGCTTCTTCAGTTGGTGCCAGTTTTACTACCGCGTTCACCAGAGCCGCATGCAGTGCCACATCCAAGGCGAGCGCTGCATTGTCACAGCAATCCATGACAAGTTTTGTGTCGCTCTTGGAGAGTTTGACAAAGTGTCTTTGTGTGTATCCCGGCCTCTGGGCTTTGACCTTTGGTTTCAGCTCCAGGGCTGGCTTGTGTGGCTCAAGAGCAGCGAGCCGGCTCTCTGCCTGAGCTTCAATGGCGGGTGTTATCTCGTGACTGATGTGAAGAGTGTCCTCCATGCTGGGAGTCAAGTTCTTGGCACATCCGCCAAACACCAAGTCTGGATTCATGTTGGCGAGTGATTCAACGAGATGATTGAGGCAGAAGATTGCCCCCCGGGCGTCGACGCGGTAGTGTGGTGACCAGATCATGACTTCGGATGTATCTGGAAGGAAGTAGCACATCATCTGCTCGTTCCTTGGGATACGCCCCAACAGTTCATCCACTGTTTTACCCTCGGCAACGGAGAAAGTGGCCGACACCCACAAGGCGATGGACTCGGCGTCGCCGACACGGTAGACATAGTTGCCGTTGTATGGGAAAGCGGCAATTTCGGGATGGTTGTAGCGGACCTGTTTCCATGCGGTTTTAAGATAGGCAGCGGGATCCTTGATATCGGGGTGGAATTTGAGTTTAGCAACAGCGTTTTTGGCCCAGTTATCGCGGCCAATAGCATTAGGAACGTTGCGGGTAAGTATGTTCATCTTCTCGAGGTAACTTTGGGGGCGCTCCCAGCGCCCTGGGCGGGTCTCCTTCCATGCACAGCCCGGCATGTTTACAGAGTAGTAGGGATGAATGATGATGAATGATGGAAGAATGAATTTGTAGGTGAAGGCTAACGGTCGAGGCAGAGGATATGTGACTGAGTATGGGTTCAGTACAGAGAGATTGTCTAGACTAAATACTCTGGCCGTCAGTGAGCCTCGAGTTAGTGCGGTAAGGTGGCCGGGGAGAACAACCCCTAGCCTTGGAGAAAGGCATGTTGGGCAATTCTTTACTGCAGCCACCAATTACCCTCGCTTGAAACACAAACCGTTCGTGGAGCTGTTGCCCTAAGCCCTTGTTCCGCCGTATGTACATGGGCATGCGAGTTTGGCGTAACTTGAAAGGGTTCGGGGGTTCGGGCGGTGCGGCGCGTGCTGAAGTTAAGGGTCTACGCGGAAGTCGCTAGAGGACTAGAACCACCTGGACTATGGCCCACCACCGTCATCGCTTCTCCCCCTTCCAGCCTTAGTGTCTAACGGGCGAGGCCGCGCAAAGTATCGCGCTGAGTATGACGCGCAATACGGTCCGTCTACAAAGAGAGGCTAATGCAAGCAGAGGTGAGCATCGATCGGTGTTTGAATAACGTGTGTTCCTACTAGCAAATCCTACACCTTGTCCACATCCCGACGCTTTGAAACATTCACAACGTCTGGTTGACCGCTAGCGTCGTCGGCTTGTGTACTCATACTCTCGTATACTCTCGTAAGCACAAACGAAGCATCGTCAACCAGTGCTTTGCAAGTCGAGAAAAAAAGCACTTTGAAAAGGAACTTTTGGATTCTGCTGCACTGTGATAGGGGCTGGCCAGAACAGTCACCTTGCATGTGAAGCTGAGGACGAAAAGTACGCTAGATAAACATGCTTGTGTATATTACAGAGAACATGATTCATTAGCCTAGTCTTTATCCTTGCAGAATAGAAACCCGAGCCCCCACCCTGACAGGACAAGAAAGCAGAATTCCCTGACGGCAATAACATTCAGCATATGAAACGAATCGGGGGTTTTGTCCCAGGATCTAACGGCGGAAGCGCTAGCTCCCGCATCCGCCGATCGGGGCGATGGAGCATGTTCAAAGCGCATCACACAATGCGAATGGCCTGCAGTATGGCTATTCCAGAGTTTATTCTTTTTTGCGTTCTCCGAGTTGCTCTGGCGCAAGCCGCAGTTTGTCTAGACTCAGCCTTCGCCTGCGAGTGCCAGAAGAGTCTCTTCTGTCGAGCATATTGCCTTTTCTCGGACATGAGCGTCAGCAGCGAATGCTTTTGTTCCCCGATGTCTTATAGTGATTTCCGTTTTAGGAGGCCGGCGAATCAGCGGTCTTCCACCTCGCCTCGAGGTCTAAGTAAGTAAGCGTATAGTGGACGCGGGCAGGGATGCATGTTTGATCTTCTTGACACAACGCTGACTAATTGCACTAGTTCATTCAAGGTAAGTAATATGTGCATGCCATACTGGGTTTCTGGGAATCCCCACTGTCCTTCTTACATCTAAAACAAGCTACGTCTTCTGACGGCAACAACACCCGATGGACAGGCATGTCGAACAAGCTTCCAGCCTGTCAAAAATGCAAGCTGCGCAAGGTCAAGTGTGGTCGACAAGCGCCAAAATGTACGAGTTGCACAAAGGGAAATGTGGCTTGCATCATCGTCGATCCGGCGACAGGTGAGCAATATGCACGAGATTATATCAGACAGCTCGAGGTTCAAGAAGCCGACTTAAAGGCAACATTACACGGAATAGCTGCCGGCAGGCCTGAAACGAGCCATTGCACTATCGAAGCACCCCAGGCGACACCAGCCGGGCTTCCGACGGGAGCAAGCCACACGTCACACGGCGGGTTTGTTGGCGATGGCAGCGGCCTCGGATTCTTGCGTAGCATACTATCTGAAGCGAAATGGCAACGCCATCGAACGCACATACTCAACCAACTAGCGACACGTCCGGGGATCCAGCAACTGCATCTTTCGCCAAATCCACTACCCCCTGTGCAGGAAGCGGAGCAGCTTTTGGAAAACTACTTTACTCGCTTCCATATACACCACACATTCCTTTTGCGCCAAGAGGTTCTCGGCATTTTCAATCGTGTCTACAATGCATCAGCAACTTCTTCGGACCAAGACTGCTTCAAATTGTTCATGGTGTTTGCTATCAGTGCCACTACACGGTATCGTGCAGGGATCACCAACGAGCATCCGTATGGCTACTTTATGGCAGCTGAGGACTATCTTGGACGGATACCACTCATACGCGATATCGATGCAATTCAGAATCTTCTGCTGGTAGCCAGATTCGGAATGTATCACCACATCGGTGCTTCATTGTGGGAGATATCCCAATTGTGTATGAGGCAATGCATCGAGTGGAAGCTGCATTTGAAGCCGGCACATCCCTTGGACCCTCTTGTGGAGCAGCATCGACGCCGCGTCTTCTGGGAGTGCTATGTCCTGGATCGATACAGTTCCGGAATCCTGGGACGACCATTTGCAATTTCTGAGCCAGATATTGAGGTGGAGCTTCCTTTCGATGCAGACGACGATTACCTGGTCAATTCAAGCATAGCGAGCCTTGATATGATGCCTAAGCGTGGCCTGGGGCCTTCCGAAGTATCCGTGTTCATCATTTGCATTCAGCTAAGGCGAATCAGCTCTCGGATACATTCAACATTCTACAGTAGTCGAAGCGCAGTGGCCTCAAACGCTACCAGTTTTGGAAGGTTAACTGAGTTCAAGTCCATCGGTCACATCTACACAGCCTTCACACGGTTGCGATCAGAACTGAACGAATGGCGGGCAACCGCACCAATATTCCTCTACCCACGGTCCCTGTATGAGCGACCTGAATGGCATGACTTTTTGCATGAGAAGGATATGCTGCTCCTGGCTCGGGGCGCGATGCACAACGTACCGTCCAAGCCATATGCTGGTGCTGCTGTAAAGGAAATACTGACAGCCTGTTATGTTTCCGCGAGTAGAATCATTGAGCTGTATTCTACGTTGATGGAGAAACGCGCAATCACTTGGACACGCAGTTATTTCCAAGTGATCTTCACGGCTGGGCTGACTGTCACGTTCTGTATCAGTCTTGAGCTACTGAAAAGTAGTATAGAAGCAGACTTTGAGCAGCGCCATCCAGCCAGGACACTGGCTCTATGTAGTGCTATTCTGTCTTACTTCAAGGACAAGATGCCAGATGCAGCATCTGCTGCCGTGGTCTTCGACGTTCTGAAAGACGAATGCCTTAAAGACAATTTGTCTAGAGTTGAGACTTCTAATTCCAACCAGGATCCAATGCGCAACTCTGGAACACGCTCTGTCCAGAACAATTCCAGCATCGTGGCCGGAGACTTTGAACAGACTTGTGGCACGATAGCTGGTGCCATGTCGCAAGACAACATCAACTTAAGTCCCAGTAATGGTCAGTTTGACCCACACTACGGAATTGGTTCTCAACAGTTCGATTTCAGTCTGACCAATAACCTCATGACACAACTGGAGGCTGGACTTGGAGAGTACGCATGGGGTTCACTACCACTAGACGGCAATTTTTGGGATCAAATGTCATTCAACTATTGACTCTTTATGTACTCGGCCAATCGATCAATCGCTGCCATAGCCGTCTCCATCTGTGTTTGAGCAGTAGCGGCACCAATATGTGGTGTACTTACTACGCGGCCGGTACCCCAAAGCCCACCATATCGCTCCTGTGTGGGCGGCTCTTGCTCATGGCAATCAAGACCCGCGCCAAAGATGAGCTCTTCTTTCAGCGCTCGCTCTAAGGCGGCCTCATTAATAATGCCGCCACGTGCGGTATTGATAAGAATTGCGTTCCGCTTCATCCGGGAAATTTGTGGATAATCGATAAGATTACGTGTCTGGGGGAGGAGAGGGATGTGAAGTGTAACGACATCAGAAGTCTCCAGAACTTGCTCTAATGATTTGACGCGTGTGTGAGGTATGCCGGCCCACGCGTCTTCTGGCAGCAGCGGGTCATATGCGACGATGCTGCAGCCCAGGCCTCCCTGGAATATCCTAGCCACCTTCTGACCTATGTTTCCCATGCCGACTATTCCAATGGCCTTTTGGCTTATTATAAGACCAGAACACTTTTCCTTTGGAATGGTTTGTCCAGAGCTTTGCAGTGCGGTGATGCGGCCTACTTGACGTGCCACAGCCATGATCAGAGTGAGCACTGTTTCCGCAACAGCCTGTGCATTGACACCGGGAGTATTGAAGATTTTGATGTCGCGTTCGCGGCATGCTGCGGCGTCGATCTTATCAATGCCTATTCCTTATTTAGAATCAACCCGTCTTGGGAACGATAGAAGTTTCATACCAACACCTTGCTTGCCAAGAGCCTTGAGCCTGGGGGCCGACTTCACATCATCCGCTGTCAGGTATGAGCTGCGAATGAGCAGATACTCCGCCTTTTCCCGCCACTCAGCATGTCGACTGTCATCGGGAAGAACGGCGTCAAACAAGGATTGCGCATGTTTCACGGCTGTAGGATGGAAGGTATCAAGGAGGTACACAGTCGGCTTAGCTTCTTTGCCAGCAGATGGAGACTCCGCAGGCGAGTCGATGCGACCTGGTGCCATTGTTTATTCGTGCAGGAAGTGTAAATGCTAGTACAGCTTGGTCGCAAAGATGTCAGCAACGAGGCTTGTGTCTCTTTACTCTTGCGGAAGACATGGCTTGATTTTATGTCCATGTTTGAGTCACATCTACATGGTGACTGGTTCAACCGGTAGACGAGACATGTCCGACGCGTGGAACACGCAGTGATAGCCGGTGCCACTGGTGCAGTACGCTCAATGTTCAGGGCATTGGGGCATCATGGGGCCCCACAGCATCGCCCACTGCCCAAGGATGCCCCTCGGTCGTGTCCGATGGCAACCACTTCTTGCAGCCGGAGTTTTCGGATGGTTCCAACGGCGCCGAAGGCCCACATACCCGGGAAACGCGATTGGTCGAGTGCGACAATAGTCTATCTGCATTCTGCATGATCAAAATGCACCTTAAGCTCTAAACCATTGGCCACAGTCAGACCGTATCGAATATCCCATGGGGGTGCGGTCGTTTGATTGGTAGATGTACTTGAAGCTTTCTACTAGGCCAAGCTGAGGCGAGCTTCGGCCTTGGCTGCCAATTTTGACGTTCAAGTGTAGCGCATCCTTTGTATAAATGCCAACACTGATGACATATTCTAAGCCATGGCACTGAGACGTGCACATGACATGCAGCATGATACAAGCTTGTGAGAGGTGCTGGAGGAGAAAGCAGAAGGTTGTCTTGCCGTTCCCGTACAGACTTATCGCGCTCATGACTTCCTCTAGTGCTCGCGCGACTTGCCTTGCACGCAATGTCGTGAAGCCTCAACCACATGTGTGCAACGCCGACTCGGCTCTACAGCTGAAACACCCGGACTGAGCGGTTTAAGTTATATAGAGTCCTTGAAAATTAGGATTCAAACACTCGAAACACAACTTCGGGAAGAGCCGTTGCAAGATACCACACCATCGAGACGAGGATCCGATACACCTAGAGATCAAGATGATACTCAGCAACTCACTAACATACCAGGGTCGTCCGAGGTCGTGGATCATCCAAACGGTGATCTACATGACACAATAGAGGAAGCATCATATCTTTCACTAGCTGCTATGGGCGCACAGCGGGCGGATCGTCAACCCTTCCCAACCCAGGGCCTCTCTTTCCTAACTTTACTGTATGCTGCAATCGGCGTGTCAGGGGCAAACCCTTCAACATCTCAGGATAACCATGCTTTCCATTCTGCCACTCTGGCTAATCTTCGTAACGACGTTGTTGTGGCCCATTACGAGCAAAGTAGAACCGTAAACAGCGCCGCACTCGACAAGTACGTCGAGTTTGTGCAGCAGTCTTATCCGTTCATAGCCAGTGGAGACCTGAGAGACGTGTTCAATATTGCTTTGCAAACTCAACAGGGCGATAGAAATGCTGCTACTGGTAAGTTTCCAAGAGGTTGCATGTTGTTAGCGTGATTCAAATTGTGATCCGAAAGCGGCCTTGAACGGCTGATACTATACAATCTCTTTTCGTGCCCTTCACGCTCGTTCCTAGACTAATCATACAATCAGGCAATACTGTAGTTGACGCAGAGCTACCCGAGACGACTGTTATGATGCTGTTCGGCCTCGCCACAGGCCTTCTGGTGTCGCCAGGCTATACGTACACTGAAGTCATCGCGACCAAGTATGCAGCGTGTGCAGTAGATTTGCTACCTCGCGTATTCGAACGCGCGAGTGACTTACCGACTGTTCAGTGCTTAGTCGCATTGACAATCTACTCGCTATACACAGCACTCGGAGGTTCAACTTGGCATTTGCTAGGCTTGGCAATGACGCGCTGTGTTGCGTCTGGTATGCACACAAGTAGGTTGTCTGACTTGGAGTCAGACAACGAGAACAAACGAAACAGCTGCAGAACCTTTTGGACGCTCTACATATTAGACACGTACATCAGTACTGCACTAGATCGACCATTTTGTCTCAGTGATAATGACGTTCTGGTCTCGTCGCCGACTTCGACAGAGATTGGCAACGACGATAGGCGACTTCGCTGTCTAGTCGAACATGCTCAATTGCTCCGGTCCAATCGTTCAGAGGCTACGACAGACTCTTGGGTTCACTACATCAACCTCCGCCACTGGTACGATATTATGGATACACCCGCAGTTCCGTCACTCTCGCAACTCCACATGTTGGTCCGTGGCCTTATCGAGATAGTCAAGCGACTATCACTCCAGAACGACCAGAACTGGAATCTGATATTGTGTGGGGCCGAACCGGACATTGAGAACTACCTCAATCTCTTGGAGACTCAGCTTCTAGAACAGCGTTGCGCACCCGCAGCTTTTGACGCTTTCGATGTGTTCGCAGTTGGAGTCATGATCATGCAGTCACGCATGGTAAATGAGCCTGGTGTAAATCTGGCCGAGCAAACTGCGGCGCGCATAGCTGCACGGAAAGGCATTGTATCGCAAGCTATCAATGTCCTGACAATGCTCTCAATGCGATATTCTCCCGTCCGCAGTCTGAGAGATGTGCTCTCGGAGTGTCACGCTATCTCGACAGACAACCGGCAACTTTCGTCTTCGTCGCACCTTCGCGGTCTTATTGATCGTTCAGAAATATGTATTTCGAAGCCCCTGCAAGATATGATTTTTAGGGGGTTTACACCTTGAACTTGCACTTTCTTTCATCATTGCAAAGCTTGGCCAGACATTGTTTCACCATGGGGCGGGATACTGTGGCGGAGAAACCTACAGTCTATAGTTAATTAGGCGACCTTTTTGTTCATTTTGAAAAATACTTCTGAGGGAAGATATATGCCACACGACTACACAATACTCTAACATGCATCTTGCTTGCGAGTATTAAGGCAAACACGAGTGGCACAGGTCACGAAAGTTCAGCCATTGGAAATAATAAGACTTGGATTTCTCTCTACATCTGATGGCCGTCTACTGGAACCTCCGCTATCTGAACAGCATTGCCGTTCAGCTTCTCTGGTACACCGTTACTTACGTCATTGCTCACACCATTGCTCTTGATAGCCTTGACGTCTGCGGCAGAGCTTGAGGCCTTGACCCTTTGGCTCAGCTGTGCCATCTCTCCTGCTCTCTTTGTAGCACCTCCAAGTAGCAGTGGACCATCTGTGGCTGCCATGACCCACCTGGCTCCCATTGCGCAAAACTTCTCCACAAGATCCAGCCTTGAATGCAATCCTCCAATTCCGACATACTTTCCATACTTCTTGCATGCATTAATTGTCTTCTGATACACTTCAGTCAATCTTGGGTTATCATATTCGCCTGGAATACCCATCTCAGCTGTCATGTCGTTGGTGCCAATAAGCAGTGAGTCAACACCATCAACAGCCGCAAGCTCTTCAACACACTCGACAGCTTCTAGGGTCTCCACCATGGGAATGACTAATGTGTTGGTGTTGACTACAGGATTTGTCTTCTTCGCCGCAATGTGACGATATTGAAAGTGGGGCAAGTTGTTGACAGAAGATCGGTGGCCTTGCGGTTGAAATTTGGCAGCGGCGACGACGTCTTTAGCATCCTGAACGGATCGTATGTGAGGTACAATGACACCAAGTGCGCCACCATCGAGTACTCTCGCGATAAACCATGAATCTTTGGAGGGCACACGGACGATGGGTGCAATACCTGCATAAAGTGCAGCAATGCATATTTGGCCTGCATTTACTGTTAGCCTGACGACATAATGTCGAAGGCAAAAGACTCACTTGTAGTGTCTAGGTCGAAAGATGAATGCTCCATATCGATCAAGATACCATCGAACCCGGCAGTCTTTGCCATCATTGGCAACTCAACGCTGCGTACAAGCTTGACTGAAAGTGTGTATGCCACCTCATCTCTGAGCATTTTCTCCCGCAGAGAGTTAGGAAGGGTTACTTCCGCCATGGCGTGTGTAGTAGTCAAGTGATGATTTAGCCGGTTCAAGGAAGCTCAAGACAAGCTGGAGAGGTGAAATGGCACGACAATCTTGAAAATTCTAGTGTAAGAGGATGAATACCATGACACGAGATTTCAGTCCTCTTTTGTACACGTCTTGGTACACCCAATGACTGTTCCAGTCATGAGATACCCTCCTCGGGGCCTCGGAGGCCTCGACACGAGTCGTGCACCATCCGCCTCGGTCACGTCCGAAAAGTTTCCCCGCATCGGTCGTAGCCCCGAGCATGCTTCCGACATCCCGTAAGTCCCAAGGCGAACAGTCCAAGCCATAATTCTGGGTCGTGGGGAAAATATCTGGGGTCCGGGGATGAAAGATGCCCAGGAACTGCCAAGCATGGGGAAGACTATGCGCCAGATTGCACAAGCGCCAATGTGAGCGACAACAAGTATAAAGACGATCAGCAGGTCATGGATCTCGGTGTTCAATGCACAGAGTCTTGGTTGCATCTCGAGCTCTATAATACACATATTTACCCTTTCAGTTCTCTTTCAGCACAATGGCGACGGACTCTGATTCAAAACGGAGTGTCGAGATTATCAAGGTCGAAGATGCCAACATCAACGCCGAAGCGGGCTACTTACAGAGATACCCGCTCCTGGCGAACAAAACTGATGATGAGCTCGAGGCTTTGAACAAGGCTGTCCTGAAAAAACTGGACTGGAAGTTCCTGCCATGCATTACTATAATGCTGCTTATGAAGTATGTTTCACTTCTCTCCGTACATGGCAGTCAAGATTGTAGTACTGACATACCATTCCTTCAGCTACCTCGATCGAATCAATGTGTCCAACGCGCGACTTGCTGGCATGCAAGAAGATCTGGGCATGACAGACGTGGAATGGAGTGCGGGAATCTCACTCTTCTACGTTGGCTACATCATTTCTCAGGTTCCGGGTAACGTTATCATCGCCAAGTCGTCGCCGCGAGTCCTTATGCCCTGTATCATGCTTGCCTGGTCCTTTGTCACTATATCTATGCCGGCGGCGAAATCGCCTTGGGCTTTTATGCTGTGTCGCCTCCTGATAGGCATCACAGAAGGTCCATTTCTCCCGGTTATCGCGCTCATGACCTCGTCGTGGTATACAAAAGAGGAATCTCCTCTACGTATGGGTATCTGGCACGCGGGCACCATTATCAGCAATGTATTTTCCGGTCTCCTTGCTGCAGGCATTCTTACCAATATGGATAATGTCGCCGGCCTACATGCATGGCAGTGGTTTCTTTTGCTAGAGGGGATTGTGTCCATTTTGGTTGCGATCGCTGGATTCTGGCTGTAAGAGACCGTTTTGCCCTTTCTCTGTTAGACACTATTGACACTCCCTAGTCTACCAAACTTCCCAGACAACACCGGTACTTATTTCTTCACCGAAGAAGAACAACAAATGTCACAATACCGCGCTCTCGTCTCTGCTGGTGGCAAGAGCGAAGACGACGAAGGCGATATGTGGGATGGCGTTTGGCAAGCCGTCAAAGACCCCTTCACCTGGTTCTTCGCAGGCATGCACTTCTCCCTCATCATCGCACAAAGCTTCAAAGACTTTTTCCCTTCCATCGTTAGCACCCTGGGCTTTGGCAAGGTCGAAACATACCTCGTGCAGGCACCGCCATACGTCATCGCGTACTTTGTCACGCTTCTTGTGTCTTGGAGCTCGGGCAAGAGACTTGAGCACTGCTGGCACATTATCGGTTCCATTTCCGTAGCACTCATCGGCGCTGTCGTTATGATCTCCACACTTAACGTTGGGGCTCGTTACTTCTCCCTCATCCTACTCTGCTCAGGCCCCTTTGTCGGTCTCAACATCCAGCTCTCGTGGGAAACAACCGTTGTCCCGCGTCCACGAACGAAGCGCGCAGCCCTCATCGCCATCGCTAACTGCGTGTCGTCTGTCTCGCACTGGTTCAGCCCATACTTCTTTCTGCGCAGTCAGGAGCCGAGGTACCAGATGGGCGGTGGCATCATTATTGCTGGGTGTGGACTTACGATCATCTTTTCGTTGCTCGCGAAGTTCTGGGCGGAGAGGAAAAACAAGGCGATTGAGAAGGAGGAGGAGAGGACGGGCGAGGTTACGACTTGGCGGTTTGCGACGTAATTGGGATAGCAAGGGTATGAGAGTGTGAGTTATGAATCGAGATGTAACGATGTTATGTTTGCATGAAGATATACACGATTCTGGTGATGATATACGTGCACATGTATTCAATAATGACTTTTCCCCGTGCTGTTCGGAACTTTGAAAATCTGATTGAGTATCCTGGTGCAATTGGAAGTGCCTATGAATGCTCTATTAATCAAATTCTGCTTATTACTTATTGGGCTTCAAATATCTGTTACGTAGTTAGTACTTATTGTGTACTTGATATCTTTTCGCATGCGACAAGAGGATAAACATTTCACTATCTTCTGCACTTGCTATCAAAGATTGCCTATCCGTCGCTCCTAACAGTGAATTTAAAACATTTTGCTACGTTCACGTACCACTACCCCTTCTAGGTGAAAGGCAGCTTGCCTTTCAGTGTTGATATTTGGCCCACTGCCGCGAGTCACGTGAATCATCCTCTCACACTCTCCACATCCCATGATCTCCCTATATACTCATTGATCACAACTCATTCGGCATAAGAAGTACCAAACTCATAATACTTTCTATATGAGCACATCCTAATCAATTTCCCTTATTCACGCTTCAAGGATTTCTACAGGTTATTGCATCTGCTGTGCTGTCTGGTGAGGGTGAAGCTTGTTCGCACACGGCACACGTGCGCTTGCGGTTTCCGAGCGCGATTGCCTGTTTGCTCTCAGCCTCTCACATTAAGTCCCCTCACCTTTACCACTTCCCAAGAGCCGCACACCATCACTAGAACTCTACTGTGTCCCATTTCGGCGCCTCTCTGCCATAATAAACAAGCGACAACTATGGATTCACAAAAAGCTAGGCCACCGAACCCGACAATCGATCAGAATGCATTTAAAGGAAAGAAACCGAACAAAGTCATTTCTGTCCCTGCCGGGTTCCGCCGCCCTACTTATGCCAGAGAACGAGAGCGGATCGTCAGTGATGTCAAAGTCAGCACGGGATGCGCTGTGATTCCGCATTGGAGTTATAAACAGAATCAAGACCAAAGCATTATCTATCAATTTGATATTTTCGGGACCGGCACAGCTCTGGAGAAAGCTGTTCGTCACATCAACCAGTGGATATCGAAAGCGCAGAACAAGACAAAAGACTCGTCGGCATGGGCAAAGACACCGGCGTTCGACCCGAACAAGTGGTACTACGAGCAAGTTGATGATATGAAGCAGAGACACAAACAAATTTTCAAGGAAGCCCCATCTGAAGATATCAATCTGGAAACTGTGGGTACTTCCGAACCACCTGACAATTCCTAAACTCACAAATGCAGGTGGTTGTACACTGGCCTGCCGAACTCGACGACCGCGATATATCACCTCGAGATGCCTTTGGAAACAAGCTAGAGGTTTTGGATGTACTCAGAATTCGCAACGAAGTATTCATCACTCTCTTGGGGAACGGGAGCGGCGACTGGCAAATGAAAATCCAGTCACATGATGCTGCAAACCTTGAAGTGGCTGTAGAGGAGGTGAAGAATATGATTGACAAAGTAAAGACTGAGGAAATGGGGCTCTGCCCAACCAACATCATTCTGGATGACCAAGAGGGCATGGAGATCGTTTTCAAACAAGCTGATACATGGTGGCCGCAAATCGTGAACCGGACTTCACCCCGCTTTCTTCCAAGCGATATGATGGAACCTCCTGGTAGTTTTCGCCGACAGACACATCATTTATTGGAGCTACCAACGATTCAGCGTTCGTTCCAGTTGGCTCTCGAAGCTGTGAGACATAGAAGAGGCGCGTATGACTTGGTCATCCGCCTGGGATGTCTATCAGTTCGCGACGACGATATCAAGAATAAGCAGGTTGAGGTCGAATACAGTAAGGGGAAATTCTTGAGATCAATCAACGGTTACCTTGCACTAGGTGTTGAGAGATGGTAAGTGGATACCCCATCAAACTGTGTCGAGACGGTGGCGCTAACTGAATAGGCTGGCTGACGATACATCCGGCCAGCAGATGCTGACATCCCTCTGCTCATCTGACAAACTCCTCGAACCCATCAAATCCTCTAGCTACTCTGGCTATAGACCTGAAACGCTCGAGAAAACTAGACCCATGTTCCGAGGGATGTGGATATTCCGGGATCCAAACACTTCCTCCGTTGGCCTGCCACGTGAACGCATCCGCCACTCTGGGAGACCAGCGACTTCCGGCCAAACGCCTGTGACTGTGCCACCAAAGCTCATCATGATCCAAGTTGACTGGACTGATGATAATGAAGGTTTTTATGAGAAGGATACGCCGCGATTCTATGAGCTGAAGACAGGCACTGTAGGTCCCAAGCAGCACATGGATATCAACTTACTGGAACTAGGAGAGGGCCGTGGGTGGCATTTTTCACTGGAGTCCATAAAACCTGTGTCAGCAAAGAGTATGTCACCCCTCCTTACCCGATTTGTTGAGGGTCTGAGGATGAAACGTGGTTACAATCCCCAGTCCACCGACATCTTTGCTGAATGGGAGAAATCACCGGCTGTCAAGGATTACCTAGTGACTGAACGTTTGATTGTCATGTACTCTTTCGGAATCAAGGAGACATCCTACAAGGTCGAAATCGCACGCATATGGCATACGGATCGGCAGCCAGTGTGGAGTCTTGCTGTTCGTCATACCGAGTGGGCAAATCGTCTTTCAGAGCTGGAGCATCTTCCTACCGGTCGCAAGGCTAACTGGGGCAATACCATTACCAGTTTTCTACCAAAAGATGGACGGACTTCATACAACAATGGCGACGAAGACAAGAACTTGGGCTTGAGTAACCTCGATCTTGGTTCTGACACTGAAGCGCCTCCTCAGGATGGCATCCGCATTCTGGTAGACAAGCTGCTCCAGATCTCGGCCGTTGTCAGTTCGGTCAAGAAAGATGAGGGAGGTGTTGCTATATGAGGACGGAAACCGGCACTATGCGGGTAGTGGAAACAAATGAGAATCTGTGCATCGAGCGGTATGCATTCAGTTTCTATATTTCGCAACCTGATGCATGGAATGTACTTTATTTACACCATCCAGATTCATGCCTGGACATCAGTAACCCAGCTTTAGTTTCATGAGCCATTTTCAGACCTCATTGTACGTAACCATAACTGTCTTTTCTCCAGGTATCTCATGTTTGCACTCAATGTCATCAGTCAAGTAAACAATCATACCCTCATTCCCATAACCCTCTCTCTTCAGCTCCCCTGCTCCTCCCCCTTACCCTCCTGAGCACTCATGACCTTCAAACGAATCACCTCCTCCACCATCCTCACATTCTGCGCCTTCCCCTGCACCACCTGCTCCAAATCCTTCAAACTCTCCCCTAGATCCTTGACTTTTCGCTCATAAAAATCCTTCGCACCCAAAATATCTTTTTCTACGAAAAACCCCGTTCCCACGTCTACGAGCACGTGCTCGTGGTCTGTCAGTTTGCCCGGCACGTACAGCGATGATGTAAGGGGCACGAGCAGCGGCTTGTTTGTTGTGCTGGCCGTGAGGCCCGTGGTTATGGAGGTGAGGCAGTCTTTGAATTTTGACTGGGCGGTGCGCAGAGATTGGAAGGAGTTGGAGAGGTGGGTGAGTTCGGCGTCGAGTTGGGTTTTTAGTTCTTGGAGGCGCGGGACGGGGAGGGAGGTTATTTCGACTGCGTGGTTGGTGGTGTTAGCACTGTTCTCTTGTCGTATTCTTTTTGCGATTGCTGTTTTGCGCATTGGAGAATTGGAGGGAGGAGGACAAAGGGACTTACTTTGGCCGGGTTGGCCGCCTTGCTTCGAGGCCATGGTGCGTTGTGTAGTGGTGGGTTGCGCGGAGCTTTGCTGGGCGCTGGTTTGTGAAGGTCGGCGGAAAGTTTACATGGGCACGGTTTTGGCGGGGCGGGTTCGGTGTGGGGTAGCTTGGTAACGTGAGAGCGTGTTGAGCTGTCTCGTGCATGGGAACATCGTGTCTCTTTTGGGTTTACATTTCGTTTTCGATTTTCTTATTGCAAAATAATAATAATAGTCTTTTTAGGCCATGTAGAGGTAACAGGCGATACTTGAAACAAAATCGCCAAAATTACGAAAATCTATATATGATGTCTCGCACAAGTTTAAGTGAACAGGCCTATTGTCCTGTCGCTGCTGCAAAGTAATACGCCCATAAATATTAAATGGAAGCACACCACTAGGATTTGATTGCCCCCTTCACCACCCTCTCATACTCCTCCTCATCCACGCCTTTTGCCAAAATTACAATATTTTTCCCCGCCGTCCATTCCGCATCCACCAACACCTGAACCAGCCTATGATCCCAAGACCCCGACTTACGATACGGACTCTGCTCTTTGGCCCATTTCCACAACAAACTACAGCCCTCTGGAACAAGATTCCCGCTTTCGTCGCCCAAGATTTGGATGCTGAAGATATGAAGCGCGGCTTCCTCGTTCACCTCTTCGCACCGCAGATTGGCGACGAGCTTTGAGACCATATTTGCATCGTGCGAGGACGTCTGGAGGTGCTCAAGTTTTTTGTGGAAGAAGTTTGCGAGATCAGGTTCGCGGGCTGCAATGCGCACGATGCCATGATCTTCATGGGATTGGACGAGTTGGATCTGAGCTGGCTTCAGGGTCGTACGGAGCTGAAAGTGATGTGGTTGGAATTCAGGCGGTGCCCAGTAGCTGATTGTAGTTGCTGAGCCGGGTTCTATAGGAATGGTTATGAGGAGGGTGTACGGGCGTGTTAGCCGCGCTAGATCTTGATGTCGGCCAAGATCCTGGGAGATTTAGCATGGGTCTTTGTATATGGAGTGGTGTTTTTACTAGGGATTGTAGTGTTCTCTGCATTTCTGTGGTTCTGACTACAATGTCATGTCATGATGGGGAGTATCCAGATGCATGGATATGCAGGTGGTTAAAGATGTCAAGAGTGATGTAAGAAATTACGTCAAGTACGTGCGAGTATTTGTGTCGTCACTGTAAGCCAATACTGTTTCTTTCTTTGTACATCTATACAACTATTAGAGTAAAAGTGTATGACTTCGTATTGGTTGCCGTATCGAACGTCTATGCACGGCTGCACTAACTGGGCTTGTCTATCCGTCCACTAGCCAAAGGATTCAATCAAGATAGCGGTACAGGTCTCTGGCATCATAGTCCCAAAATTATATAACACAACAATCTCTCTGTTTGTAAAGAAGTTATGCTCATGAAAAATTTGCAGTGTCGCAAGCGGGGTACAGAAGATGCTCGGAAGTGACGGCATGTCCTGTATCTTCCCAGCTGAATCTATTAGATCACCCCTTATAATTCTACAGCGTCCAAAGCGGTGATTCAGAGTATTAGTTTCTTTCCTTGGCTCCTTGCCTCTTATTTCAGCTCTTATATTTTTTGGATCGATAGCGTATGCCTTTCGACTAATAAATGTACTCGTAGAACGATAATGGACCTAAGCGCTGGTCAGAATAGATACCGGCTTGGATTATACCTCCCCTATGTACTAACAGTATTGCACTATTCTGAAAGAGGATAAATAAACGCTACAGTTCATTTCAGTGCAACAATTCTACTTCGCGTGCTGGTTACTGCCTGTATTTAAATCAGAAGTAGTATATTTGCCGCATGGAAGTACAGTAAAAAGATAAATAGCTATCTATAGAGTCAAGCATATTGCTCAACCCCTCGATAAGTGCAACTAATCACAACCTATCCTACTGTACGAACATTAATTGGCATATAACTACTGACAACGGATCAACTATCATGGGATTGAAGCATAGTAATGCTCGTCGTACAACAAGATTAAGACCCTAGGCTGGATATGATTCGTAGTAATTTTCAACAGATATAGTCATGATATTTTTCTCATTGTGCTCAATGATACGCGTACATTTTATTTCTGGACGGAACTACATGGAAAACGCGTATTTTGCTTTCCTGGTGAAGAATTGAGTGTTATCTCAATATGGAATATTAGCAGGTAAACTACATAAAGACTAGTTTGTGATACAATTATTTGGGCTTGAAGTAGATTCTACCCGATTGTGTTGAAGCAATCCAGGCTTCCCTGTAATTCATCAACTGGATCTGCAGCCCTAGATTACTTGGTTGCTTATTACGAACTTGGTTAACGTAGATATGGTATCCATAAATGCATTCAATAGATGTCAGTGATTATGGATATACTAGGTAGATGAAGGGAGATGACTGCTGCATTTTGTGTCGAATGTGTTCGTGTGGATGTTATTGATTATAGAGTAATCTTGAGCGATGTAACAGTTTTCTGCGTAAACACATACAGGAATATAAAATAAAAGAGTTTTTTGGACTAAATTGACTACAGAGTATGTAACTATAGGAGAAATGTGAGGTGCAAAAGACTGTGGGTGATGTTCTCAAGTCACTTTTCAGAAAGGTGAATTATCAGCTTCTGAATTACAGCAAACAGGCAGCATACATCGAGAGTACTAAGCCTGTGCTGCTCTACAATTACAGCAGTATTCAGGCACTGTGTATCTTACCTACGAAAGACAATAATATGAATAGATTCCAATCAAAGGCTAATTGTTGCACACACTTGAAATCCTCACAACTGATCCACAGTTCTCTGTGGTACCCAGATCCAGCTTGCAAAAACACCATATACGCCCATCGACTGTAGCATGGCTGCATAACGTCACACCAGCCCACGCACACGTCGTACTCCGTTAAACTTTGGGCGGTTCCTGCATCATTCTTCAGCACCCAGAGACCTGACATTAGCGTGGATCTGTACCCTCGGTCCCATAGACAAGTTGCACAAGCACGCCTGATCTACATCTAGAACCCCGGCACCACAAAACAACGGTCCCGAGAAACACGCAGTATTCGGCATCAGTATCATTGGAGCATGTTCATGTGCCCTTTCCGACCAAGAACCGGCAATCTAAGTGGCGTCTGACTTGACAACTTTTGCTTCATCCCATCGAGATCCAGCTTCCTGTGGCGTCTGAGTAGATCGGGAGATCTCCATCTCCACAGTCTGGGATTGTTTCTATCTCTAGACTATACTCATCTTGATATGCACTTTGCTTTGACCGCGGAGGCGCAGTACAGACAATGCTTCAGTAGCAACCTAACCGACCTACATAGATAGTATGAACAAGATTGTTTCATGTCTCGCCCTGTTTCCCCGAGGTCTTTGGTTCACCGGTGTATCCAAGAAAGGAAGGGTAAGAAAAAACAAAAGAGCTTGGCATGGCACCGGTAGGGTCGGTACCAAGGCGATGGTGGGGGAAGAAGCTTATTCTTTTTGCTTTGAGGACCCAAGGTCCTGGGGCTGACAGGGCCGCGCTTCCTGCTAGTTGCCTGTACGAAGTGTATCCTCAGTTTGCCGGGCTGAGTTTTACAAAGAATGGGAGCTTGTTCGTCATCTTTGCGTGCATGCAAGGTACCGGGTGTAACACCAGGTACTTGGTCAAGTATTACTGTTGCCTTGCAAGTTACACACAACCAGCTGGTGCGAACCATGGACTTGGCAGGCTGAACCATTCTTTCTACTTTCTTTTGTCACCTTTGGCGCTCAGCTGGCATGATGGAGAAGTTTATCCGAGTTTCGTGACGTGGCTGAATAAGAAACGGTAGATGCGACACTTGTAGCTATTGCCAAGTTGGCCCAACTTGAATCAGGAAGTTCACACGGCAGTGGCTTAGATCCGTCATCTTGGTGGACAAAAGCAGGCTCGTGGCGGTACGGGACGGCTTTTTCAAAGGGTGTTGAGGGGTCGGTATCTGGGCCAAGACATGTCCATTATGGGGTACTTCGGTACCTGACTTTGATGCAAGCAAAGATCACCACTAGAGAAAGCCTCATCTGGATTAATTATTGCACCTGCCGTTGAGGCATTCTGTTCCTCGGAGTTGCTAAAGACAGTTTGTGTTACAGAGATGCAAAAACAAGCATAGTCTGATCCGATACGATCAGCCCCATTGAGCATCAGGTCCCCAGAATACGAGAGCAAACTATGACAAAAGAAAAGGTAAAGAATGACGAATCGCCCTAGCCGAGCTGCGTCCAAAACCACGATTGTGTGGAATACTAAGAAAAAGAAAGCCGTACCATGTTTCATGCGTGACGCAAGGGCGTCCAGCCGTGCCCCAGATTCCCAAAGCGCATTTCGCACATTTCCCATCTTGACTGGACCCGGATCTAGATTTCGATCTAGCGCATCCCCGCATGCACGGTAGGTAGACCGAGTCGCATATGTCAGCAACCCAATACACTCGACTCGTTACCCCCCGTCCCGTCTCTCACTCACCGATGACAAGCGGGGAAATCAATCAGTCTCCCCCTCAGCCATCCAGACATTCAGCTTGCACAAGCGGCCCCAACAAGGCGTTTTTCCCCTCTGCGCATTGGCAAGTCGTCGAGTGTACTAGAGTACCAGTGGCCCAGAGGCTCCAAAAAATTGGGTTATGGTCCGGACATGGTCGAAAAGGAAAAAGACAAACCACATGACAGCTCCAGCTTTCGGGACTAGTAAGGGATACCCCCAAGCCTCAACAATAGCGCGAGTTGCGCGCGCGCGCGCGTCGTGACTCACCTGCATACTGCCTCCGGGCCTGCATGACCCAGTCGGTCGAACCTAGCCTTGTCTGCGACATTGTCATCATCAGTCAGAACAAACAATGCCATGGTGTCTGTTTTGGGGCGGATGAGCGGGGGGCGGGGAGGGGCTCAAAATGCAGGCGCAGCGGGTAAAGAAAAAAACTGGAATCTCGCTGTTAGATTCCCGACGTGCGGATAGTGTTTGTGTTGCTGCTTGGGGAAGGACGGGACTTTGTTCCAGCCACACATAGTGTACCGATGGTATCGTCGTAGGATGCGATCCTGCAACGGGCGGCCATGGCATGTCCAAGGGTTCATGTCATGATTCAGACGCCGCCGTCGCCGTCCCCCGCGAGCTGGACTAGCGCCAATGGTAGCGCTTGGCGAGTAGCTTGTGCTCGCTCTTGCGAGCCGATCAGAGGATACGTAATGACATAACCGGGGGGCCTGAATGGCTGTACAGTAACTATAGTGGCGTAGGATAAGATAGACAGTTTGTAAATTGAATGCCAATCTATTGGATCGGATGTAGTATTTGTCAGATGGCGCCGTGCACATTGTTCTGTGTAGGAGTAAGCTTCAAGTTGTAAAGAGTTGTCGTAGGGCTAATCTTTAGCATCTGTTTGCCCCATGCTGATCCCTTTTACCGTCCGTATTTTCCTTGCACTTAGTTCGTGTATACTAATCATCTCTCTTATTATACCTGTACTTAGCTAGCTTTGTGATATCGATAACATCACGTGAGCCCTCTCGAACAATGAGACATGGCCCACATCCCTGGTATATTTGACGAGACTAGACATACTTCGAAGAATCTACCCCTATTCACTCAATACATCTTGAGTTCGTTTAGGTAGATGGTTACGTAAATGATCTATTTTGAATATTAGTATCGAGTCATCAACATATCAGAACTCCATGTTCTTATCTTGCAGATCAAGAATGTCACCTATGAGAAGTTGGAGTATGTAGAAAATACAGCCATTTCGTCATGGATAAGTATCAATTTCAGGAGAGTCTTTCCACTGCTAGTTGGGGTCTCAGACCATGGCTTGTGACTACAGAGACGCTCCTCTACGAATAAAAAACCTTGGCCATAGTACCGTGACAGAACTAGCTATGAAGGCCTGGAAAAGAATAAAGACAACGGCAACAAGCGAAATGAATTGGGAACATGAATTTAATCCTACAAAAATAGATACTCAGACTCCGTAATTATCTCACACCTCTCAACCCTGCTCCAAGGGCTAGATACGGGCTTTTCGTTCCTTCCGAACCATCCAATCGCATCTCCATCCTTCATGATTGAAAACATCAGCAACTCACCGCTTATCCAACAACATAAAACCCTGAACATACAGACACTAGAAGAAAGCGTTGAACTGCACTCTTGCATACTACATCCAGCAAAGGTCAGCACTAAGCGTGAATGGAACGCCAAGACCCTATCAGCGGCGCTAACCCGGTGAGCACATCGTGCAATAGATGAGATATTGAATGCCGAACACACTTTGAACATCAAAGAAGAAATGTCAACCTCCTGCATATATGCGTGTCAGATTTCATCGCGCACAATGCCAAGAAGATCTACGCGGTGTTGAGTTACGACGCAGAAATCCACAACACTCTAGGCTTCAAACACATTAGTAGATTAGGCATCCAATCACTACCGGGTCATGTACCAAGTAAGTATGCGAAACTATAATCCGCTACACACCGGACAAATGGATATACACCATGTCTACAATTGTATTTTGCCCATCCAGTCGGGATTATTCAGACCCACAAACACACAGGGAAAAGAGAACTGAGCCAACTGTAGCTACTATCTACCACTCCGTATCGCAGACCTAAAGAAAACTAGCTTTGCTAACGCTAGGGGCTCCTTTTAGTTATTATAGAGCTCTTTCGACACCTCATTATCAGCGGTAGCGTACCATACTTTTGCAGACGTGGCATATGAAATCATTCATCAACTACAACTGCCGAGTTCTCCACGTCGTTTGTGCGATCAAAGCTACTGAGAGTCGATCAATTAGCATCGGACCGCGTAAATCTGCGGCCCTTCTCTTGACGTTCCTACTGTGTATCTTACGAAACGGAGTTTGGTTTGCAAGGACTGTACAGCACGAAAAAGACCGCGTTCAAGGTGTTGTGTAGTGACTTGGTCAAATTCATTGCTTACACCGGTGCCGAAAGTCTGTACAGACCTGGTTTGGAAAAGGTAAGCAGAAATGATGGAGAACTATAAGACATTACTGTTGCGTTACAAGAAAAGTATATCGGCGTCTATTTCAACATCACAACAGTCTTCTCCTTTGTTCTTCCACATGTACTCGCATGTTACCTTATCTTCTTCTCAATCAATATGAAGAGCTTCACTCTCATCACCCTAACCGCTCTGGCGGCTTTGCTCTGCTGCTCCAGCATAGAATGGAGCGCTAGCAGAAAGACAGGCGTTCACTCCAGGGCCATCACCACCCGGATGCGGCTCATGCAACCCCCTGGGTACGACCAATAGGTGTGGTCCTGGACTCAGAGTTACAACCCTTGTGAGTACCACTTTAGGAGCAACAGCCTCGTTAAACCTCACCTCATATATAAGAGATGGGGTCTATATGTATTCTTGCATTCAAACGTTCACCTGGTTTATGTAAACCAATTGTATTACTTGCTGTATAGTTTAGGGCTTAGGACGGGAACAAAGGAAACCAACCCGATCGGATGTGAGATACGGTGCTATCCACGAGTAATTGTACATCACCTCACAGGTTCACCAGAGAGCTAGCTTACCAGCGATTGGTCTGCACCAACAATGCATCATCAACTGCACACTTATTTCCACTTCCACATCTGCCGTTTACTGAAATCTTCCAATTATGCCTTCATGTGATGTTGATGAATCCTGCACAAAGAGTGGAGGTGACCATCAGGCCATGTCCAACGCCCAGTCAATGACGCAGCGCCATGTGTATGGATGGATAATATAGTAAAACCCGCAATTAGCCACCACGCCAGGCAAAGGACCTAGGCCAAGGACCACCTGCAGAAGAAGGGTTCAGCCACATTACACATCGAACCCCAGCAGCACCTGCTTCCTCTGGCCCAACGCCGGGTGCAAACGTAGCTTGGCAAAAAGATACGCAGCGGCAAGGCCCTCGCAGGACGATGCAGGGCCCGCTTGTGGAGAAAGCAAGAGGCATAGGAGGCAGGGAAGGAGGGAAAAAAGTGTGAGTGGGGAACCAACGGAGCGACTAAACTTGATCGATGAAATGCCCTAGAGTCGATGCAACATAGCCTCCGACCATCCCGCCAAGCCTATGATAGTGAACGCGACAAGGAAGAAAAAGTAGCGAGCGAGACAGACAGAGACAATGGCGACATGTTGGCTTACACCGACCAGGCCCCACGATCATTACGTATCGTCAATCATTCGACACGGAGTTTAGCTCCGCAAACAAAAAAAATAAAAGATAGGCCAAAAGCAATCAAGACTGACATGTTTAGCGCGCAGCAAAAAGAAGCAATACCGATAGACTGGGTACAGTGCAAACAAGAAAAAACTGTGCGCCAACCGCAAACTCAAATGAAGAAAACAAAAACTTCATGTCGCAAAAAGACTGTTGGCGGGTAAAATGTGTATTGCACAAAAAACGGTCAGATTATGAACCACATACATGGGATCTTGCTCGTTCACCGGACGAAACCCCTGCTACTCATTTGCTTCGACGTTCAGCATTCCTAAAAAGACTAGAGCGCAAAAGCAAAAAAAAAACTGACTCGAAAAGATTGGTAAGTAAGGCCAATGGCCAAAAAGGCTGAACACTGGATGAGGAGGAGGCGGGGGGACAGTGAGGCAGAGAGACCCGAGGTAACGATACACAACAAGTACGTTGAGCCGCACAACGCGCGGGGGACCCGTCAGGCTGGGGAGCAAAAGCGAGCAAGAGGCAAAAAGAAGAGGAATAAGGAAGAAAGGCCGGAGTAGATCCGACAGGTCGCAAAAGCCCCTCCCCCCCCCCCAAAAAAAAAATTGAGCCCCCGGGCAGAATTTCCCAAGTGGCACAGTATCAATCCTTTCCTTTCTTTTTCTATTCAATTGTGTCTCTCTTAATTCACCTTTTCCCGGCTTGGGGCGGGGAGGGGCAAGAGGGGGTGCTCGCGTACGCTGGCAAAGCGCCAAAATGCACCAGAGAAAAAAAAACAGTTGGTCGAACAAATAAAATCTCAGCCAATTAGATTTAGCAGGTGCTTTGGGGAAATGCAAATGTCAAAAAAAGGGCTTTTATGTTATTTGACCGCAAGAAAAAAAAACCCCTCAACAAAAGATGGAAAAGAAACAGAAGAGAAGAAAAAAAAGGGTTTAAACTATGGACGAGGACGACAAACCAGGACAAAAGACGAGAGAGAGAGAGAACTGACGCCACGAAATAAGGTTTGGAAGGAAGAGAAAGAAAGGGATGGGAGGCTTGCCGGTGACGTGGATAGAGTCAGAGGGTTAGAGAGTGAGAGAGTAAGAGACAGAGAAAGAAAGGAAGGGAAACGCAAAAGCTTGCATATTCCAATGACATGCCTTCCCCCCCCCCAGAATAGCCGAGCCCTTGATTGCGCAAGTCCATGATGCATGGTCTTTGGTGGTCTGAGCGGCGTTGCCGCCGTCCGTTCCCGCATCCGTTCCACGATCTGTTGCAGAACCCATGTACCATGCTCGCTCTTTCGCCCACTTCGAATGCAGGTCTGGCAAGAGTGGTCCCCGCCGCCACCGCCTCCCCCCCCCCCAGTCAAACATGCGCGCAATTGCGGTAGTGGGACTGCGCTTGTACTCATAAGATGCTGTCACTTGTAGATCGATGAAGCAACTCCCTCCCGGGATGACCTTTTGTGAGACAGACAAAATACCTGGGGTGCAGGCACATGGTGAGACAGCTTTGCTTGGTACCTTTCATGGATGCTACTTTCGCTAGGCGCAGATAGGCACATGTCCGAACACCAAACGGTAATTGAGCGTAAAAAGATTCTTATCTCGCGCAAAACGGGGTGGAGATTACTATTAAGGGAAGGATGCAAAAGGCCTCCGGCTATGTGTTTCGAGCCCCCAAGTAGTGCCTGTCTAGACGTTCCTTGAAAATCCCTACCCTTAGCCCATGCCAAAAGCATAGAGCCTATTCCCTCCAATATACAAAGATGCCTACGACTGTGAAGCAATACCACAAGAAAAAAAATAACACAAAAAACAAGGTGCGGGGAATCTGGGGGGAATCTTGTGCAAAGCGATAACTAAACCACCACTAATGAGACGGATACAACGGGGGGCAGCTAATACTCGGAGAAAATTGCAAAAGATAAAATAGCAATAGCAAGAAGATGTGACAATCTGACCAAGAGCGGCGCCACTAGCCATGCAACATAGAGAACTCTGCCAGAGTATCCAATCGTCTGTCCTGCTCGCACTGAACCCATGCAATTACTATCAAGCCGCAAAGGAAAGAAAAAAACGGGGGAAGTCGGTTCCATGCCAAGCAGAGTAGCATGAAGGAACCTTGCGAATATGGTCGCTGAATAGAAGGTGCGTTTCAAAAGTCGCAAATATACGGGAGTTGGAGCCGCCGGGCTCCGGATAAAAAGAGTGGTTCCCCATACCGCCGGGTCTATGATGCTATCGTGTCATCTTCGTTGCTTGGCGTACTCATAACCAGCTCGTGTATCGTAAGGTCATTGTCGCCGATGAGTAGGGGAGCCAAGTGGGGCGCAGGGTTGAATGAGCGTAGTGTGCGAGATGAGACGAAAAGCAAACAGTAGGTGAATATCGTAGCGACTGGCTCTTGGCATGACATGAATCTAAATCAGTAAACGCCGCGGGCTTCCGGGAATCATATCAGTCCAGAGCGAACTAGATGAGTGTCCATGCAATCTCCAGTGACGGACATGGCGTCGCAGTGCAGACCTGCATTGCGCTTGATGAGGTTAGGCTGGACAGTAGCTTCCCCTAGTAAGATGACCATCCTCCTTGTTGAGAGGTCTGAGGTGGTGCCCAGCCAGGCATGCCAGGCTGCTGAGCAGCAGCACTCTGCTGTTGCATGAATTGGTGAGGGCTGGGGCTAGGCTGGTATGGGTTTTGACCCATTGCCTGGTACCCGCTGTCCCCGCCAGGCATGGAACCGCCCATGGCTCCCATAGTCTGATATTGCTGAACAGGAGTGCCATGCATCGAAGCGCTACTTTGGGCGTGGTGGAGCTGCGGCGAGGCGTGCATCTGAGATTGCTGGGGAAGTGGCGACTGCTGAGGAGGGCGCTGAGCGTATTGCTGCATGTTGTGCTGCTGAGAGAGGGGAGATGGCTGTGAAGGTCCCTGCCACATGTGCGATGGTGGATATCCATGCCCCGCGGCCTGTTGGACGCTAGGGAGCATGCCTCCAGGCCCCATGCTTGAAGCATTCATACCTTGAGGCATGCCGATGCTCGGTGGTCGACGGTGCATCTGGTCTGGTCGGAGCGGAGTGTGCTGTTGAGCCATGGGCGATGGGACCATATTGTTCTGGGGCATGGTTTGCGGGCGGTAAGCCTGCGCACCCATGGACTGCCCTGGTCGTTGTGGTGTCTGTGCTGTCATGCCATATTGACTTCCTGGCATGGTCACAGATGTCGAAGACATGCGCGGAGACTGAACAGCTTGTGAGACTTGTGGAGCATGCTCTCCCTCTGCTGTTCCTGGGCGGTTCGGCTGCACCGGCGGCTCATGCGGACGTGTCCAGACGTCGTTCAGATACTCTTTTCGGTTCTTGCGTTGCTGTTCAAGCTGCTTGTTAACCTCGGCTGTCTGCGCAGCTGCGTTGAGGATCTCTCCAGATGGGCTTGGCCTAGTCATGTCTTGGTAGGGGGTACCCTGCAGTTCGTGTCGTGGGCGCTGAACACCACTGTAGTCCCGAGGCTGGAGGTCAGCGGTGGCTCGGTGACTATATGCATCCGGGGCTGTGGTCGGCATGCTTCCTGGGGCGGGGTTGAGACCACCAAATGGCTGCAAAGGATTGATTGCAGAGCCTAGATAATCTTGGTTGTTGCCTGTATAAGCTCCAGGATGGGCAAAGGCCATGGCGTTGGCGTGGTTGGCTTCGGCGGCGGCTGCTTCTCTTGCCTTTGCTGCACCAGGTCTCTTTTCTCCTGCCGCATCTTCCTCAGTGAAGCCTTGTTTCCTGGCCTTGCTCTCCCAGTAGTCGTCGCGTACGCGCCGTCCGTTGACAATCAGCCTGCTGCCAAATTGCCTGAACATGGAGCGGGCGGTCACGATGGCGATCTGCCTGGAACGGTAAGAGTAAGGAAGAATTTCCTGGTGAATGAGATCGTCCTTTTCGGCCTGGGTGGCAATGATCTTGTATAGTGATCGATTCTTGTTGAAGAGTAGATACGAGTCTCGATATCCCAGAACGCGCGCGCATTCAGTGGCAAGCATGAAGAGCTTGTCAGCTCGGTTAGGCACAAAGAAGGTACGGCATCGGTATTCGCGCCCATCAAGCGGGTGGCCGGTTTGCGTCACCTTTCGCTCTCCCGCCTCGTCGATTTCGCGTGGAATGTATTCGTCGCCTTCTGCATTGAGCTGATCAGTCGTATGGTCGCGCACAGTGGGCAGCGCCTTGATGACTGTGGGCTTGGCGGGCGTCGCTTTGGCAGGTGGCGACGCCTGGGGAGGGGAAGCTTTAGGCAGCGATGTGGCCTGCAGCTGGGGGGTTTGCACGGGCGGCGCGGCGCCTGAGTGCTGCGATGGGGTCTGGGGAGGTTGGGAGCCGCGGTTGGGAGAACCGCCGTAGGGGGGTCGCGCGGCTGCGCCCTTTGAAGGGCGGCCACGACTGCGCTTGTTGTTTGGAGTGTCGTCGCCCTGCAGCTCGTAGCTGGTATCGGGGGAGCGACTGCGCTTCAGGCCGCGCGATTGTTGCTGTTGCTGTGCGACAGGCTGCGGGGGGCCGGAGAAGACATCTGGCCAAGGTCAACAATTACTCGCGGGAGGCTGCGTCGGATGTAACCAGACGCGCAGGCCGGTGCAAAGCAAGAGGGCAGCTGTGGGGGGGAAGGGGACGCGACTACTTACGCGATGGGTCAATGGTACCGGAATCCATGATGCCGTTTCCAATGCCACCATTTGACATGATTTGTATGGGCTGTTGCACATGCACCGAGTACATCCAGGCGGCGCGGGAGCGACCGAGCTCGAGGGAAGCTTCCGTCGAGCGTCGTGAAGCTCAGGGAGGGCGGGCCCAATCGGCGCAGGGAGGTTAGTAGGGCTAGGCGCACAACGGGCTTGAGCTGTGGGCGGCGGTCATGTGCTGGATGGTGATGGAGAAGGACGGGGTGTCGATGCGGTCGAACCAAGATTGAGGTTGGGGCGAGAGAGGCGAGGGCGAGTTGGAGGGCGCAGGTGGGGCCAAGGCTCGGACAAGGGCACGCGCTTCGTGTTTTGGCCAAAGCAGCGAGAGGCCGAGTTCAAGTACGGGCAAGTGTGGGCAAAGGCGATGGCGTCTACTTGTTCGATGCACGAACAGGTGGCACAGCCCAGGATTGCGGAGGAATATGTAAAAAAGGCACGGGTTGGTGACGGCGACGGTCCGCGCGTGCTGATCGATAGACACTAACAAGGCGTTAAGTTTGAGTTTCAGGTGTTGGCGCAGAACAAAAGTGCGTCGCGCGCTCGGTCGCGGTGCGCGATCAGTGCCCGTGGACAGGAGCCGACGGTGGAGCAAAAAGACGCCACGTGAGATGCAACCCAAGGCGTGTGTCTGCGAGCAGCCGCTGTAAGGGTGACTTGCAGCACTCGAGCGCGCGCGTTGCGTTGCTGGCTAGGGCGGGATGGGTCCTGGGGCGGGAGCGCGACCAGGCCGGGCAAGCAGGGCAGCTCTCGCACCCACGCACGCACACACACACGCGCGCGCACACAACACACACACACAGGAACGAGTGTACGAGCACCGGAGCGAACGGCTGGGGGGGATGGGAAGCAGACGAACCTTGGGTAGTGACAGGCTTTCTAGCCAGCAACGACGACGACGGGGGGGTGGGGAGACCGCGGCGTATGTAGGAGCAGGAACCCCGTGCGTGGTTGGTAGAGGGATGGATGGGGATGGATGGGGATGGGAATGGGAATGTAGAGAGTAGCGTAACGTAGCGTCGTCGTGGGCGCGGCTATTCTGGCCGAGGAGACAGGCGGGCAGCGGACAGAGGCTGGGTGGCAGCGCAACGCAGCGAGGCGGGCAAGAGGCGGGCGGCGAGAGCAGAGGCCAGGCCGGGTATGTGTGTGTGCGTGTGTGTGTGTGCGGACGGGGACTGGAGCGACGCCCTCTGGATTGTGGTCAATTACGAAAGATGGGCGAGGCCCAATCTGATATGCCCTTGTCTCCCAGCAGCTGACGGCCCGCACGGCGGAGACAAGACGTCGTCTAGTGAGCAAATGGCACGCAATGACGACGGCGACAAGCTTCAGGCATTAGAGGCGCTGCAGTGTGATAAAAAGTGGCTCTCCTACGGCCCTGCACGACCCGGTGGCTTTTTCGCTGCTACGGCTAGGAGCTGGCTTGCTGGGCAGACGCGCCCATGCCGCTCTGCCTGTGCTTTCTTCTTATTCTTATTCTTCTTCTTCTTCAACGGAGCGGAACAGGATTACTCGCATCATGCTGCTGCGCGATAGCGACCGCTAGCTTGGATCTCCTTCCTCCTGCCAGACGGCCCAGTCTCCACAGCGCCCTTGAGCCAAGCACCCGAAGCACGCCGGGCCTGCTGCCTCAGCTCATCATGCCGCTGATAGTGGGTGATAGTAGTAAAGTAGTATCGCGGCTGATGATGCGCCCTATCCTTATCCGTATTATCCTCATTGTCCTCGTCCTCGTCTTCTTCTTCCCGTTTCATTCCATATTACAATTCCCGTCCATTCTCAGCTTTCATGGCCGTGGCCCATTGCCCAGAGCTGCCTATCATGGCCGCTTCCGGCTGCCGACGCGACCGCCGCCGGCCAGCTCTGAGCGGCCATTGCAACCAGTTCGCTCTAAACTCCCCCCCATGTCGACCAGTGAGCACGCCTGTCCACCTGCTGATGGACCGTCTCCCAGCAAGGCGAACAAAGTGTCAGCAGGCTGCCGTCGAATCATTGATTTTGCACACCCATGGGCCTGCAGCTCGCCCAAGACAGGACTACCCTGGATACGTGCATTGGCGTCCGCAGTCATGCATCTACCTTTCTCCTTCTATCAATCAAGCCGTATCGTCTGACTTGCTACCAGGCCCAGAGGGAAACACTTGCCGCAGCAGCCGAATCCGGAAGCCCAAGTTTATTGCTGTGGAGCTGCTCAAACCCGCGCTGCCCTTGGCTTGGCCTCTGTTCAATATCATTTCCTGCTGCCTTGCCCGTCGCATTCCCGCGACCCCGACCCTGTCTGTCTCTTCCTCTTCTGACTGAGCTACGCTGATCGCCGAGCTTGGATGCGTATTGCATTTTCCTCTAGTAAGTATGTATTCCCTAGCCGGCTGCGCCGTCGTCGTCGTCTAGTACGCGTAGCGCCCTCGCCCGGCGCTTGGCCTATGAGCGCCCATGGAGCGCAGACTGCTCGACGCTATTCCATGACTCCGGGATTCTTGTTTGCCGTTCGGCCCAAGCTCCCCACTACTCAACGCTGCCTCTGATTCGAAATCGCATTCCCCCATGCCTTATGGCCAAAAAACCAAAAGCCCTCTTTATTTTGACTCGGCGATCTGTTCCACAAAGCGACCCGCTCTCCCGCTGAACAAGGGCACTTGGTCGAAGACCCCGGCAGCTTTTTTCTGCCCGTGCTGCACCCGATCCCCACCGTCCTACCTTGTCCGTATCTGACCGTACAGCCTTTCCGCAGCTCGCGTCACTGTCCTAGCGGGGGTTCAATTACGCCATGCTTGCCTTACTTACTCCACTATATCAAGCGCTCCCTCTAACTACCCTAAACCCGGTCTGTGCTCGTCGACGTCCACATGGCCTGAAACTGCGCGAAGTAACAATATCTCCATCCATATGCTAGAAGATCTCAACCGTGCTGTATCGTCCAATGCAAATGCCTGCTCCCGCTGCTGCTACTACTACTACTACTACTGCGGCGGCGGCTTCTTGTCCCGCCCACTTGGCCCTGCTCATCGCCTTCGTTGCTTGTCGTCTCTTGCCTCTTGACGCGTTCCCGGGAGGCTGTGCCACAATAGTCCCATGTCTTAGACCCTGAGGCAAAAGTTTTGTCATCTGCCTTGTTGCCCTGCAGGTGCAGGGTCTTGCCACTAATCTGGAAGTATTACCATTCTTTGTCTGATCAAGCGTCCTCGCATCCGAACTCACTCCTCATCGCTGGGGTTCTGGAGAAACAATATACCAAAGCATCCGGTTGGTGGCTAATACCTACTCTCCATTGAGTGATTTCCACAAAGTGTGCCGTCGCTTGTATCCACTCCTTTCGTAAACCCGGAACTACCACATGAGCGGAACTTGGAACCTGTTCTCTATGGCTCTCAATCTCCACACCTGCAATGCGTCCTCTGGGCGCGAGCGTCAAAGTCGCCACGGGCGCCTTACCTGAATACCACGTCGTCCTTGTTGAGCCGGTCCAAGACCTTGCTCATTACGCTACTAAACCCGTACACCGCTGTCATGACATCTGTAGCGCGCACATTACAAGGATTAGTTGAAACATTCCACTGTGAATCATAGTCATAGGCCCAATCGACTGCTTGGCGGGGCACTGCTGTTGAGCTAGGAGAGCTGTTTGATCATCATATGACAGCTCTATCCACTGTGCTGGATCGCAACAGCAACAGAAACCACACACAATGACGGGGCCATGGTCAGTCTCGACTGGCATTGCAGCCGACGGATGCAACCGTCGTACGTCGTCCCGTGCAATCGTTTTGTTTTCCATACTCGTTTCATCTTCCCGGCTTGTTGGGATGCAATTGACAGGACCACTTAAACGAGCGAGTGTGTCCGTTCCCGCAACCGTCAAATGGAGCACTCGAAGCCAAACCCTATGTTTGGCTTCTAGTTTGGCTTTCGGTATGGGAGCCGACTGCTTCGGGACCATACAGCTTTAGCGGTGAAGCTTACATGCTCTTCTTCTTCGGCTCCTAGAACACCGAGGTAAAAACAAATTGCTTCAAAAAACACCAATAGTCCATGCAATTCTGCTCTTTTGAGGCGTCGTCATTCGCGTAACCATGCCACCTCCGACTCTTCACGGGGATCTACACGCACATGCTTTTGCTGCCATGCTGTCTAGACTCCCAAATTTAGTCGTATCTGAGTTTTGAAACAAACAAGACGGCACAAGCTAATGCTCTCGGCATGTTCCCGAGCATTCGTGAGATAGAGGCCGCGCATGCACTATCCTTGGACGGAACCCTGCCTCTTCGGAGCTTCACGTAACCCTGCGGTCTTGTTCTAGTATCCTTGTCGGGGCGATTTGCAGGCTAGACGTCAACTACAATCGAATAGTGCCGCGATCCGCTCCAAAGTGGGGAGGTGCGGCGAGGCTGCATCAACGACTGAAGGAGTTGTAGCCAATCACCATACTAAATCAATGGTTTTCTCCATCAACAAGTGGTCAGGCGCTACTGGGTTGCGTGAAGGCTTGACAAGACCGGGGCGGTTATCGCATTTACCCATCCATAGCTGTCAGATGATCACCCACAACACCCGTAAATGTCTTTGTCGAAGAGCGTGATGGCTGATGAAGCTGGTCGTGTCTAACGTAGCACTCATGCGTGCTGTCTTTTGATTCCGCCTAGGGCGTCTTTCTCAATTCATGGGACCGAGCCAGGGGCCACACATGCATTGACCCTGACGGGTAGAGTACGAGGTGTGGGAATCCCTGAGTTATCGTGCCCACCCATAACACGTGGAGCCTTGTTACGACTTCTACAACGAAAAAGAAAACGTCTTCTTGGTTACCACCGTCATCAATCTCAAGATGAGAATCTGACTTTTCGGTTCCAATGTCGTGTACACTTGGACAGGGAAACAGCCAGCTTGCGTAGCCAGTAGGGGACAGGGCTAGACCAAGCATTGCGGCTGTAGATCAATGAATCTCCGAAACAGTCCCTTTTGGTGCATATGTCTTTTTCCAGACAGGTCATCATCGGTCTGTATCACGCTCAGACTATCCAGTCAAGAGAACAGACATGGTCAAATCTCTAAAAAAAAGCAAGATTGACACGTCTTTTTGTTGATCAGTAACTCCAAGGCATCCAGTTTCTGCATGCATGTCTCGGAGCGACAAGCTGCAGAACCCCTGTCGATGAATTGGTAGTGGTAGTGCTCCCGCAGAGATGCACCTTTCACAGGGAATCTCTGGATTGGACAGACGGCAGGAAACACAGGCACCTAAATTTGCATGCCACTGCGCCACATCCCCTGCAAGTGCGAACCAGATATGTGTAATGTGCTGTACAACAAACGACTTATGCGTCGTTTGATAGAGAAAGTAATGAAATGTGCCAAGAATGTTAATATCCAGATGACGGTGGACATGATCGCATCATTAGATCATGAGGCAAATCGATGCTGAGACATTGACTGAATGGTAGAATTGAGAAAAGGTTGAGGCTGGAAGCGAGGAAAGACGGTGAGAGGATGCTGCGGCAGGTGCTGCAGACTATCGATACCGATGTTGTTTAGGGAAGGCACGCGAATGCAGGCGATCAGCTGAACAACACAATACTGAGCAAGCATGCTCAGATGAGGTCTACGAGGTATGCAGAGGCCGAGACTGCAGAAATATGTCTACTACTCGTCAGTATTCACCTTGAGCAAATATATATTATCACGTGACTGTATATACGTCAGCAGTCGCGAAGTGTTTGATGCTGACGGTCCCGGGACAATTGTTGGATTCACTCTTGATCTTCGATGTTCTTGACTTCAGGACTTAGCAAGGTTCTGCCAATGGCTTGTTATGTCAGATTTGTATTCATTATCTTGCAACCAAGGGTTTACATACACCAACTTGGCTCCATCAAAATCGATGTCTTTGTTGTTAATAACGCCATTGTAACGCCATCAATTCGAAAATGCATAAACTGTTGGTATCGTACGATCAGGCTAGAGCTCGCTTGCCTGACTCAAATTATGAATCGTGTCTTGCTGGAGAAGCGATGAAACCTAAGTTTCAAAGCAAAAAAATTGCCCTTGGGTTGATTCACTTGCGGCCGGGTGCAAGACCGGGAACTGCGCTGAAACGTTCGTCACGCTCAGTCTTGAACAAGATCTGGCACCAAAATTCCTTGGCGTCTTCGTCATACCAGAACCAGAACTTGCCCTCTCTCCTGTCGATATCACGGGACTGCAACTTGACCGCAACAGTTTCATAAGGCTCTCCGGCAACAATGAGATACTGGTAGTTTGGGTCGGGCTCTTCAACCCTCTGCTCGTATGCGCTCATGATACGGACCTTGGGGGTTACGCCAGGGGTGAGATCTGGAAATTGGAACTGGAATAGCAGGCCATTTTGACGCGTGTTGGGGTCGCGTACTTTTGTGATGCGATATCCAGGCCGGCCAATCTTGATGACGTTCTTCTTGGGCACCACTCCAGCAAGCAGTCCTTGCTGGCCGACATCGTCCCTTTTCCCTTCTCTCTGCTCCTTTGCAGCACGGCGCGCCAAGTTTGTTTGATGCTTCCTTCCTTGCGTATGTGCGAGATATGAGCCATCGTTCTGATGGACTGTCAAGCAGAGACGGCACTCGAAGCTACCGACGTGGTTCTTGAAGAAGTACGGGTCCTTGTCGAGGTCAATCGTCTCGAGTGCAAGCTTGCGAAGACGTTCTCTTCGATCGGCGTTCGTCGCAGACTGTGAGGCGACACCTCCTCCACCAAACTTGGAACCTGCGCGATTCTGTGGGAGTTAGCAGCTGCTTTCAACTTTTTCGTGACGTGTGAATATACCTGGTAATCCATATTTGATCGCTCTCAGAGAGGTTTTTGGTCAACCTGAAGAGCTACGAGAGTTTTGGATATTATACTCTTACGCGACTTGTACTTGCTGAGTGCAGATGGTTGTGCAGTGAGGCGCGTTGGTCGTGGATGTGCTATGCGCATATCAGGACTTCTCGAAGCGGCGATCAGGTACCGCGCTAGTGAGGCTCCACTTGCCACATCACGTGCACGGTTGCCTTATACCTGCATGCAACACCCAAATTTGATGCCTACGATAGTCAATCGCATTGATTCTGGGGCAAAAGTTCGATTTCTCCGAAAACCACTCCGATAAGACTGAGAACTTTTCTGGCACAACATAAGGAGAAGGACCACGTGAATATTATCAAAATTACAGCACACTCTCAACGTTGCTTCACTGGTCGACATCAGGGCCAGCAATGACAACAGATATCTATCTCGGTAAACGCCTTTCGTATGCTTCCCACCTTTGTACGGTTCGTTACCACGGCTCCGTAGAGGGAACAACGGGTACATGGCTTGGAGTAGAATGGGACGACCCTACCCGTGGGAAGCATTCGGGCTCGCACCAAGGCACTCAATACTTTACGTGTTTGAATCCTTCTCCGACCTCTGGATCCTTTATCCGACCAGCCCGCAAACCAGACCCGCCGCGTACCTTCGTGAAGGCGCTCAAAGCAAAGTATGCGTCTGAAGAGGAAGAGTATGGGGAGGAAGGACCCCAGGATCCGGATGTCCAAGTCGTGTTTAATCTTCAGGCACCGCATAAACAGCAGGATCGGAAGCCAGTAACTTTCAATGGAAAGCCAGCAGAGGAAATCGGGTTCGACAAGATTCGCCGGCAGCTCGCTCAGCTGTCGGAATTGAGGATTATCATTTTGGATGGGCTATGTATGCATCGTCCAGAAGCACGGGGCACGAAGTGGATGGAAGATGGTGAGAAGAGTGACGTAAAGGATGCTTGTCCAAAAGCCATCGAACTTGATTTGAGCAGGAATCTGTTTGAGGATTGGAGAGAAGTGGCGGCAATATGCGAACAGTTACCCGAACTGAGGAGTTTGAGGGTAGAGTAGGTTTTGCCTTTTCTTTCACTGCTACACCCATACTCTGGCAGAATGCTAATAAAAGAGAATAGCGGCACACGCTTCCGAGATGTAAATCTTACGAACGCGGAGCAGGAAAGGTGCAGGAAAGCTTTTACACGTATAACGTCTTTGAAGCTAGAAGACACACTTCTTCCTTGGGCTGACATAGCACGACTTACTCATCTCTTCCCTTCCCTCATCACGTTTTCCGCCTCGAGCAACCTCTATACAGCACTCACATCACATACACCCAACCCAACAATTACCGACCTCACACTCGAAGACAATCACATCACATCCCTCTCATCCATCGGATGTCTATCGAAGCTACCGAACCTCCAGCGACTGATCTTGAAATCTAACAAAGTCTCCGAGATAGCCAGCGCCGGCGCATCGGCACCACTATTCCCGAAAACAGTGCGAGAAGTTGATCTCTCATTTAACGAGATAACGACATGGAGCTTCATCGAGCAGCTTGTTCACGTCTTTCCTGGCCTCCAGAGCCTGCGAGTCTCGCACAACCCCCTGTACCAATCGCTTCAGGCACCAGACGGCCGTTCTTTGACTGCCGACGATGGGTACATGCTGACGCTTGCGCGACTGGGTCAGCTCAAGACGCTCAACCATAGTCCGATCACCGAAAAAGAGCGGCTGAACGCAGAGTCGTACTATCTTTCCATGATAGCAAAGGAGCTCCAGTTTGCATCTAAGAACCTGCGGGAGGAAATCTTGAAAAGTCATCCGAGATACGAGTGCTTGTGCGAGGAGTATGGTGAGCCTGATATCCAGCGTTCCGCAAATGCTGTGAATCCAAACTCATTGGCTGCCCGGCTGCTTCGCATCAGATTCTATCTCGCAACCTCCCCATCTACGATTTTTGAAACAGAGATTCCAATGGGCAGCACTGCATATACTACTCTTGGTGTCGTAGGCAAGCACCTCAACATCAAGCCTATCAAATGCAGACTGGTCTGGGAAACTGGTGACTGGATGTCGGTACGCAAGTCGGCTACGGAAATTGTGGAGGATGATTGGAATTCAGATGATAGCGAAGCGGAGATGGGTATGGAGCGTGTGATGCGTGAAGTAGAGATTTTGCCTGGCACAAGGTCGATTGGAACATGGATTGATGGGACGGAGGCTACTGTCAGGGTCGAAGTGCAGTTGTAGGGCCACTGAACGCTGCTGCGGTATAACTACGCGGAATATTGGGGTTTTCTGAAAAGCGGTCTTTGTTCAGCGGAACCACCAATTGACCTAGCATTCATACTTAGTATATGGCATGTAAAATAAGCCGATGTACCTACAGAACCATTTGCGCCCTCCCCAACACCCTTCACGGCATGCCACCACCCCAAAGGAATGTATAGCGCATCGCCGGCTGTAAGGGTCGTTTCCCATCCTCTTACTCCGTTCTCATTCTCACCCCACACTGCATTCTCAAGATCCTCCATCTCCCTCCCCTGCATCATCTCTGCACCTCTCATGTTCGCATCACCAGCAGCTCCACGTATCTGCTGCCGCACCCTCTCAAACACGCCTCTTCCGACCTCAGGCGTCATCATCCTAATCTTCTTCTTACCCGCCAATTGCACAAAGAGATTTGGATTCGGATCCCGGTGCAACGGAGTACGAGTCGGCGGTCTACCCATCCAGAGACTCGACGCATAGATGTCACCACGAGCTTTCAAGCACGTTAGGAAAGTCAATGGCGTGGGCAAATCTTTGTTCAATTCCGCTGGAAGGTCTTCTAACAAGTGTTGCGCGAGGTAAAGGCGCACATCTTGCCCCTCCGTTGCGCCCATGTGGGCTAAAAGAAGGGAGAAAGGCGCTTCGACGCGATCGAACGTCTCGTTCTGCACATTGTGGGCGGATGGTCGCGTTACTTCTAGCGGCACAATTGCGTTGCCATGTTTTTCCAGATACCCCATATCAAGCTTCTGAGGGTAACCAGAATGTTCATTGGTTGCCTTGAACCATTTCTTCGCCGCTGGGAAATCGGAGAATGCGGATCTAAAGACTGCGGGTTTATTGGTGTCGAATCCGGGTATGCTAAGCTTCTTTGTGTTATCCAGATATTCTAGTGCTTCCACTGCACTGAAGCCCTTTGTTTCAGACAAGAGTGGCCGCACGAAGGGCTTCGTGAAGATCAGTGGTCGAAAGAGTCGGAACATGGAGGTTTTGGTTGAAGCAGTGACGGCATGGTGGTTCTCATCTGCGGGAGGGCTTGCCCCACAGGAGCTTGCCCCACCACACCATTTTCTCTACATATGTAATATCTCTTATATCTCTCTTCTAAGCGCCTGTAAGGAGTATCGAGGAGAGGGTGAAGTAAATATTCTCCACCTACACATGAAGAGAAGATATCTAAGCAAACGGCGCTGATACTATTGCGAAGTCACGTGGCTTATATCTCTCTCCTCTGACAAACTTGTATCGACCAACCTCCGAATATTTGGTCCCTAACTTTTTTTTTCTAGCACATACGACCATCGGCGAAGTACAGCATTGGGTCCCGTTCGCTCCCCAGACATTAAGCCTTCGACCGGCGGACTAGTAGTCAGGTGGGTGACCACTGGCGAATCCCCGCTGTTGTATGTTTTTTGGATCTTTTTTTGCACTTGGAAACCCAAGTCACATGGATTAGGTTTGGAATTTTAAGTGTTTCCAAACACCCGAAGCTCATCACAAACGCTCCATCTCAAAAACCACATCTAAACAATAACCTGGTTATTCTAAAACCAAAATTTCTCCCTCCTCCTCCTAGTAGAGAGGTTCAGGACCTGAGAGTGTATCGATCCACTATTCCAAGAAACAGGATGTGCCGCTTTTTTAACAGCCCAGCTTGGCATCCAATAATTCTAGCGCTAAAGTAAGCAAAAATGAAAGCTTCGGTAAGAATGAATTTCATTCGGCTACTGAGTGTTCTGAAAACTTGGGATGATTCAATGTAAAATCCCCTTCGTACAAATGTATACACGATACTAGTCTCTTACACGTTCTATTTCCATGTATCATACATTGCAATATATTAACCTATCGACAATCTACATTTTCATGTAGATACTGCATGTTCACAAGACAAACCAACTGTTCGCACTCCAGTCAGGTTACACGGTCAATAACCACGAGAAGCCAAAAGAGGGGTACAGGGTGATGACATGAAAGAATGTTGATGAGATATGCCGGGTACTAATATACTGAGTGTGTGGTACTGTACGATGGAAGAGACACTGGTGGATAACGCGTAGACATCTGGTAGCCAGATTACTGTATCGTATATTTCGTCTGACGTCAAAGATGTACACGGGCAAGCACTTGAACACGCTTCTTACTGCTTCGCGAAACAAACACTGATACAGCTCAAACCCGTTACCTGACGGGCAACTCCGTCTTGGACTCGAAGCTGTACCGAAGCCACTCGCCAACAGCTCTCAAACTCTCCCATCGCACACTTTCATCCGCCTCTTGCATCAGCTCCATAACTCTGCCCTTCAAGCCCAACTTCTCAAGCTGCTGTCGCTTCTCCGGCACCTCCTTAACCAAGTATGCAACATCATTGCATCCAATTGCCAATACCTGCTTGTCAGTTTCCCAGCTCTTTGACAAAATCTCTGCAAGCTTCTTGGGTAGTTCGCCCTTGTTCTCTTCCAATATGCGACGTGCATTGTCTCGCCAGAAAGTAGGGTTGCGATGGGGCGGAGACCAACGAAGGTGACCGGAGTGGAGCTCGGCTGCGTATTCGTCAAATGTGGTTTGAGTCTTGGTGTACTCATCGAGCAGCTCGTTTAGAGTCTGCAAGTCCTCGAGTGCATCCTCGTCGGTCAAATGACGTGACTTCAGGCTTGTAAGGAGAGAAGGCAGGCGAGCCAGGACGGCGGTAGGAAGCAAAGTCTGACGGTTTGTGGTTAAGAGATTGACAAGCGTAGAAAGGAGCAGGCGCGTAGTCTTCTCCTTGGGAGAGACCTTGAGGAGCTGTGTGTAGAGAATGACAATGTCGTGTTCACTGTGGCTGTTAGCGGGGGCAGAGGATGGTGGGGCGGGGATATAGCGCACTCTTGAAGACCCTCTCCAACGAGCTCGCCCTCAAAACTGAGCTGCCAGATGACGAGAAGTACGTGGTAGAGCAGTTGGAGGCCAACACCACCTGAGATGGCGCCATCAGCTGTGCTGCGGATACTGGCGCCAGCGCTGTATAGGGTCGAGTCCGTATCCTTTGCGGATCCCGCAGCGGCGCGCAAAATGTCAGATAGAGGGTTCAACGTCTCTTTCCTATGCTCCCAAAAGATGTGCCTAGAGCGCTTACTGCGCAGCACAGCAGAGTATTGGCGCACGGCAATGTCCTGCAGGCCGGCGTCGGAGGCTTTTGCCAGTGTCGAGAGGTAGGAGAAGAGTTGAGCGAGGGCCTCGTCAAGCTGGGGTGTAGTCTTGGAAGATTGTGTGACAGCGTGTGACAGCAGACCAGACAACACCGACGAAGTAAGCAGCGGCACAGGGTCTTCGTTGCTGGACGAGGCTTTAAGAAGCGGGAGGAATGGCTTGTAGGGGGCCGGATGCTGGGCCAGGGCCGATGTCAAGGCGGGAATATCTGTCGCCATGAGCTTCACGTTGCAGGCAGCAGCATAAGGGCAGCATGCGTACCATCAATCATATCACCCAGCAGGACGAGCATGTAGTGGATGATGTCCTGGCGCTTGGCGGCTGCCTCGAAGATGCTCTGGGAGCCATTGCCGCNGGAGCCGCCGGGGTAGTAGGAGCTGTTGTATGGGTTTCGTGGTGTACCCCAATGAGGGTTGTTGTTGGTTGTATCTGTGGTTGTTCAGCCAATTGCTTATATCATAACTAAAGGAATGCCTCATACCCATGCCCAGTTCGTGCATTGTGAGCGTCCCGACTAAGATGGCACCTTCTTTCTCCAACATCTTTGCGCACCAGCTGGTTTCCTTGTTGCCGCCATTGCTGTAGTCATGCGTTGTGCCGACATAGTGCTTGTAGTCCTTCACCCGCAGGTCGTCCTTGACGCCAAAAGGTACACCATCTAATATTCCCAGTGGTTTTCCTTCTTTATATCGCTGTGTAGAGGCTTTGGCGGCTTGTCTGACAAGATCCACCTTGGTTTCCATGAACGCTGTCGAATACGGCGAGCGCTGCGCGACATCTCTGCGGATGAGCGGCAGCAAGCGTTCGATGACGTCCGACGGTGTGAATGCGCCATTCGAGTATCCGTCGTGGAAATCTTTGACCGAATAAAAGCGGCTAGACGACGCGTGGTCCAATGGTGTGCGAAGGTTCGACTTGTCTGTGTAGCTCGCTGGAGCTTCGTCGTCTGGTTGAGACAGCGGAATCACGGTTGGGTCATAACGCGCATCGACGCCGTCGAGTTGTCGGCATTGCCGCAGGGTATTGAAGCCAGCATTGCTCCAGAGGATTCCGGGCACCAGAGGTACGGTCGCAACGCTGGACGGGTCAGTCGGTGCGCCGGAGGAATTGACAGGAGATAGAAGCTCACAGGTTCGCGAGGTAGTGCAGCAATGGCCCTTTGATCACTGGGTTCTTTCCTGGAGGTGGGGCTTGGTACGGCACGTCGTAAGGTTTGGGGGTCGGATAATTGACGAAGCGGGAAAACAATTGCTGGCTTTCTGACATCTTGACTGCGTCTGACAGAAATGACAGAAACGAGGGGAAATCGTGTTGTAAGAATGCACGGGAAGAGTAACCATGGATTACTTTCGAGCAGCTGTGAAGCTTAGGTCCACGGTCTGCATGTACCTCGGAATGTCACCAACGGCCATGCGTAGTTTCGCATGCCTCTTATGCATGTTTGCGAGGAATGAACTCCGCACCGTCTACAAACACTTGTATACGTGACTAATACATTGGTGTATATGCGTAACAGTGTGAGAAGTGGCAGTGCAGTGGCTAGTTGTAGGAGCTAGCTGTGAGCTGGTCTTGGCGGAGATTGGTTGTTTCCCAAACACCCGAAAAATCATAAAGCTCCCCAATATAATATACCTATCCGATTTTTTTTGGCACATACGACCATCGGCGAAGTACAGCATTGGGTCCCGTTCGCTCCCCAGACATTAAGCCTTCGACCGGCGGACTAGTAGTCAGGTGGGTGACCACTGGCGAATCCCCGCTGTTGTATGTTTTTGCTCTATGTTTTTACCTTTTTTGCGCGGGTTACGTGGTATAGCTACTAGGCCAACAAAGGCGTGCTCTGTAGCGTCCTTCACAGCATCGTTATAGATATCTACACAATATGAATTCTCGAGAATTTTTTTTGAGTGCATCTACGTCTTATTAGGCAGGGTGCGCAGACTCTCATCGTATCTGCGCCTAGTTTCATGCTGCCTCGCTAACACAACTTCCATCATCATTGTAGAATTCCGGTGTAGATGGAATAATCAACTTGATCAAGTCGCCAGGACTACTATGAACATTGCCGTGATATATCGTAGCAGAAGTAGATCCAAAATCTTGTAGAGAGAGGCCTTCTGGTATTCATTGTTGTGGTTCATCAATACACCAGTAGGCCTCGTTTTCGTTCTCTTGAATGATGTACTCGAGTCGTTGGCGGAATTCAGTCGAAAGAAATCTAGCTTCTTGTCCAATCACACGTGGAGGCTCTAAAAGAGTCTCGAGGTTCTCGGGTTCCGCTGGGGTGGGCTTGAATACTGGTAGCTCTGCATTGGCCATGGTATCTCCTTCAACAACCAGCCCGCTAGAATCCATACCAGTAGTTTCTGTATTCGAAGAGAGAGAAATAAAGTCTCCGCTGTTTCTTGGAGGTGAATGCCATATCAACGGCCCGAGTCTGCGTGGAAGTTTCACAACGAGTAAACCTGTTCGCACAATCTCCAAAAGATCTCCGATGGCCGTAGTGTCAACTTTACACCTAGGGTCTTTTTCCATTTGATCCATCCAACGCTCCACAACGTCATGTACCCTAGCAAGTCTTCGCCCATTGATTTCAGAGATCTGATAGAAGCAGCTGTGCTCCAAGTCTCTTTGGAACTGATCAACTCCATACTCCCCATATAAGAGCCAAATAATAATCTCTAGGATAACGCAGCCTGTAGACCATATATCACTTGGTCGTGAAGGTCTTATTGAGTTCTCAAAAAAGTGAGGCCTAAGTCTTGTTACTGCCTCTGGAGCTTCGTAGCGTTGGATGCCATATCTCGTTCGTGTTTCGATAGGGCGCATTTCTACGACCTCATCGTGTTTCCTTGCCTCGACCCAGCCATCAAACTTCCACGTGCCTATCAGTCCTCGGTTATTATGGAAAACAAGGATGTTTCTCGAGTTTATATGCCCATGTCGATATGAAGCCCCAGTCTTATTTAAGTTATGAGCAGCATCTAGGGCTTTAGCAAGCCCAAGGATCTGTTGAATGACATCTTTGACAAGTCGTGCTGTTAGAATAGGTGATGGCATTCTTCGCCATAGGTCAAAGAGATTTCCGCCGTCTGCCCATTCGAACATTAGAAAATATTTCGCTTCATCATGCCTTATTTGACGCCTAAAAGCTGTAACAAACCGAACAATATGCTCCTGGTTTAGTCGATTCAAATTCCGGAAGGCTTCAACTTTCTTTTGCCAGCGTTCTGTGACTGGCGCATCCTCCATTTCCTTTATCTCTTTTACAGCGAATGGAGTGTCTTCCAAAAGTCCCTGTTGATATTAGTAATCAGCCCTGTGGCAATTCAACTCTGTTATAACTACTTACAGGGGCCATATGATTCCGATGAAGAAAATACTGCGAGACTAGCCCAAACGAGTGTTTTTCAGTCTCATCATTTCTGGATACAAAAGGCAAGATATGAGATGCCTCTAGATCATGGGGACATTTATCAGTCGAAAAGATAGGAACAAAGAACCTCCACTGATGATCATAGAATCCTGCTACCCAGGGGTGTCGCCCTAACTCCCTACGGTCTTTGATAGGGAGTCTGGAGTCATCAATACCCTTACTCTTTAGCGACTTCATAACTCCTTTGGTATCGACTTGACGTATAAGTCCCACAATAGCAAAAGTCTTCTTAGCCCTCGTTTTGATGAAGTTTATCATATCATCATCTTCCTCTGACGGAGGTTCTGTTACGTGTAAAGTCTTTCGGATAATGCCTTCTGTAATGAGGTCGTGGATGACACCTTCTGGCAAGAATCTGAAAGGAGTGCTTTCAAAAGCGCTTTCCACGAGCCTTTCAAAAACAAGGGCCAATAGTGAATTTTTGTCTTCGTCTTCATCTTTATCTTCATCTTCGTCGGTGTCGTCGTCGCTAAAGAGAGGAAAATCATCTAATGAAGACTCAAATGGTCCACCTGCCGCCTCTAGGTTGGTAAACCAGCTGTTTATCCTTTCCCGAGGCAGTAGCTCAAGCTTGTCAAGATGCGACTTATCGACTTCATCAAACCCAGGATAGTCCTGTCCACGATCGGAAAAGGTAAGCGAGCTCAATGATGAACGACTATCAAGGTTTGAGGCACCTGTCGGAGCTGCACTCCTTTCCTTCACTGCGTCCTCAATGGCAGAAGTCAGTAAAGCCAGTAGGGAGAATTCGTGTATGCAAGCCCCGATGTGTTCGATAAACGTCGAGTTCCGCAAATCGAAATGTTGGTCTGAAGCTCTTTTCTTCAACCAGGTATCTTCGTGTATGGAGCATATTGGACATTTATCCAAGATCGGTTCTTCCACAAACTCACATGCTTCTACCAAATAGTCGACGCTTTCTCCTTCGAGTTCGTCACTGTGACACAGTTGAGCGTGTTTGGTAAACGAGTCCTTGTCTGAAAATATATCCGCAGGGTCACAAAGCATGCATTCCCATTTAGGAAGACTCTTATGCCCAGAAAAGACATGCATTTTCCATGCTTGAAAAGTAGCAAAGAGCGGCTGGACTTCTGGACATCTCGGCAAATAACAAGTGTAGGGCCTCAAATCATCTGAGACATGTTTCCTGATAGTATTAGTCAATGACATTGTCAAGCGATTGGCAACTTACACCCATCTCGAACCTTGCACCATAGCCTTTGGAATCGTTATTCGGCAATACGGGCAGGTAAATAGGTTCGCATTCGGGTCCAACTTCGGGGCACTTGGATAGTCCACCTTCGAGGTTGTTACTGTTGGCGGTGCTAATGGTCGATCGTTTTCTAGGAGTTCTGAGATTTGGTTGTCAGGCTTATGAGTCGACAACTTGGCTGTGCTGCTTTTTGAATATTCTGACTGAAGTGTAGACTGCTGTGCAGATACAGCATTTGACTGAATTCCGGATGATTTGTGCTTCTGATGAACTGTGCCATGTGGTGTTGAGTCATCCTTGAGTGTAATGGGCTCTAAAGTCATTGCACCTTTTGGTCTCGAAACGATTTTCTTTTCTTCTATCACCGATGGTTTCATCAGTTTGTCGGCGCGCTTGACCGCGAACGCAAATCTATGCCGACGCCTGGCATTCGCCTCGATCACAGCTTGTGTTTCATACGGCACTCTGTCCTCTTCGATCTGCTTCTTCATTTCCTTCTGCATTTCGTCGTATTTCTGCTGTACCCCAGATACTTCTAGACCTTCGGCGAGCATATGTCGGATCTTCTTCCAGATAAGAATTGACGCCATTTCTGCCTCAAAGTCCCTGTACTCTTCTCTGTGTCTATGAAACCCACTATCGGCATTTTTTAGGTGAGATGCAGCACCTGCTTGACGTATGGCTACGCCTAGTTTAGCAAGGACTTGGAACAATTGCTCAATGCTATCCTTGGCTTCATCTTCGGAGATATTTTCATAGCACCTTGCGTTGGATTCTGGCACTGTCGAGCTGCTCAGGACGCCACAATCTTGTCTTGGCTCATCGACACTTTCACAATATATCTCCAACCACGTTCTCAAGGTACTGAGAGAACTAATGACAAATTTTGTTGCTGCATCATCGTCGCGCAGACGGGTTTCAAGTGAGTGTTGCTCTTTTGCGCTCGCACCAACGCCCGCATCCCATAGATTGAAGTCGCTCAAGCGGTTCTGAGCCCAATGTATTCCAGTGAGCTGTTCATCACGTGCACATCGTTGTAGCAGGTGGCGACAGTCCTGGGTGATGCTGAATATAGTAACTATCGGGCGAGGATGGTCCACGTTAACGTCCATGAAATTGAATTTTGAGCAGCCCAATTCCGAGAGCGATGGTGTTCAAAAGTTTAGTTTGTTCTCAAGGTCGAGCTCACAAAGTTACCCAAGCACCTCCTCATCAATAAAGATTAGACACCCTCGCATTAAGCTACTTTAGGGCTAGTGCCAGGTAGCAGTACACTACAGAACAGCATAAAGAGCAGGTTTTAATATTATCAACACCTTTCTTCATGGTACTATACTAATGTAGTACTACGATATCAATATTGAAAAATCATGTTAATATGTGTTGTGGTTGTAGAGATATCTGCGTTTGAAGTTGTAACATAAACTTTGGTGTTCGTTCTGTGAGCACGGGTGTGTCCAATTTTTATTGATGAGGAGGTGCAAGGGCTGTGAGGTAGCAAATCAGTGGAATGGGGCCAAAAACGCGGGGCGATCCCGTCCGGCCTATGCATTCAGCCACAGGCTAGGTCAACTTGCTGCCTGCTTGGGCGACGGCAACAACACAACATCTTCTCAGCAATCGCAGATACCCAACTATCTTGATCAGCATCATCATCATCATCATGGATCCTGATGATCTTGTTAGTTCTTGGACTATGATTGAGAAACAATCGGATGTTGCCGTCGACGCATATGCAGATGCTTCCATGTCATGCCTTTCACAGAACCAACCTCGGCAGGCTTTGCAAAATTTAACTGAAGGGATCAAATATTTAAGTTGGAGGACCATAGCCCGGAGCGACTTTCGATCTAAGAAACCGAAACTTCCACGACTTGATGTCAAACCCCTCCCAGAAGATCTCGAAACCATCCATAGCGCCTTCGATCCGAAGTTCACAGCTGATGTCGAAGCAGATCTTGCGAAGAAGGACGCAGAAGCAAGTGCGGCCATCGCGGCTAATGAGACTAGCATCACACAAAGGCTTGAGCCTGAACAGTATTCGTACACGACAACAGATGCCCTGCACAAAGTCTTCTACGAGAGTGCACTACTACCATGCAACTGCACACATCCAAAAGAGCCATTTGATTTGATGAAACAACATGCATGTGTTTTGAGGTTAAACGGTAGTTGGGATAGTGCCGGAAACTCTAGCCACTATTTCTTCGAGTCAGTTCTCGCCATCGATAGCAGTTATGATTGGAAGAAGATTCAATTTCGGATCCCTAGGTACAATTTCTTGCTCCGAATTAGATCAGATTTGCTAAGCTTAATGGCTGCAGGAAAGACACAAAAGTTACTTTGAAGACTCATGACCGGAAAGGCAGTCTTGCATACGCCTCAAAGGACAGGAATACAGAAATGTCAAAAGGTTTGGACTTGGAAATAGACAGCATGAAAGACCCGGACGTACATGCAGAAATTCTGAACGATATGTGCGCACTTCTTGATGACGACACGTTCGATCTTGCTATACCTGTGCAGCTAGAAATAGGAAAGCAAGACTATAGCTTCTACCAGCTCAGTCCAGTCCATATTGATGGATCACCAGGCGATAGCCTAGATCCAATTTCCTTGTTGAGGGCCATCCAGGACAACATGATCTCTGTGAAGAGCAAGATCTTGCTAGCCTTCACTTTGGCAAAGTACTTTTGGCAGTTTTACTCATCGAACTGGATGCATTGTGTGTGGAATCTTGAGACGATCGTTTTACTGCCTCAAACTCCTGGATACAACTCACTAAATGTTGAGGCAAAAACACCCTTCCTATCAATCAATACAGGGACCTCAGAGAAACCAAGACTATCTGAAACCCAAGAATTGGACCCGTCTTACCCGACCATGCAGAAGAGATTATGGCACCCATATCCGCATATACTAAATTTGGGGCTCCTGCTAGTGCTTTTGGGTACGAAAGGTGGTGCTGCAGGCAGGGCACTGAACACATTAAACTCTGAATACTCCTTCTGCAAGAGTCAGCTGAAAGACAAAAAATGGCCTCATTTCGACTCTTCAGAACAAGTCAAGGAAATTTATAGGAATGCGGTGCGGTATTGCGTGCCTGAATCTAAGGAAAATATTCATATCAACTTAGCTGAGCGACGTCAGATGTTGTTCGATAAGGTCACGCGTCCTTTGTTCAACCTTTTGCAAAGTATGCAAGATCCTTTCGAGAATGAAATTCTATCAGAAGGGAAGGGGGGACTTCAGGGCAGTAGAGAGGACACCGAAGGAATGGATAGTATCCAAAAAGATCCCGGGTAAATTGTATATTCCTCAAGCACAAGATGAAGCTGATTTCACCTAGCCAACAGTCCGAGAATTGGATAACCAAGATCACAGATTCGAACCTGTATAGAGAGTTGCAAAGGGAGTACAAAAGGACGGATAAAGCAAGACCAAAAATCGCTCTCATAGACACTGGCTACGATCCTGAAGCCGCCTTCCTTCGCAGGAGATATCATAGCAATCGTCTATCCAACCATCCGCAGTACCATTGGAAAGACTTCTGCGAAGAAAACGCTGTCAAACCATTGGATGCAGATGGACATGGTACATCCATGCTCTCTCTGCTTATGCGACTTGCCCCATTCGCAGATATATGTGTGGCGCGAATAGCACGTATGGATCAAGACCTGCAAGGCAATCAATCAAGTTCGAGCCGGAAACGCCTGGCAGATGTAAGTCTAAGATTACTCCACGCTATAGAAATGTAATCCACGCTAACCTCTTTGTTACTTAGGCGATAAGATGGGCGGTAGATGAGCATAAGGCTGATATTGTTTCGGCATCTCTTGGATGGATCCAGGTGAACCACGATACTGATCGCTGTGCTGTGACAAGTGCTATTGCCTACGCCAAACATGCTCGTGATGAAAACATCCTTTTCTTTGCTTCTGCTTCGAATTTTGGAGCAGGCAAACATGAGCTGTTTCCAGCAAGACTTCCTGAAGTCTTCTCAATCCGTGCGACAGACCATGAAGGGCAACATTGCAGCTTCAACGCTTCACTCCCTGCAAAGGTTGGAATTGAGGTGTATGGTACCCTTGGAAAAAATGTTCCAACGGCACAAAGAGGAAAAAAGGAAGCACTCATTGCACGAAACGGCACTTCTCCAGCGACGGCTATAGCAGCCGGTATTGCCGCTCTCATCATTGCATATGTCAACAACTGTGATACCACAGGTCAATGGCAATATCTGAAGCAGAAAGCAGGATTTGAGAAGCTATTGGACGAGATTGCGACAAGGCCCGAAACACAGAAACGGTTTCTGACTCTTGAGAATGTGTACAATGACTTGGATCATCTCAAGAGCCTTATGACTAGTGTCTGCTCCAAATCTCGAATACAGTAGCCATTCAATATGGAGCAGAATGATGACTGTCATTTACATCATCAACGCATGCTTCCAAAGCGCTGGGCCAAGGCTGCCATATTAGTACAAGATGCAACCCCGCTTGCCACGTCAGGCTGCATAGCTTAGCAATACATCTTCAGCTTGCGTCTTCTGACCCATCTATATGTTTGAGAGCGTAGGTATCAAGCTTTGAAGCCAAAACACGAACGTAAGATCTTTTCTCACTGCATCGGCTGTTACTCCAAACAACCCTTCGACCCTACAGACGCGTTTTGAAACACATTCTGTTTCCTAGAGCAAGTGCCTAGAAAATGTCAGGCTTTCAGGAAGAGAGAAAGTTTTTCTTCAAATCGCCGGATCTTGAGTACAACCTTGAGGGACCGATACAGATTGGTAATATCATTACCGATATGAAGAATCCACAGGATCCTATCTCCATGCTTCATCCGATGCCGACAATTATCAAGGGCCCAGGCTATGACAAGGGCAAGAAGACGCACGAAGGCCATTCATCGGTCAAATTAAGCTTGTCTGCTAAAATCTATGAACTTTTTGGTGGCCAAGCTGAAGCAAGATCAAAAAAATCTTTTCAAACCAAGTACGAGTTTGATGAAATCGAATCCCTGTACCTTCAAAAGAATCCGACGCGAGCGGATGCCAAGAGACTTCGTGACGATGATGCAGAAGTGAGGGGAGCTCTGAATCGTGGTCCAGTGTATGTAGTTACTGGGCTGAAGATTGCCAAAGGACTGAGATACTCCAACGTACGCATGACGAATAAAGGAGGCAGCCTAGAAGCACAGGGTCGCGTTGCGAATGAGGCGTCAGTCGGAGGTAGCCTCGAGGCGGAGAAAGGAGGCGAGGACCTCGAAAGTTACACTGTCAAAGGTGATACAATCCTCGCATATCGACTACATATCATCAAAAAAGAAAGTTGGAGGTGGCTTGGTGAGCGGGATTTAGAGGTCAAGTCTCAAGAGGCAGGCGAAGGGGGTTTCATGAATCACGACGAACAGGCAGGGGAGAGATCGGTCATTATCGAGGAGGTCAACTTGAAGGATGCAAGGTACTTTGCTGAAGACGAGGAATATGGTGACGTTGAAGAGACTTGCCTTGAAGATGGTGAAGAAGAATGGTTCTTGCTCTCCATAGATTAATAGGGAGGGGCGGCGCATTGGGTTTTCTTCGAATCCCAAAAATTCTTTTACCACGATGCCAAAGAATTCGCAAGGTTAAGAGTTCGAATCTCTCCACCTCTACCACTAAAAGTAACATCCGAATTCTGAAGACATTTCAGTACTTTAAACTAATTCCTTTTAACACCACGTTTCGTAGGAAGGGGCTTTTGTTTTCAAGTTTTAGTGCTGAAGAAGCTTTCTCATTTTATCTTCTCCTTTTCGGACTCCTGCACCAATTTCAGAAACAAATTGAGCTATGGTGTGGAGACACGCGTTGGTGTTTGGCGGGGCATGAGATGCATTCGGGCGCACTACGTACTATTATTAACAAGGTTCATAATTCTGACAGCTGTAAGATCAGGGGAAAGAACAGTCCGTGCGTAGCCAAGGGATTCTCTGATGCAGCAGGACGAGTAGGTATTGGCTGTAGTAGCCTGGGCCATGCCATTTACAACACCAGCCAACGCTACCACGATAGCTTTGGTGGTTTCAATATAGAACGTCACCTTGGATACTAGTCCTGAACGGAGCTTAATATCGCTCAAAAATAAGAGTATGCGGGTCAGGTACTAAGCACTAAAATCTTTATATGGTAGCGCCGATAAATTGAGTCTCCGTTTCTGCTTTTGAAAACTTTGTTTTACTCAACTCAATCCCGTTCCCATCTTTATTCAGAAAAGGAAATCCTGATCAGGCCTAGCAAACGGAAACGGAGCTGCAAATGAACAGACCCCAAGGCTTTGAGAGGGGTACTGATTGGACAGATACGTCGGCAAAAGCCTTCCACTCTATTCAACGGCAAGATTATAGTTATGTCTGAACTATAATGATTTGTTGATACGAGGTGGTATTTAGCGTTCGCAAGGAATAGCGGTACGGATGGATGAGTGAGCAAACGTATATCATGAGATGTAACGGCAATTGATTGCAAGATAGCCACATAAGACCGCCTGTTGCCCTACCGATCACATTCTCATTTTTACACCACACCAGACATCAATTAACTATCTTATTGCCTAGAGCATCACATTATCTTTTCAAAAATCTTCATCACTATCTTATCACCTTCGCATATCCAAGATAATGAAGACTACTGTCCAAGTACTGGCATTTGCTTCGATGCTTTCTGTAGCTCTTTCAGAGTGCAACTTCGAACTATGCTCGTTTGGATCAGTCGGAAAATTTGACGACAAAGAGTGCAAGGGCAGGATTCACAGAGTGGGCAAAAATCCACGTGGACAGCCTGGAGTAGAGCAAGGCAACCCAGGCGACGCTCATTGGGACTGGGAAGTCGAGACAACTTACTACAAGATCAACATCTGGGATAGCGGCTTAGTTACGTACGATTTTGGAGAAGGCAATGCCTGTGTTATGCAAATAGCTAAAGGGAACGATAAGTACGACGTCCTACTTCCATCTATAAAGGCCCACAACCCCAACTGGAATGGACCTGGATGCTGCCTGGACGCGAGCCTTATTTATGGTATTACGGATGTTTTTGTATGGAATTGAAGGGGGACCAGTTGTAACGCGCCAGACACCCTTTGGTAGAGCTCCCTGTCGAATGGAATTTTGTTACATACAGGAATACCCTTGATATAGCACTCTCTTGAGTCCAGCCATATCTATGAACCTACTCAGGCAAAAGCAGCATCTAAATACGCCACCGAATAAGCCCGTATCAGATGGCCGGATTCTTTTCCGGTTATCTACAGTACAGAGAGTAAAACAGCCGTTGCCCTTTGCAACACGAAAAGCACTCAGCGCAAGGATCAATAACCTTACTTTGTAAGCTATCTAAAGACTTACGACAATAAAACCAGGTGTGGCACTTGCGCCAGCTAACGACACTGTTAAGTGTCGCCTGCTGCAGCCGGACAGCGTAGAAAGTTTGTTAGATATATAAGGAGCAGTTAGATATCAGCTCATATAGAGATCGATTGACCATGCAGAATAGGGTGTTAAGGCGGCTCTTGTAGGACTGCATAGGCGGAGACGCAGCAGTACCAATTAGTGATGGAAATGTCGCAGAAGAAGCTTACTCCCAGACAGGAGCGAAAACCACGAACCTGCAAACAATCTCGGCATAGATTAGATAGGTTTGGTACAGTCACCTGGATAACATCCTTTGCTTAACGAGTACGGCCTTTCCGGATCTTTGGGTTAAGTGAGTGGGCAAAAGGGATAAAAAGAAAACCCCCACCATCGTCAACACCAAATGAACTCTTGCAGGAAGCTTCGCCGTGTTACCAACAAGATTGATTAAGTAAAAAGATGCTCATCATGCATGGCTATCAAATTCCCATGCCAACAGCAAAAGCGATCTAATGCTCTTTTCCCGCTACCTTAACTAGCCCTGGCACCCAAACAACAATACTGTAATAACGTGTATCCTCGAAAAGCGCCTTGTTTGTCCGACAATAATTTTGCAGCCGTAATCATAGACTGATGATTCTTCTCCCAGACGTTTGTGGAGTCAGTACCGACCTGCGTGTTCCGCCATGTCGGCATAGCTGTGGCTTGCTCTCCTTATCCGTTCGAAATTGCTCATGTTCGTCTATTTCTTGCCAGCAACCTCATCGCCCATGCGGTTGTACTCCTTCTGCATGTTCTCAACCTGCTTCTTCAGGTTCTCCATGTCACGGTCCTTGGCCTCGAGTTCCTTCCTGAGAGCACCAACCTCGCCAGGGCCACCGGCGTTCTTCAGGGCAGAGTTCTTGTTAGCCTTGGGGTCACCCCTTAGGCTCTTGACCTCCTCTTCGAGACGGAGAACATCGAGGATCATGACGTAAGTGCGGTTGAGGATGAGCGAAAGGAAGAGGGTGAAACCACAGAGGTACATGTTGCGCTGCGAGTAAAACTTGCGAGCCTGGACCTCCATGCGTTCGATACCTCCAGCAGCGACACTTCTTGAGGTGTTAGTCTTGCAGCATAACAGAGGTGTTTGTCGACTTACCCTGAGCGGCCCTGGTCGTCTGAGCCGGAAAGCTCAATTTGTACGCGGTAGACGCGGTTCACACTGTCAATGAACAGTATGAGAATGAAGATGAACGTAATCTACACATGTCAGACGTGTCTTGTGTAAGGCTGTACTACCACCACATACCTTCATGCCATATTGTAATTTCGCTATTATCGGGCTCTCCGAAATGAAGGTGAAGAGCCTGCGGCGCCATGTGAACGGCAGGGGGACAATGAGGGCGCAGAAGATGAGCATCTCTGTCACCAAGAGGAGGAAGACCTAGAAGCAGGAGGCAGTCAGCATCAGGCCACATTCTGTTTCCAAAAGCAACGTGAACAGAGCACGCGAGCATCGAACACCGGATAGCCAGGGCATCGTTGTGCTAGGAAAGGAGGCAATTGAAGTGAGAGGATAGCTTACCAGACTGTAGTAGAGCGTCATGTTGTTGGTGACGTGGTAATATTCGCACGACGCGAACTGGTGTTTGTGTGGGAGCGGGGTTGACCGGAATCAACAATGAAGCTGAGAAGAGCTGATTTGCAAACAAACGCAGCAACCAGAAGGGATGTGATGAAGAGATCGAGGGTTTAAGAGGATTGGAGGAGAGATGATGGGAAAGTGGGAACTGGCGACGCGAATCTGATGTAGGAGCCGCAGGGTGCCTAGTTATGAAGCTCTACGTCACAGTCCCGGCTTGCTCACTAGCGCTTGGGCCGCCGCCGGTCTAGCCACTTGTGGCCGTATTTGCACTCACTTTTTGAGCGAGTGCTTTTCTCTATTGAGCGCCAACGCCAACAACATATCAAGAACCTGCTTCTCGTTGCGCCACAAAATGTCTACTAGCAATGGAAACGGGGTCGAACCTGCCCACCAGCCAACCGACGGCGGCGTCGCACCCGATTCCAACGGCATAAATGGTGGCAATGGCATGGTTGATGTAAAATTCGAGGCGCCCTCGAGTCCAAAGAAGAGAGCTAGAACGAGCACCCCGGAAGCTGAGGGTGCTACTGACACTTCTTTCAAGCGGGTCAAGGGTGTTGCGCCCATCAAGGCAGAGTATGCTGCATCACCAACATAGAGGGACTCACGTGCTAAGAACACCAGATTCTTGATACATCGAAACGACAACAAAGCCGACACAGGGGATAATGTGATTGACGACGACGCAGCTGAGGCGGCTGATGCTGACCACAAATCCGAAGGCCTGCCCAAGACTGATGCCCGCGATGCGCCTAGAGGCAAGGGCAAGAACAAAAAAGAAAAGAAGCAAAAAGGCCAAAATACCAGTCGTACTTTTGGAAGCTCGCGCGACAAGATACCTCTCTGCGGTACTCGCGCACAGTACAATGAATTTTCACCTAAGGATTGTCCATTTGGCGAAAAATGCAAGTTTGAACATGACCTCCGCAAGTACCTGAAGGAGGGCCGACGAGAAGACTTGACCACTTTTGATGGCCAGTGCCCAATTTATGCCGTCAAAGGATTCTGTCACTTTGGTTGGAAATGCCGTTTTGTTGGCAGTCACTCTGAAGAGCGTACCACCGAGGACGGTAGAAAAGAACTGGTATTGAAAGAGAATGCCGAACTCAAGGCGAAGCTATCTGGCGATGACGATGAGGCTGAAGCTGAAGTTGTCAATATTGTGCCCAAGGAGGTCAAGTTTGGCCTGTCTAGACGGAAAATTGGCACACCACGGTCTGATCAATATCTGCAATGGATTGAAAGCAATAGCCGGAACGAACGAGACATGTTTGATGCTGCTCAGATGGACCCAGAGATTCTTAAGGAGGAGAAGGAAGCGCGCAGGGCAGAATATGTCGAAGCGCCTTTCAGACCATCCGAGAAGCGAAGACTATACTACGGACCTGAGACGCCAATGCTCGCACCTCTTACTACCCAGGGTAACCTGCCCTACCGACGACTTTGTATAGACTTTGGTTGCCAAGTGACATGGAGCGAAATGGCCATGGGCATGCCTCTGATCCAAGGTGATAAAGGCGAATGGGCACTCATGAAGGCTCACGAATCCGAGATTAGCCCACCAAAGTTCCTAGCAAAGAACACTGTCGTTCAGGGCTACGACAATTCTACCGACCTCAAGTTTGGTGCCCAGATCGCAGCGAACAAGCCATGGCTGGCTACAAAAACCGTCGAAGTACTAACTGACCATTGCTCTAAACTACGAGCCATTGATCTTAACTGTGGATGCCCGATCAACCTCGTCTGCGAAAAAGGAAGCGGCTCCGCACTATTAGACAGCGAAGCAAAACTAGAGCACATCCTCCGCGGCATGACCTACGTCTCTAAAGAAGTCCCCATCACCGTCAAGATCCGCATGGGCACAAAAGACAACCACCCCACCGCACAGAAACTCATTAAGCGTCTCGTCCTAGGAGGCCACGAAGCCGTCGAATCCGGCAAAGGTACATCCGGCATCGCAGCCATCACACTCCACGGCCGCAGCAAGCAACAGCGCTACACCAAGAGTGCCGACTGGTCCTACATCGCCGAGTGCTCCGCCCTCATCAACCGCCTACGCAAAGAAAAAGACGCCCGAACCGACACCATCGCCGAAGCCGACCCCCGCGACCTCGCAAACGGCGGCCACGTCTACTTCGTCGGCAACGGCGACTGCTACTCTCACATCGACTACTACAATCACCTCGAAAACGCAAAAGTCGACACCGTCATGGCCGGCCGCGGCGCCCTCATCAAACCCTGGCTCTTTGAGGAAATCGAAAAGGGCCAGTACCTCGACAAGTCCGCCACCGAACGCCTGTCCTACATCGAGAAGTTCACAAAATACGGTCTTCAGACTTGGGGATCCGATGAAATGGGAATCGGGACTACACGCCGCTTTTTGCTCGAGTGGCTGAGCTTTGCGCATCGATATGTGCCTGTGGGCTTGCTGGAGCATTTGCCACCGCATATTAATGACCGCCCGCCGAGATTTAGGGGACGCAATGAGTTGGAGACTTTGATGGCGAGTGAACATTATAAGGATTGGATCAAGATTAGGTATGTTCCTTGTGTTGTGATTAGGAAGATTGTATGGGTGGCTAACGGTGTGACAGTGAAATGTTCCTTGGTCCGGCTCATGAGAACTTCAAGTTTGAACCCAAGCATAAGTCGAACGCGTATGAGTTTGAGGCAGAGGGGTAGATGGGTGTCTAGGGAAGGGTTCGCTAAGGTTCCGTTTTGATGTCTGCATGAAGTTCAAAGTTAGAAAAGAACAAAAAGAGATGGACGAAGAGCATGGGTTAGCATGACTTGGTATGGAGAACTATTTTACCTGGGCAAAGCATCAGTCTGCATTTGATCAACTGGCTATATACATCAGAGATCTAGTATCACCACGATACCAACACGCATGAAGCTTACATTCCTTATTCCAAGCTCTCATCATAGCAATCAGGTATCCCACGCGCCTCTCCAAACTCCCCTCACACATAATCATACAAATCCAACCTCCCCGCCTCTCTACTCCAAAAATCCAACCAACGCCTCCAACATATCCCTCTCGGCCTTCTCCACCGCCAACACACCATCCAACTGCGCCTGCAACGTCCTCTTGACATCCGCCAACCCCTCATCCCTCTCCGCCAACCTCTCCTGCACCGCCTTCTTCGCTCCCGCATCCTCAGCCACCAACCACGCGAGAATCGCATCAATCCGCTCCAAACAATACAGGCCCTCGCCCAACCTCTCCGTTGTATTCTCCAACTCCCACTCCTCCAGTTCCTCGCCGCTCAACCCTTGCTTCAGCGTAGCGCTCCGCGCATCGAATGCCGCAAGGCGGGCTACGTAATCCCGTCGTAGGGAAACGAGTTTAGTTATCTTTTCGTAATCTTTCTCGAGGAACTTGGCGAGGAGGCGGAACCGCGAGTCGGAGTTTCCGGGTAGCGAACGCAAGAGGGAGGCGAAGATCGAGAGGATGTGTTCGGTTTGTTGGGGATCTAGTTTCTTGGACTTCATAAAAGTTGAGAATAAGGGTTTGAGACCGCGGGATTCGACGACTTTGTCGCAGACGGCCATTGCGCTGTTGGTTAAGGGCGCTGTGTCTTGGTCTTGGGTGGCGGCTTTGCCTTTGCTGTTGTTGGAGGAGGGGTCTGGTGTGGGATCTGAGGCGTAACCGCAGGCGTGGTCGAGGACTTTTAGAGCGCGGCTTTTGCTTGTTTTGCCGTCGCGGATGAAAAGGAGACAGAGCTCTACGCCTTCGGCTTCGAGGAACTTGGATTTGCCAAGGGGCTCTTCGGTGATGGAGCAGAGGCAGTTGAAGAGGTTTTCCATGTATTCTTCTTCGTAGCTGTCTCTTTCTGGGTCATCTCGTCGGTATGGCGCAAGATTTGTGAGGAAGATTTCGACGCCATTGGCTTCGGCGACGTGGTTTCGGTTCGGTCGCGAAGATTGTGTGAGGATGGAAAGGATCTCGGCGGCGTATTGTTTGTTTTGTGATGTTGGTTTCTCGGGCTTTTGGATTCTGTCCAGTAGCCACTTTAGTAGCGTGGTTTCCTTCCCTATCAAGTCTGTATTTGCTGGTTGTGACAGTAGATTCTCGATTACGCTGAGCGAATTGTACACGCCAGATGCGTCGGCCTCGTCGGTTTCGTCGAAGCGCGAAAAGTTGGAGATGAGCAGGCTGACCAAGTCTGCCTCCATGAATGCCACCACAAGCGCATCCCATTGCTCCTGCTCTCCTCCCACGTCCTCGTCTGTGAGCTCCGATATCATTTCAATCGCAGCGATTGCAATGTCTGTGTTCTCATGCGCTAGTAGTTCCACCAACTTTGACGCTGCTGTGCTCTTTGCGAATTCCTCGTATAGCTCCGGGTGCTCTGACAGTATGCTCAGCGCCTTTATGCCTTCATCCAAATCGCCCTCCGACTCCATAAACTTTGTAGGATCGTTTTCATACTTTGCGCGTAGCGAAGCATTCTTGTTGACCTTCTTCTCAAAGTTGAGCGCCAGTTTGCGCACCCAGGGAACATCGTACTTTTCCTCTCCTATCGCCTCGTCGCCATCTAGCGCATCAATGTATTCCATGGCATCTCGCGCATTCTCGTCCAAACCGTCGCCAAAGAATCGACCTTCGTCATCGTCGCCTGGGCCGTCGTCGAAATCCGGTGGTAATGAAGGGCCAGCCTCGTTATCGTCTTCTTCGTCGGCTACTGAGGCTTGCGCTGAGCCCTTTACGTCGCCATTTCCGTTTAGCTTCGCGGATTTGTACGATTGCGTTGGATCGGCTTCGTTTGGGTTCTCAAACTTGCGCTTTGAAGAGCCGTTTGCGCCTTTGAAAAGCTCGTCAATGCTCGTCATTTTTTCGGCGCCACAGTTAAAACAAACGACTAGAGAAACACAGCAGGGTGGAATTAGTGACGTTGGCGCGTTCTGGTCAATCTTTCCAACGTGAGGGTTGACATGGTCCCGGCTTGATACTAGCGCGTTTAAGCTGCGCGCATCAGGTCACGCTCATCTCGCCTTCACATGCTCTGCGTATTCGTACATTTGCAACGACAACGGACCAGCCACTGTTGCTATTCTATCTTCTGAAATAAAACACTATTTTTTGGTTTTCACTATCTATATATTCAGTCTGGTAGCAAAAAAATAAGAATCAATGAAGACAATTGTGCATATGTTCGATTGCCTCAGCATCTGCAAAACTCAGGTGCTGGATGAAGCACGTCGATCCTTTCAATTCATTCTCTTGTTCAATCCGTCTGACATTTACACCATTCATTAACCTTCTCATGATACCATAGAGAAGGAGAGAATCCGTGAATACACATAAACAGCCAGAGTACATCGTTTAGGGAAAGCCAAAGGCAAGACCGAGTCTCTAAGAAATGACGATTTGTGCATATATCTCGTATGTAAGTTGCATGTGTCACGTAGCACAAGTACACTTTTCAAAGGATTGCATATCATTCCTGGTAATAAGTCATCAGTCATTTGCACTAAGTGCTTACTCAGGTACTACAATAAAGTCATCATGGTGCTCCAAGCACAGCACATAAGCATGAAACACCCCACCTGTGGGACGTCATACTTAGTATCGCCTTCCATAACCCTCATCCCCATATCCGCCGGAGCCACCATATTGACCACCAGACCTGCCTGAGCCATACTCTTGTCTCCTCTGACCATATTCATCCTCATCTCCACCGAAGCCTCCAGGCACGCCGGAAGCGCCATATGATCTCTCGGGGCGCTCGCCACCGTACTCAAGGCCTTCGGAACGGCCATATCCCCCAGAAGACTCATTGCCATAGCGAGAAGACTCCTCACGGCCATAGCCCGACTCTTCTCGTCGACCGTAGCCCGACTCTTCCTGACGACCGTAGCCTGATTCTTCTTGACGACCGTATCCGCTGGAACTGTAAGAGTCAGCAATGTTCTGAGACTGCTCATGGCCATTGTTTCTAGGGTCAATGCCATATCCTAGATCTTCATACCTGTATGACTCTTCACGGCCGTAGTCTTGCTGTCGGCGACCGTACCCTGATTCCTCACCATAGCGCTGTTCCTGGCTGTGACCGCCCGAATAACGCTTGGGCGAGCGACTGCCGCTCTTTTCACGGCGGCGCTCGTGCTCACGAGAACGAGAGCGGGAGTGACGCTTGTATTCTCCCGAACCTGATCGACGCTTGTCAGCATCGTCATCCGAGTCTCCAGAACGACTACCGTGTTTGTGGTGTTTGTGGTGCTTGTGGTGCTTCTTTTCATCCTTTTCACGCTGCTTGCGTTCTTTCTTCATGCGCTTCTCATAGGAATCTCCGTCGCCTGAGTCGTTGGAATCATCGTCGTCATGCTTCTTGGACTTACCGCGTCGCCTAATCAAATGTTAGTCCATGTCTGCAACGTTAAGAGTAAGCTACTTACTCTCTCTCTTCCGAGTAGTATTGTCCTGATCGGTCGAAACCCTCACGCGATTCTTCAGAACGCCATTCACTTCCTTGCTGAACACGACGCTCTTCATGACGCTCGTATCCGCCAGATCCACTATAGCTTGAGGTCTCAACCCTTTGCTGGTAGCTGTACGATCCGCCACGGTCATCTCGTTCCTCACGAGAGTACTCTTCCCGACGCCCACCACCTGGGTACTGGGTCTGTTGATACTGTGCACTTCCGTAGCGATCGCTGTCACCATATGAGGACGCCTGGTGGTGCCCCGTCTCTGAGTAAGACTGAGTGTAGGAGCCGTCGTTGCCATAACCCTCTTCTTTGTGGCTCTTCCTCTCCTGCTCATTGAAAGCGTTTCCGAGAATAGAGCCTCCAATACCACCAACGAGTCCCCCAACAAGACCGCCGAGGGCACCACCGCCAACAGCTTCACCTGCAAGTTTGCCCACATGATCGGACGCTTGTTGAATCTGTGCATTGGTACCCGTCTTACTGCTTGCTGGGCCGAAGTTATTGGCCATACCCAGAGGCTTACCGCAGCCGTGCCCCTTGTCGTGAAGATTTGGGTTGTGGTTCTTGCCATTTCGTACCCCCTTGCGGCTGAGCTGCTCGCGGAACTCATCCTTTGCTTTTTCACTTTTTGATGACCACCAGTCTTCGACAGTCTTGTACATGACGTGACGGCCTTGGGTAACCTCTGGCCTGTTATCCGCTCTGACACAGGCAGGATGGTGGAATACACCTTTAATGATGGTTTCAATAGTATCATTAGGGTCTGCTTGGCCATCCCAGCACTGAACAATTTGTGGTACAGCCCAGGCAATGGTGGCTGAAGCTACTCGGCCAGCAGGCTCATTGAGGATGTTAGAAAAATGATCCTTGGAAAGCATACTGTGGGTGGGATCGGTGGAATAGTCGTCGTTAAAGACAATGTGCTGTTTCTCGCGAGAGCTTGCAATGACCTCAGTCGAGCCCTCTTCAAGCTCAGTCTTGACTTGGTTGAGAATGGGCAAAATATAGGGAGCAAGCAGACTGAAGACGAAAATGGTGACTTGGTTCTGGACTTCCTCAATCAGGTCCGGCAGGATGGGAATCTTTTCGATGAATTCGGAAATGGACTGCATGATCTCATCGTGGAACTCCATAATGGGGTAGATTTGCTTGACTAGCTCTCCAATCTGTTGAGTGAATTCCTCTGGCTCCTTGGGCGTGATGCGCATATTGCCCATGGCTGCAGCGTTGGCATTGTTTTCTAGCTCATCAGCTTTGCTAGCCTCATCTTTACCACCAAAGATGCCCTCTGGGAGCTTGTCGAGGAGCTCCTTGATCTTGCTCTTGTTTTTGCTCCTGTCAGCGTTGGAGATGGCACCCTCAAGCTCCTGAAGCTCGGATTGGGTAGCTTTGTCTGTAATCTCTCCGCATACAGAGTGCAAGAAATCGACACCACCAAAGGTACCGGTGACGATGGGGTAGACCTCCTTTTTGGCTTCTTCGACGTAGAAGCGAGCATTCTGGCCTACATGGGGGAAAACGTCATGTACACCAATCTCGATCAAAGCAAGTTCAACGTAGTTGGAGTGGGCAGCGTAGTCCTCCAGACAGTGTGTGGCGGTACCGAGAAGGCGCAGAGCCTCGTAAAAGTCGGGACCTCGTCCTCCAGAGCGTTGACCCAAATCAATGCAACGTTTGAGGAGGTCGCGGACCATGCCAGCCGATGTTGTGATGCCCAGACCTTCCGAGGCAATGTAGTTCTTCAGTCCGGTCTTCTCATCGATACTGAGCTCACGGCGTTCGTCAACAGGAGCTCGTAGACGCCGATCGTAGTCGCGGGCATCGATATTGTCAGCATAGTCCTGAAGGGTCAGTATGTCTGTCCGATCGGGTAGGCTGCAGAACTGACCTTGGGATTGTCGATGTGCTCCTCTGGTCTGTAGCAGCCAAGACGGTCGCGGGTGACCTCGAACTCCTTGGTGCCGTATCCGAAGCTCATGAAGCCAAGAACCCATAATAGGATGCGAATTGCCTCTGCTGAGACCATCTTGACAGTGCCCACATCGACTGCTTGCGAGTAGTCGCGCAGCCAGTTGCCAAAGTAGACACGCTTGACGTCCATCTTGCTGAATTTCTTGCCAGTATGACCGCTGATGAGCAGCGTAAGAAGAGTATCTTCAATGTCTCCATGGCGCCAGTTCTGTCCCTCAATGGAGCTCAAGCTTGCGATGTTGCCCGCACCAAAAGCTGCGGTGGGGCGAGCCCAAAAGACAAGCAGAATCAGGCATGGTAGCCAGATGTCGCTGAACTGCGGCATCGTGTTGGTGTCTTCGTATGCTCTTGTGTTTATTCAAAAGAAAAACGTTGGGATATGGGAGAGTACGGGAGAAGAGGTAGAAGCAACGAGGAGTGAGAGGGTCTTGTATAGCTAGCGCTTGTTTCAGCTCTCAACTTGGTTGAGCTGCCCCGCCAAAGCCCCAGAGCTGACGTAGCGGGGTCCATCAGCTCCAGGACTGCCCACCTGATCGGCCACGACATGTCATTACATGGCTTAAATATTTTCTTTTCTCCACTCCAAGTCTCACACTGCACATCTTGGGCAGCTGTGATACGTTGCCTCTAGATCAGACAAGCGTGATGTCCCTCTGAACACCCTCAGGTACGTAATCTGGGCTACCATTCATATCGAAATCCTCTGTTACCGCGTGCTCCCCAATACGCCTATAAATACCATCTTCTTCTAGGCCAATTGCCTGAACAACCAGGTACGCCGTTGTGATAGTAGGCGGTAGATTGATCAAGACGGGACTGCGCACGTAGGCGAAAAGAGCAAACGTGTCGTATTCGCCACACTCTCCGCCTTCATCGGTAACTCCTGGGTCCAGGCGTAACCGACTATGCATTGCGGTCCGGTATGGCTTGGGCTTTCGCATGCGACGCATGAAACCGCGAATGTTGATGGTGCTACCACTTGGATCGGATGTTAGCGGTTCGCCGCTCCATTTTATATCTGTGTTCAAAATTTTGGCTTGATACACAATACCCAAGTCTCCTACTCTTGGTTTCTCAACCGTGAGTTCTCCCCAATCTGGTGGACTAATGTTGACGCTGCCATGAGGAAAAGACATCCATGTCCAACTTGGTCGGCAATCAGCTCGATCTGGTAGAGGCGTTTTATGCTCGCGAGGGTCGTGATATACTTTCCATGAAAGATGAAGCGTTAGATGACGTTCCCATAAACCTATAATTGGTCTGTTACCGGAAATGTCTTGATGAAATTGCACAATGCCAGCCAGGGCGGCATATTGGTCACTCGTACGGGTGAGAGAGCGTTTCATGTAATCGTCTACACAATCCCACCACCAACGCTTCTCGAACTTAAAGATATCCAGTTTTCCATTACCACCATCGAGAATCTTTTGTGGAAACCCTCTATCCCTGGTACGCCATGCTTTGTCAGGAGGCAAATATGTTTTCTGATCGTACGCTGTGCCATCTTCTCTTTCCTGGATTGAGTTACATTCCCACACAAATTGAGAGTAGGTAGCATGTAGAATCCGACGCGACAGAATTTGCTCTTGCAGTATCCATGCTCTTTTACGGACTGGTTCATCACGCAGCTGGATTTCGATGGTGTCTACCCAACGGTAGGGAGGTTGCTTTCTTTTTTTGACGGCAAAGTCAGGGCGTCCGGGGTCAGTACTGCAAAATCGAGTTACAGACTCAATCTTTGGAGAAAGACCACATCCTCCATGGCTATCTTCAGCACTAGTTGCAGAGAGAGTAATAGTACCTGCACCATAAATTGCTGCCATCTTGGCACTCTCTCGCTGCCAATCTTCTGTGTCATCTTGAATGATACACAAGCTGTCTATCCAAAGGTACCTGAACCCAATAGCTACAGTGAGACGGACGGCATCTTGAAATGTCTTTGGGAGACTATCGAAATCGATGCCGCCGTCAGAGTATTTCGCTATGTTACTCTTAGTTGTCTTACAAGGCAGCTCTACACCACCCCATACATGAGTCAGGACCATGTAAGGTCTACTGTACAAGTCGATTCCTTTAGTTGAGACAAGATTGATAGAATAAAGATCGGTTTCAAGCTCTTGAATGTCGAGTATACGTGTTGCTAACTGGACGTCTGGCTTCGGAGACCTCCAACAGTTTGGATGGGACGTTTCGCACTCGGTGAGCCATTCACGGATCGTTGCGCTTCGTGATCGGAAATCAACTGGTTCTAGTCCACTCCATATTGGGCGGTTGAATGCTCTCCCTGGAAATGGTTAGAAATTTCTGGAGACTCTGACTAGGAACAAACGAGGCGTACCAACTTCCATATAAAGAAAAAAGGTTTTCGCGCCCTCTCTCTTCCCAACAAAGTGGTCTAGATACATGGATACAATAGCATGACTGAAATGCCCATTCGCATTCGAAAGTGAGAGATCGGTGTTATAACTAATACCTAATTTCGGTGCAGTTCTCGGCACCAGCGAAAAAAGATATAAAGTTGTGTACCCGCCGTCCTCGAGATCGATGAAATTGTTAGCCGTATCGGGACTTGGAGTCTCTACTGGCTTCAGGTTGAATTCATTGGCCCGGGCGATAAAATCTTCTAGGTAAGGTTTTCCAAAGAGATTACAAATATATTTACACAGCTCACATTGATTGCTGCAGTCAATTAATTCACGGATATCCCGATGGAAGCTCTTGTCTTTGTCGTCCGATGGAATCTTCTTGAAAACCTTCTTAAGGCACTCAGAACAATAAGAGTCGCTCCTCTCGGCGAGCCGTTGAGCATCATTGCGACCAGATCTGACAACAAGCGAATTCTGTTGCGACATGGCCATATGTAAGCATCGAAAAGGCGGTAATGAAGATGAAATCAATGATGGAGAGTACACTCCTCTTCAGATACCCTTTTATATATGCAGGTATTAGAGAGAAATCCACTGCATAGCACTGTGCCGCATCCCAGCATGTATGCTGCCTGGAAGGATTCACCCGGCCCAATGAATGCTTGCCAGCACTGCAGCGTCTCCATCTCGCTGCTCAGGCGCGTCCCATCTTTCCTGAACGCAAAACGCATTACCTCATATCGCTCCACTGAATATCGAAACACCACAAAGTCGCTAAGCAAGTCGCTTCTCTATGCTCCGTCTGCTTCATTTACCTCCCGTGCAAGACGGATGCGATCGCGCAATATGTAATTAGCGAATAAGATACCCCAGGCTGCCAAGCAAAGATACTCCTGGAAACCGCGGAGAAGAAGCGAATTACGCTCATGGATATGATGCAAAATGTGGAATAGTCCAAGTGAGAAGAAAAAGACCATAGCAGTACGACTCAAGACTCAATCTTGCTAACGATAGCAAGCAGAGCAAGTAAAGCTATCTCAAGTAAGCAGGGAAAAATTTCATAGTAGCCGTCGTAACTTACAAGTTCCAACCGTCAGAATGAAACCAGCAACCGTAAAAGCCGTCTGTGCATCGCCACCTCTTGCCGTCCACGCAACACCCACTGCAGTCGCCGCGACCCATGGCACTGATCCAACAAGGCCAATGCGAAAGCCGCTCCAGCCCTCCACAAACTCTAAAGCATGACGGCGGTCCTCCTGGCGAAGCCGGAACACCCAGTCAATCCATTCTGATTCCGTTTTTATGTTTTTGAAGTGTTGGTACGCATAGAACATTTCTTGCAGAGTGAAGTCATCCATCGGCACGACTTCCGGGCGGGTCGAAGGCGTATACGATAAGAGTCGAATCTGTCTTAGCGTCTTGAGCGATAGGTATCGTCGCCAGAAGCCGCAAATATGGTGCTCGTATTCGCGATGGAGGGCAGCGAAGAACTCTTCGTCGGTTCGAACTAAACCACCTGAATTCTTTATGGAAACTATGCTGGAGTAATCGTCTCGAGATATGGCCAACCGGGCTTGACTTAGTACGTGGATTTGGCGTCTTACGCAGCCCTGGCTGCCAGATCTGTAGCACATGAGGTTCAAAGAGCATGTTGGCTTGGTCATGCTACCGGTAGTCGGCGAACTAACTGTTTGGGTCGGAGGTAGGACAGAAAACTGGTCCGCTATAGGGGTTTTGGATTGCCGAGGGTGTGCATATTGATTGAAGTCACTTGACGTTACCGAATCGACCGGTGACATAGGCTGGAGCTGGACCGAAGCATGGCGTGTATGATTTGGATTATGTTCTCGTGAGTCTTCAGTTTCTACTATCCTCTCTGACGGACGGTGTGTTATCAATGAGTTTTCGTGAACTTTATTGGGTCTGCCCTCTACCGACGCTGATGAAGGTACCGCCTCATCAATTGTGGTTAACTGCGGAGGTATGCTCGCACCAGGCTCCTTTATTGAGACTTGGATTGCAATAGGGCTACAGCCGGGTTGGTATTGATATATATGAGGAGGATTCACTCCATAGGCTATTGTAGACGCTGGCGGTGTGGAATCGGGTGCGTCGGTAGATGGAACTGACGGTGATTTGAAACTGCTTTTGGAGTTGCTAAACCAACCCATTTTTGACGTTTGATTGAATTACAGATTGAAGATTGCAATCTTGCCAGCAATAAATAATCAGTTCCTGCTGTCAGCCGCGGCTGACTTTCGCCTTGGTTCGGCTCAGCCACCACCACGTTATGCTCTCCAAGCGAAGTGAAAGCCTGCGTTAGTAAGAGACTAACATACTAATGGAAGAAGTAAAAACATGCGATGGGAAATGTAAGGTGATTTGAGATATGCCAGGTGTTCTCGTGGGCTAAGCCTCCTCAAAGTGCGCATAGCCTTACATCCACCAGCTATCAGTCTACAATCTCGAGACTCAGACTTGATTAGCGCTCCGATAAGGTTTCAATATAGTCGCGGGTGCCTGGTTCATTCTAGTTGCAAATGAGCGAGTCGTAGTCATTTCGCTCACTGTGCGCTCGAGTTGGACGTCATTGGGGTGTGGGGTATTGCAGTTCCCGGAGTACGCCTAGGGCTGTGCTCATGACCGGTATATGGATTGAAAGCCACTTAGATATGCCAAGAAGAATGAGTAGAAGACGAGCTACGTCTAGATTTTGATGATCGTCTGTAATCAATAGTTGGGTGGTAGCCTGTCCATCTCGTATGCACTAGGACACGAAGAACGCAAGTTGACGCGTGAGGCTGGACATGAGGTTTTTCCCCTCTCCCAGAGAACGCAGCTACCTTTAGTCACTCCCCTCAGCACAAATACCCATGGTTATGCGATTGAGCCTCAAAACTATGTGAATATGCATATCAACTCATCACATGCTCAGCTCTTATCAGTGTTAGTTCTTCCTTTCTGTAACCTCCGCATGATACGTAAGAGATATATGAAAGGGAGAAACTACTGATTCTGCAATAGTCCAATTGAATCAACCGAGCGGACAGAATGCAGAATCTTATCAATCGTGTATAATTCTCCATCCGAGTAAGTCGACTTCCTAATGACGATTTCGGGCAGGCGTTAAACATGGGGTTTGCTGACAGCACTTCAGTGGCTCCTCTAGTCTGGAGCTTTCAATGAAAGATATACAAAATCAGTGTTTTGATCGCAGGAAAGTGTTGCATGATGCTCCACCCCCACGTATCAGTGTCAAGGATGGCACTCAGGAAATACCACCCACGGACATCGCTCTCCGCACGATTGAGCGAAAATTCCAACTCATGTTTATGAAAACCCCTTCGTTTAAGCATGGTATTAGACCAGCAAGGAGTTTTGCTGTGTTGTCGCCAGTAGACAAATAACCAGTGTGTTCGAGGCTATAATGGCGGGGATTTGCGCCATGTCTCAGCATCCTTTTGAGTGACTTTGGCCTTCTCATTGCCCCATCAGACTACTTCAGTTTCACAAGTCGTACGCAGGTTTGCCAAAGTTCCATTCGCTTCGATCTGGTTCAGCTATGGCTGTTGAGCCGTGGTCACCCGGATCTCACAAGCCACTGGGGCACCCGGATCCGCAAGACGCTGGATTCTCATACGACCCTAGTTTATGTGGCGGAAGCTAAGGCTTGAGAAGACATTCCCAACCCCATTTTTGTACCTCTTAAGCGGGAAATCGTATGATTTAGGTCAAGGACATGAGTAGACGACTTGGAATCATGCGTCAACTCCTCGTTGGGCAGAGAGGTTGCGTCATCGTAGACAATGGACTTAGCTGTAGGGCTACCGGCTGAGAGAAGCGATGCAACTTCTTCGTGAACCCTATGTGTATACCTGCTCGTGGTTGGCAAGCTGTGTCGTGCGCTACCCAGAATCGGTCGCGCACGTCACTACTGGTGTCACATGGCGGAATCGGGATGCCTTGTATGGTGCAGAATTACGCCCAGAGAATTATAAGCGAAATCTAGACTGTTCTGCAGTGTAGAAGAGAAGCCATCTGGTAAAAGTCCGATTACAATAGATGGTGTTGCCGTGTCTCAACTGTATGTCCGATCATGAGCGCGTCGGGCGCTTGAACCGAGAACTGAAGCTGAAGACGCCCACCATGGTTGAGTGTGCTAAAGTGGCAGTCTAGACTTGCATTTTGAATCCGGTCAGCCTATCAAAAAAAAAGACGACGGCTCGTCTTACCACATGGCGCACCCAACGGCTCGATAATGGCGCACAAATGGACCAGGCGAGTGCTGAAGTGTGTGCAGGTGGTGCGCGCAGTCGAGGCCCTCCTTGTTACTTTTTCAGCCAGCCCCGACCGCCGCGTGCCTGCGATGTCCGGTTCATGTATATCGCAGAGCTGCCCGACACATCTGGTTCACCATCACGACACAACACACTGCAACCAACTCATATTCATCTCAAGTCCATCTCCATTACCTTGCGACAACGGGGAGACGAGAAAAAAATGTACACGAAACAATCACCTCCGAAGTGGGGTAAGGCTGAGTGGCAAATGAACAGCAAGGCAGGCCCCCAATAGGTGGAACCGACTGTGAGTATAGAAATACCATTTCATATTGAATAAAAATTAACAAGGAAAGGCCTTGGGAGTCTAGTAAAGGCGATGATGATGAGGGAAACGATGCCCTTTTAGATGCGACAATCCACTCCGTATATCCCGACCAAGTATGCCAACTGGCCGCCAATTTTCCAACGCCACAGCCGCTGATCCGACAAAAAGAGAAATCATCTAATCATGAAACGAACTTAATAGTTGAAGACCGTCAAGGACGGGTTGAGGACGATGGGCACCAGGCAGTGCATGATTACAGTGACGGACCAACTGAGCAGGGTTAGCGAAAGGCCAATCAAGTAGGAGTAGGAAATGGTACTTACGGAACAACAGCAGTCATGCCGGTAATCTCCCAGCCGTGAGGAGCAAAGCAGCCGAGGTAGATCATGCCACCGATGAAGGCAAACATGAGCATGTACATCCACTTGAAGCGCTTCCAGATCTTGGGCAATTCGGCGAAGAAGTTGGAGTTGTCCTTTTCCTTGGCTGTGGCACCCCAGCTCATGTCGATGCAGAACATGTGAGAGCAGATGGCGAGCAGGATGTGGAACGAGACACCACCGAAGAAGACCATGAAGAAGGGCATCCACTTGATGTTTTCAGCAAAGGCACCAATGAGGCTGGCCTCGCCGATACGATAACGCATGATAGCAAAGCAGGCGTTGGACATCAGGTTGAATACAACCAACAAGGTGACGAAGACTAGGTGATGTTAGTGGTGGATCTATTGAAGGGTAGGATATGGACTTACTCTTCCAAGACTCGATGTAGTACTTGTCAAGTTCACCGTTGAGCCAACCGACCAGGAAGTAATTCAGAGCACCAAGAGGAACAGCGGATCCGATAGCATAGTACGAGAAGATGTAACCGCAGATGGAAATCTTGGAAGAAAGCTGAATGTTGGACCAGAGGAAGGTGCGGAAGAGCTTGGTGAAAGGGGTCTTCCATAGCCAAGTGTGGAGGGGATTGAAGACAAGCTCGTTGCAACCGTAGGCGTATTTCTCCCATCGATCCAATTCGTCGAAGATGGTAAGCGACACACCCTCCTTGAACCCACGGCCGTGGTAACTGGCAAGACGAACAATGTTGCCTGCAATCTGGAGACGAAGCGCGATATCGAAGTCCTCGGAAACGTGGCTCTCAGACCAGAAGCAGACATAGCCATCCTCTTCGGGAGGGTTACCAACAGACTGAACAGCCTGCCAGCGCAAGAAGGCGTTGTGACCGACGAAAGGAGCGACCTCACCGCTGCCGACAGCGAAGCGAATAGCAGCGTAGACGAGGTTGGTGAAGAAGGTGATACCGTTCTCGAAGTAATCCCAGGAAACTTGCATGACACCGGTGGCGTGTTGGACAATGGCAACTTCGGGCGAGAGGTACATTTCAGCGGCACCGTACATGAGGCAGTCTTCGGGAACAATGGTATCGGAATCGACGATGAGAATAATCTCACCCATACGGATGTTACCACCAGCTTTGGCGCGAGGGTCGGCGGCAAGAACCTGGTCGAGGGCCTCATGGTATAGCGTAAGCTCTTCCTCTTCGGTGATGGAAGCGTTGCCGGGGTACCGAGAGTCGACTAGTTGCTGGAGGACATCCTCGACACGGTTGGAGGTGTTGAGAGCAAAGTTCATGTTGGAAGCCTTCTTGAACTTTCCGCGGCGGACGAAGCCCTCGTGGTTGTGCTTGGGACGCGAAACCCATCCGATGTTGTTGTTCTCGTAGAAGCGCAGAAACTTTTCGTTGTCCTCCTCAGAACGGACAGCCATACCGTCGTCGTTGATGAAGATACGTGCGGTTCCACCACGGGATTCGTAGTGAGAGATGGCGGCTTGCAGACTGGCTACGGTTGGCTTGACGACACCCTCTAGAGATTCAGTGTAGATGGGCATCTGGATGGTGATGGTTGATGGGGTGAAACCCATAGAGCGGGCCTGAGTAAGATTTGGCTTGATGGCAGAGTGGAAACGACTGTTGGTCAGGACACCAGTGATGGGACCAAAAACTTGGAAGATGTTACCCAGGACGACGACGACGAAGAAGAGACCCAGGGCAATCCAGAATGGTTCAACAAGGATGAGCAGAAGACGAGGGTAGAACTTGTCAGTCATGGTCTCGAGGATCAGCGCCCTGTTACCAAGTCCCAAGACTGGAACCAAGATCAAGCTCATGGCGAGACCGATGTAGAGGGAGCTGGTGAAAATGAGTGGACGAGCAAGTGATTCCTTGGGACCTAGTCCCTTCTCGGCGTCGGCATCGACTTCCTCGGTGGAAACTTCGACGTCTTCCTTCTTGCCCATATCGAAATCCATCGTGGAGCCGCCAAGAGTGGAGTTTGCACTGGACTGAACGGCGCTGTCGAAACCGCTGAAGGGGTTCTTGGCTGTACCCCAGACAAGACCGAGGATCCTGGACTCGACTTCCATGGCCTGAGAAAGAATGGCACCAAGGTCGTCGTGCCAGACAAGCAAGAGCCTTTCTTGTCGGATGAGGGCAGCATACTGGAACTTGCGGATGGTGCTAGATGTAGCGACTTCGGCCATGGACTCGAATATTTGAATCTGGGAACCGTTCTGGAACATCAACTCGGTTTCGAAGGGCTCGAGGACATCGAACACGGCCTGTGTGCCATCGGTGCTCATGGTGAGAGCGACACCAGGGTTGATTCTCTTGACTGCAGCCACAAGATCCTGGTCTGCAGTTACGGGCTCCGAGACATATTCTCCCTGACCCTTACGGATCAAGACACCTTCGCAAGAGCCAGGTGATTGGGCTCCAGCAGTCATCCAACGCATGGAGCATGCCTTGGCGTGGAGATGCTTGATGATCTGGGGAAATCAGCGCCATGGCACGTGACGTGTGAGTGAAGATACTTACAGCACGGTATCTAGAATCCTCATCGATCTTCATGGTCAAAGGCCGCGACACAGGAGGTCGGCCATTGGGAGTTTGGGGCACCGAGTAGCGCGAGTCGCTGACGCTGTCACTCAACGACTGCCTGCTTGAGGGGATGACGGGTCTGTTCCCATCCTGGGAAGGGGTAGCGGAAGACATGTTGGATATGTCACGACAATTACGGTACGTGAGTAAAGATTAACGGGGGTTGTTGCTAAGCGATAGTAAAAAAAGGCTCAACGGGGATGCCACGAAGCAAACGTGACGTTCAGAGCCCGAAAACGAAGGAATGGGCAAGTAGCCCTGCGAAGAGTGACAAGAGTGAAGAACTGAAAACGAGTCAAAGGGGTCGCAGAGCAGAGGTTATCAAGGCGGCACAGCTGGTAGTGTGTACAGAATTTCCTTCACCTACGCGAAGCTCCGCCCCGGTCCAGCCCGTAGCCACCACGGTCAGAGATACACTCATGCTACACACTATCGAATAGTCGGCGTCCCCCCTGGTCTAGCACGTTCGAATCTCAACAAGAGTCCCTACGCGAGCATCCCGAAAAGGGTCACTGCGTCTGTCACAAACGCCGCCGTGCAGCCATGATAATCCAGAATGGGCGGAATCTCAGGCCACCAAGTGGACCTAGCGATCCTGACATGAAATCACATACCTTGCCGTGCACGCCCCGGTCGCTCTTCCGCCCAGCGAGCCTCGGTGTCGGGACGATGGGCAAGGCGACTAAACGATAACGAAGGGGTGCTTGATGGGCCTAAAGATAGTTGGGATTGTTTGTCATGATCGAAATCGGGGTCAAAAGGAGGCATCTCTAAGTTTGATGGTCGCTCGCATCTCCGAGGCTTGTGCCTGAGCCAGCAAAGTGGCGGCTAAACATTAGCTCCGCCGCTGCTGTCGACGTTTGTCCCGACGAGGAGAATTTACTTTTTGCAAAAGGCAACTATCGTCCTCGGCACTGGGTAGCGCCATCTACCAGCCAGCCTCAGTTTGACGGCGACTAAGGAAATGGTGGACCACTTGGAGGTGCTTTGACCATGCAAAACCGGCCAGTAACCCAGGCCGAAATCCTGGTAAGTTGCTGCAGGCCGAGACCGAAGAATGGGCCGCGTGTGGATTGCTGGGTGAGCGTACACAATCATACCCATTGCCATGAACTCACGCGGGCCCAGGACCCTGTGAGATTGTTTTATCATTCGTTTATTTTTTCCGAAACGTGGTGTAGCTTGACAGCACAGGTCCAACGTGGTAGACGATAGCCTTGATGACGCATTGTCACGCAGTCGCAGCGATAAGGACCCTGGCGGATATCCCGTTGTTAAGATTAGCAACATGGCCTGGCTAGATTGAGGGCATCTGTCCAGCACATCGAGCAGCTCGCCACTGGGCAGCCACACGTCGCAGACTGTTTGTCTCGAACCTTGAGGTTGTTGCATGACGCCATGCCCACCCGGGCTATTTTGAGTCAGGCCAGGTTCTAGTCGACAGAGTCAGACGGCAGGGGTGGAGTCGTCGAGGTGCGACGCACCATGATGGTAGCGTGGTGTTTAGCCGGCCTGGAGATAAGTCAATCGACGACGATGGGCCAGCGTCCGAGCTGCAGGATTCTGGCCACCAACTTGCAGATACGGAGAGGGGATGGGCATCGTATCGACGACATGCAGGTTTGTAGAGGGATGTCTATCCACTAGTATCGGTCCCAGAGAGTGGGCGAGGGCGCTGGTGCCCCAGTTCGACCCCGAGCCCGATCTACTCGCAGGGGGAGGCAGAGGTCGGTATGAGTCGCGCGGCACTGTGACGAGATCGACCGGGCGCTAAATCTAGGCACGAACCACGAAGAGAAAGGATACGTCGTGGCGTCCGACTCCTGTGCCGCCATGGCGGACGTTCAGCCTGGGGCCTAGTACGGGCGGTGCAGTCTCTGTCGCTTCGCTAAACGTGCTGTGGCGGCACATCCTGGACTGATGACTGCAAGGCTGTCACACTAGCCGCGTGCTTATCTTAGCGGCAGCAGCCTAGGTACCTGCATCTAGGCGAGCGCTAGTCTACTCGCAGCCCTGGTATCAAGCCACAGCCCACGTCGTGCCCCTTGCGCATGCAGAAACCATCAGGTCGGCTAGGCCAACTTGTGCTGGTGAATGTGTCGAATGTTCTAAATCTGGACTGGCAGAGCCGTCAGACTTCGCTCATCCCGACGACGGCCCAGCCAGCCTACTATCGATTCTTGCGAGCCGCAAAAAAAGCCAGAC